TCATGCCAAATTGCTGGATTGAGAGTTTCCCAGATTTTTTTCAAATGAATTTTATATCTTGCATACAAATGCCCACCTCACTTGCCAGATTTAATGGCAACATTGTGTGTGTAAAGTTGAGTTTTGCCTGGCGGAAGTGACGGAAGTGATGTGCCACTGCAGCGTCTGCTTGTCTGCTACGTATTTTGTGTGTTTGGCCAGGGCTTTCTTTGTTGATTGTACGATTTCTTTTTTCGTGTTGGAGGGCATGCGATAGGTGGCAAGTTGTGTTGCATTGCTGGCTGCCTACGATTCACCATATTCATTGCTGAGTACATGAGTACAAAAAAAAATGAGCTCACATAATATATACAGCGTCAGGAGGTCCCAAAGTAAGAAACTGTCAGGGGGAGCTCCTGTCGTTAATGGGGTACATAAAAGGTAAGTAACAGGAGCAAAAGCTACAAGTGCGAACAAAAATAAAAAGTGCATTCAACACAGAACAATAAATAGCCAAATCGAAAAAGTTAATTTACCAGAACAACATTATACAAAACTACAAGAATACGTAAAAGCAGGAATTGAAAACGTAGAGGTAATAATGAAAATGTTTTATTACAAATGAACAAGGGGCTCAATTAACAGTATGCTTTTCATGTTATGTTTAAAAGACTGCAATGAATGAGACGACTTAACATGAAGAGGGATATCATTCCAAAGATGAACACAAAAGAAGCGTGCTGTGTATCTACCATAGTTTGATCTGATTTTAGGTAAAAGGAAGTTATTACGCTCTGAAAACCTGGTATTATTGTTGTTGACGAAGATATGGAAAAGAATATTATCAAGTGATATTTCGCGATGAATGAGATGGTATGTGATGAGCAACAATCTATGATAAAACAATTGTTGAATGGGTAGGATTCGAAGATGTTGATAGATAGGTAGAGAATGGCAACGGAATGGGCTAAAAGTCATTAACTTGATCGCCTGGTTTTGAAGACGTTGAAGTGGTTTGAGATGAATGGCGTATGTGTTACCCCATGATGATAAGCAGTATGATAAATGGCTATTAATATAAGCATGATAAAGTGAGATGAGAACATGAAGTTGAAAAAATGCACGTGTTGTAATGATAATGCGGATACCAAATGAAACCCTTTTTATAAGTGAATTGGCATGACTATTGTATTTAAGATGTTTATCGAGAGTAACACCAAGGAATTTAGCATTGTCAGATGCCAGTAAAGTATAATTGTCCAGCAAGACAGTTATGGAGGAAGAAACCACAGTTTGTGGGCTATGAAAGAGTACGAAAGTTGTTTTAGTAGGATTAATCTGAAGTTTGTTATTTCTACACCATGAATGCACGTTGTTAAGATCTGCATTAAGTTTGGCTTGAAGTGCGGTGAGCGATTTATGTGGTGAGTAAATGGTCGTGTCGTCAGCATATAGCAAACACTTAGAAAACGTAAGCGTATTAGGTAAGTCATTTATGAATAGTAGAAATAACAACGGACCTAATATAGAACCTTGGGGAACACCGCAGTTAATTAATTTAGTCGATGAAAATTGACCATTAAGATATATGACTTGTGGCCTGTTAGACAAGTAGCTACGAATAAGATTTAGAGTTGGGCCAGTAATACCAAAAGACTCGAGCTTATCCAGAAGAATAGAATGTTCTTGTGTGTCAAATGCCTTTGTTAGATCAATGAATATGGCACCTACAACGAACCCTTCGTCAATAAATTGTTTAATGTTATCTGTGAATTTGAGCAATGCTTGTTCCGTTGAATAACCATTCCTAAAGCCAAACTGGTGTGGGGAAAGAAGATTAAATTTGTTTAGGTAGTGCATCAGATGACTGTAGATAAGCTTTTCAATGACTTTGCCAAAAAAATGGCAAAATGCAAATGGGGCGATAGTTGTTAATGTTATCACGAGAGCCTTTTTTGTACACAGGAATTATTTTACCACGTTTCAACAACTCAGGAAATATACCGGTTCTGAAAATTTTGTTAGCAATATCTGCAAAAACTAATGATATGTCTGCAGCAACCAGTTTTATTCTAGAGGGCCGGATGGAGTCCAGGCCTGGTCCCGTAACTTTGAGGGAAGAAATTACGTTAAAAACTTCTGAAGAAGAAACCGGGCGAAGGAAGAAGGACTGAGGGCTACGTGGAAGATGGGCTGGCACGCTAAGTGAGAGCGTATTTTGGCACGCGGCAAAATGATCGCTAAAAACATTTGACATATCAGCTTCGGTAGAGTATTCCTTGTCTTTGTAAATTATTTTTTTAATGCTGGCATCGGACTCCCTAACATTCAGAAATTCTTTAATTAGCTCCCAATTACGCCGAGTATTTGTTCCGTTTTCAATTATTCGCCGTTCATAATATTCCCGTTTTGCACGTTTTGAGGACGCTAGAAAGAATGTTGCTATAATTTTTAAATCTAGCTCACAAAGATGCGTTGAAAGGCTGCAATTTCACCTTTTTGTGAAGATTATTTTTCTTTATTATTGAGCGCAGCAGCGCATTTGTAATCCATGGATTCCTAGGAGACGAGAATGTGTGCTTATGGGTTACATGGGTTGTGCAATCGTTAATGTAATTCGTTATAGTTGATAGAAAAATCGAATATGCCTTCTCAGGACAATCTTCTCGAAAAACGTTATTCCAGCATGTGTCATGCACTTTTCGTGCAAATAAAAGCTTCATTGAAGGAATTTTTTGTATATTGACGGTGCTGTGCACGTTTTCCGGTACCAAGGACGAAGAACAGGGGATAATGATCTGTAATGGAATAATCAATCACTCCGGTGGTGTAATCAGAGGTTGATGATGAAAATATGTGGTCTATTAACGTGCAAGAACCGGCAGTGTCACACCTAGTTGGAACATCAATTAAGGAAGAGAAACCATAGCTAAATAAGCAGTTGATATAATCACAGCACGATTGACAGCTAGGAGGAAGTATGTTTATATTGATGTCACCACAAATGATGATGTTCTTATTTTCATTGGTTAAGAGATTAAGTATTTCTTCTAGCTGTGAACAGAAGTCCGAATAAGATGATGACGAGGAATATACAATATTCACCATAACAGCATTACCATATTATCTGATCGTCGCAGGCACAAACTTGCACGGCGTGGACAGGTAGTGCCATCTCGCGGGTATTATGCGCAATCAGGCAGGTTCGGGCAAACACTTACGTCACACGTAGAAGCGCACTCAGCTGAGTTTTGGTTTCAGTGTTGATGTTATTGATAGTTAAAAATTACTTGCGTATTTGTCGAGCATTTCAGCTATCGGGAGCGTAATAAGAGTGTCTCAAGAACATAAGAGCACCATTATCCTGACATGGTCGAAAAATCGCCGGAGTTGGCCTTTAAAGTTTTCACAGAGCATCGTGCAAACACCATCGCGATGACGTTCACCTTTAATTCACCTGCAATGTTCCTACCATTTTTATTTTAATGAATAAAAAATTCCACCACATGCATTATGGTAACTCTGGGTATGATCTCATTACAGACAGCATAATTTTTCAGTCACATTTTTGTCAGTGAGAGCACCAGAATTTCAGTCTTTGTTCTAGTATTCTGGCTCATCATAAGCAGCAGGTCGAAATGTCAACTTCTTTAAAGAGGCCCAGCAGCACATTTTTAAGTAAACATTGAATGAAATTACTATTGGACTCTTCTGCCCCATGAATCTCCTGCTACAAAAATGTTTCACATGCGTCGTCATTTGCTTTTTCTCTCTCCTCATCGCAAGCACGCTGGAACCTATACAGGGGGGTGGGCAAGGGGGCAGTGTGCCGCCAAAAACTTGTACCCACCTTCTCATTTTTTCTTCTTTTTTATTTGCTACTTCTGGTTCAGGCGTGTGTGGCATTGGCATGTGGCAACAACTCATAAGTGTCCACAATATATACAAGACACAGTAAATTGCTTCCAAGGCCACCCATTGGTGTGCCCCGCCCCCCTTTGCTTTATAGTTGGGACTGCATTGCAGAGGGGACATTAAGTGATATTTGGTTGTTTTTTTTATAAAAATTTGTCAGTGCCCTGCTGCATACAATGCTATAATATTTGGTTAATATGTTCACAGAAGTTTTGACTACACATCAGCCACATTTGCTGATTAGGTTTAGAAACTGTTGCGGGGCCCGTTTACATGGCCGTCTTGCACCTCTGTACATAAATTCTGTGAGTTTTTTCCAGTTGTATTCTGCGATCACTGGACCCAAAAAAGATGTTCAAGCTAACTGTTACTTCGTGTTGTGAGAGCTAGAACTGCTACAAGTTAACTTCACTGGAGAGTGCTCACGAATGCAAACACATCGAAGTTTTCAGTATAATGACTGATATGCACAATCGCTTGAGATAACCGCTTGAGATGTCGCGATAAATCTTGTATATAAAAATAATGTCGACTGTCATCTATGCATTCGAGTTGAAATACACTGATATGACCCTACTAGAAAATGGTGGAAATGAAAGTATGTACATTACGTAGCCATAAATTGTCCTGTTTCTATCCGTGAGTACTGTATGTGGCAAGCACAAAAAGGCAGAACACGTTAGATTTCTGTGCCCTCAGAAATCAAGTCTGCTACTGCAGGATTTAATGCAAAAAGGAAAAATTTAAGTAGTATATGTGATCAAGCACTCAATTGTTGCTCTATGGTTAGAGTGTTGTTCTCAATATTAAATATTTGCTCCCAAACAATGTCCTTTCTTGTTGCGAGGTGAACATGTTTTGCTCCAAACTGAAGATTTTCCTGATCCATAGATTTCTTGGAAATTATGTCGAGCTGTCCCACCCCTCTTATGAAGATGGCTACATGCCCTTAAATAAGTAATAATAATAAAAAGAAAGCATGAAGCACTTATTCATGACTGACTGGTGGGAGCTGCCATGAACTTGATTTAAGTGAGTAATTGTGAGTGAAAAACATATTGCAGATGATGTCGCGCAGTCTCACACATAATCTTTCTTTTTTTCAGATTATTGCCATTTGTTTCACAATGCTTTCATTTGCCAACTGTCATCACTCATCTTAAGAAACTTCAGAATATCCAGTCAAGCTTGGAATCAAACTCTGGACTTCTTGATTTCATACTGTACCAGACACCAACTGCGGGCTCTAAGAAGCACAACAAAATGCATTGCTGGACTACTTGATGCATGGATGTTTTCTAGGAAAGCAGTGCACCAAAAAGACAAGGATTAAGATGAGGTAACTAGGATTAGTGAACTCCTTTATGCCTCATATAAAGTCCTTGTTTTTAGGTGCACTGCTTTTTGCCACTAAGCTGTAGCTCCTCAAAATTTTTGACTAAATCTTGAAGATGAAGCACCTGATCATGAAGATAAAGCATGAAGTAATGATTTGCTATGGCCTAACGTACTGGAAGCAGCAACTATGAAAAAGGTTGAATAGCAATGACAATAAAAAAATAAACAGATCACATCTAATAAGATCAATTCCTAAGTGTACCCCAATACTCTCCATGGTACTCAATACAACAAAGCTGCTGACTTGTTTGTGGGTTTCATGTCTGGCTCCTTCCATTGTCAAGCGTGATATGCTAGCATTGACAGTGATTTCATCAGTAATGGCAGCTTCAAAGCCATAAGATTCTCCTCGCTGCAGCATGTTATTGCGACCTTGCTGCAGCACATTATTGCAGCCTTGCTTACTCTTTTCAGTCCCATTTCTTTTTACTCTGAAAACATGCCTTTGATGCTTTCGCTGTTCAGAATTCTGCATGTAGATATATTTTTTTTTACTTGCGCAAATGTGCATTTTCACCAAGTCTTCATGATTCACTTTCATTATTACTCTTAACTGAGCTTTCATTTATTTATTTTTTGCTGAGACAATAGTTTGTTTAGAAATTTGGCCAGAATTAAAGTGAGAATGATAAAACAACTCCATCTTCATTTAGTAGAAGCACCTTAAGTTTACTTTATTTCTCTTTTCATGTATTTATTGGCCCGCTGTCATTGAGCTGGTTTGGTACTTTCGTACTAACGCTTGCATTTGCTTTTTATTGGTGGTATGTTCCATTTAACACTGAGCAAACTAGAACAATTGAAAAGTTCGTTGCCAGCCAGTTGGGTGACGATGCAACTTGTCGCAAGTGCGGGCTAGGAAACCACCATCAACTTAACACCCTACTGCTGCAATGAATTCATCTAGATGCAGCTGTAGCTGATTTCATTTAGTAAAACGTTCGCGGTACACGAATGCACTAATCACGTGGTTCCTTTTGTATGTTCTGGGCTTTTTTAGCTTTAAAAAAAATGGTATACGTGAGACTTTCTTTATGACAAATAATGCAATGGGAGCTTCTGAAGATGCTCTTGAGCTTTGCAGTTGCGATTTGTTGCCTAATGCCAATATTTAGCCAAATAAGATAACTAATCCTAATTACCAAAGGATTTAATTGCAAAATGAGAATTGTCTGTACTGCATAAAGTGGCTGGCAGCAATATGCAACTGATTTCACTCGACTACCTCTAATATTGTATGTTTTAACCTTTGGCTAAAGATAGCTGGGACAGCCGGTATATACATACAAACTTTTGGGGGAAAGGGGGAGTTGAATTACCCTCTCTGGCTATGCTATGCATTAAAAGAATAGAAAAAAGTGAATTTAACATCAGAGACTAATGGGCAAAACTCTAAATATAAATTCAGCTTTAGCCATTCAAAATTTGAAGTACAAGTGGTTGGAAGGTCACCTAGCTAATGCAAAGTATATGCCTTTTAACAGAAAGTAGGAAATGTGATAGATGGCTGCTTCGGACTTATGCCCTAGTAGTGTTGGAAAAAGTATGAATGATTGAGAGACAGCACTTGAAAAAAATTGGCAGATCTCACGTACAGTGGGAATCGATGAGATGTGAAGCATGAATGAGGAAGGTTAATAGGTCACTCTAAAATCAGCACAACATTATGAGGCGGATGTAAAATATGCCGCACATGACTTGGTCATCTTGATTATCATGTTTGCACCTGTCATATACGTTCGTCGTCTATTTACGTCACGTGATATCAAATTTGCTATATTTGGAGCTAGCGAAACAACCGCAAGCGCGCGATGAGCGTAGCAAGTAGTCATGTCTTACATGACACACATGTCTTGGTGTCATTTACCTTTGTTATTCATTCACATCACATGATACCCAATTTGGTATATGTGAGGCTAGCGAAACGGCCGTGAGTGCATCATGAGCGTGATATGTTGTCATGTTCTTACATCACACGGATGTCATCATTTTCTTGTTTGCACCAGTCATATACTTTCGTGATCCATCGACGTTACGTAACACGAAATTTTGTATATATGAAGCTAGAGAAACAACTGCGAGCACACTATGAGCCTAGCATGTAGTCATGTTACACGACACGCATGTCATGATTCTCATGTTTTGACGTGTCCTTTACCATTGTCACCATTTGCGTCACGTAATACCGAATTTGGAATATGCGAAGCTAGTGAAACAGCCACGAATGCATCATGAGCATAGCAAGTAGTCATGTTGTTACATGACATGCATCTCCTGATTATCATGCTTGCACCTGTGACCTGTCACATACCTTTGTCATTCATTCACGTCCCGTAATATCAAATTTGGTATATGTGAAGCTAGTGAAATAGCCACGAGTGCATCATGAGTGTGGCATGTAGTCATGTTCTAACATGACACGCATCTCATGACTATCATGTTTGCACCATTCATAAACCTTTGTCATGCATTCACATCCTGTAATACCAAATTTTGTATTTGTGAAGACTGCGAAACGACCACTAGCACGCCATGAGCGTAGCGTGTAGTCATGACTTATGACTTACATGTCATGATTTCAACGTTAGGGTCTGTCACTTATGTTTGCCTTGAAGTCATGTCAAAACATACCAGTTTTTCAATATACCATGTGAACGAAACGACCGCAAGAGCAGCGAGACCATGAAATGTAAATCATGACATACATATCACGATAATCAAGTTATGACTAGTCAGTGATGCCCGTCATACAGTCATGTTATGCCATACCAATTTTGGTACCGATACCATTAAAGAAACGACCAGGAGAGCTAAAAGTCTTGTGCGGCTAGACAGACAGACAGACGGACGGACGGACAGACAGACAGACAGACAGACAGACAGACAGACAGACAGATAGACAGATAGATAGATAGATAGATAGATAGATAGATAGATAGATAGATAGATAGATAGATAGATAGATAGATAGATAGATAGATACGCTCAAAGTCACCAAATTTCGCTAAGAAATGTTTCACATTTAAAATCTGAGCACACTTTCGCAACCTTGCAGAACTGCAGCCACATTGCCGTCAAATCTGGGGTCACCATATATCTAGGCGCACTTCCTACAGATGCTGATTGGCTAACCGATGGGTAGAATGCCTTACACTCTAGTTGGGCATTGCAATGAATTTTTGCCACAATGAAGCAAAAATATCTTTGGGATGATAAAGGTGTGTAGTTGATTGCCTAGATGCCATTTATTTATCTTGTGCTATAGTCAATAATGAAAAAATGGACAGCAAAGGCAGATAATTTGGACCTCATAAAACATTTATTATGGAGTATGAGTACATAAGCTATATACAGGAGAAAGTGTGATAAGCAATAGAGCAACAAATATATTTACAGAAAGCCACAGAGGTCCGAGCCCTAAGGTAGTCTGCTCCTGTTACATACTACGCACTGGAAGAGAGTTATGAGAGAGGCAGAATTCTGATAAAGCGGAGAAGGATGTGCATTTGGCTGAGTAGTTTTTCAATGCCCATATAGTGAGGTACTGTGGAGGCTTCAAGGAACAAGCTTCTTGCTCAAGCTGGTCAGTTTAATCTTTATGGAAGGCCAGGCAAGCTCGTACTATCCATTCCATACTGGCATACTGCAATGGAGTGCATATGTCTGCAGTTATGCAGTGAGCATGCACAAGGCACTGACTGGCACTGATGTCTATGACCTTATAAAGCAACACTAGCAGATACCCATAATACCTTTGAGTCATTATGCGAGTATTCATGGCCTATATTTTTTTATGACCTCACTAAAAACCAGCACTATATATGCATGCATTCTCTAGGGTGGCTGCTTGTGTGCATGTTGTGTGCTCATTAGTTTTGACAATCCTACCGCTTTTTACAGCAGAACTATTATATTCTAGTTTCCAGCTGATCGCAGTGTGTGTAGGAGCGCGTCCTACACAACCTGGGCCGTCTCGCTAGTGGCCGCTCCGGCATCACACCTATTACAGCAGCTGCCTTGGGCACGCAAGGAACGAAAGCCCTCTGTGGGACATGTAAACCTAAGCCGTAAAGCCGACACGTCCGAAAATTTAAGTTATGGCTTTTGTCGTGTATTTCGCCTTGCGCCCTTTGCGGGGTTGCTCAATATGACGAACATATCCGTCCCGCCCAAAAACGGCATCCAACGTACGGCCACAGTTTCAAACAAATCTCTAAGCACACGCATCAATAACACAACTCTCAAATAATTTTTTATGCCCATCAGGTCAAGCAAAATGATCTCGAGTTTTTTTTGTTTTTTTTTTTCGCTCCATCGGACACGCCCCAGCATCTCCATGATAACGCCTCGGACACGCCCCAGCATCCTCTGGCATCATCACGATAACGAGAGCGTAGCAGCCAATGCCAAGCAGCAACTGTAGCAGACGACAAATTCAACCGGCGTCGCAAGATACCTTCAGTCAGCCGAATGCAGTCAAAGCACCGCGAACAACTTATGTAATAATACTACAATGACTCGCAGACAGATCGGACAGATGCAAAACAGCTGGCGATGTATATATCAGCAAAATATGAGCAACGCAAGGTCTACGCCAAGCCGCGCAAGCTGTGGCCCAGCCATGCCAATCCAGATCGTTTTCGGGTCCCGTCCTTGGCGTCGAATTGAATCGTGGCAATTACGTGGGCATCATTTGCTCTCCTAAATTACGAAAGTGTGTCCATAAAGGTGTTTCAGCGTTGGCATCAGTTATTTTGTGCCCAACAGTGTCAACTGGATATGGCATTGAGCCGGCTACGATAAGAGGCTTGTGTTCTGGTTGTCAGGCATTTGTCTAGGCAAGCTACTGAGCGCCGGTTGTGCTCCGACGAACGCGTTAGGTGTTCAGTGTGCTAACGCCTTCTTGTGTGTGTTGTGGGAACTGTGACACGATGAACATTAACCATTTTAACGCAATGAAAACTACAACAGTGATCTTTGTTATCGTGCTATTGCCGTGTACTTTGTGCGACGATTATTACAAACTCTTGGGCATCGAACGAGACGCAGACAGCCGTGACATTAGGCGAGCATTCAAGAAACTAGCTCTGAAGTTTCATCCCGATAAGAACCAAGGTGACCCGGAAGCGCACGATAAATTCGTCAAGATCAACAAGGCGTATGAAGTGCTAAAGGACCCTGACGTTCGGAAGCGTTACGACACTTACGGAGAAGAAGGATTGGACGGTGACCAAAGTGGGTGGGGACGGCAATACCACAGCTGGAACTACTATTACGAAAAGTTCGGCATTTACGATGATGACCCCGAAGTGGTGACATTGAGTAGAAATGACTTTCAGAGCTCAGTAGTTGAATCGGAGGACGTCTGGTTTGTTAACTACTATTCTCCGCAATGTTCGCACTGCCACCACCTTGCTCCCGCCTGGCGTCAGCTGGCAAGAAGTTTCGAAGGAGTTATTCGGATTGGCGCAGTAAATTGCGAAGAAGATTGGCAGTTGTGCAGACAGGAAGGCATACACGCATTCCCCTCACTGATCTTCTATCCAGAGAGGGAAAAGTACGCCGGTTCTAGAGACTTTGATGATTTGAATGATTTTGTGTTGCGTCGGCTTCCAGACCTTGACATTGATATATCAGAGACAGGCCTCCTGCATGCAGAAGCCAGCTCATTGCTCAGATCAGTAGTAGTTGCTTCCTGTACTAGCACCGACATGTGCTTAGCAAATGAAGAGCTCAAGAAATTGGCCGTTGCACTTAATGGCCTTGCTTATGTCTCCCTTCTTCATTGTAGCAAAGAGGCAGCACTGTGTAAGAAGTTAGGAATCAGTGATGGAGTATACTTTTTTGAAGCAGCAACTAGCGAGCTTAAAAAGCCTCGAGAATTAGAGGGGAGTGATGCCTCTGAATTGCGAAAAGCTGTTCTGAAAGAGCTTCCTAGTTTTGAGCCAATAACATCGGAGCTCTTCAATGGCCTGATTCAGCAGCTAGATGGCAGTGATGAGTCAGAACCATGGCTTCTACATTTCTTTAAAAGCAAACAGCTTGATACTGCTGCACAGCTAGAGCTAAAACATATAAGAGGTTACATTCAGTCTGTGCGTCTGGGCTCTGTTGACTGCAGCCAAGAGATAGATGTTTGCGTTCAATTTTCAGTTACAAAATCCCCTGTCTTCATCCTCCTGAGATCTAGTGGTGAATATGAAGTATATCATGGTCGTGTTAATGCACGAGATTTGGCTTCCTTTGCAAAGGAAAGTGCAGGGAGTCGTTTGCAGGCTTTAACTATTGCAACCTTTGAGAGAAAGGTGCTGAAGGGCAGAACTACATGGTTGGTTGATTTTTTTGCACCTTGGTGTCCACCATGCATGCGAACACTTCCTGAACTGCGAAAGGTATCTCGTTCTTTTGAAGACACGATGTTTGGTGTTGTTGATTGCACTTCAGATGCTTCACTCTGCCAAAGCAATGGGGTCAGTTCGTATCCGAGCCTTGTTTTATTTCATAACGGTTCAACAACATCTCTGAGTGGCTACAGGACTGCTGCAGAAATCAAGGAATTCATTGAAATATCACTTGACCCAAAAGTGATAAAGCTCAGCCCTGAAACATTCAAAGAGCTGGTAGAAAGCAAAAGTGAAAATGATGTTTGGGCTATAGATTTTTTTGCTCCTTGGTGTGGACATTGTAAGAAATTGGCACCTGAGTGGAACAAATTTGCCAAGGTAGTGGCTAATGAGGTGAACATAAATGTTGGCCAACTTGACTGTGATGCCCACAGACAGTTCTGTGCTGAACATGGTGTGCGCTCCTATCCCCATCTTCGTATCTATCCTCGTGGACAGTTCAGCAGTCGTCATTACTCGACATTCAATGGCTGGTCGAGAGATGCAGCGTCTTTCAGGGACTGGGCAATGCATTTCCTTCCTAGCAGTGTTGAAGAACTCGATCATCATGGTTTCTACAAGGATGTTCTTGGCGACACTACACCGTGGCTTGTAGACTTCTATGCTCCATGGTGTGGCCACTGTGTGTCATTCAGGCCTGTGTTTGAATCGGTCGCAAAAAAGTTTGAAGGCAGAGTAAAATTTGGTGCTGTAAACTGCGAGGAGCACTGGCATGCTTGTGACGCAGCACAAGTACACCGTTATCCTACGGTTATGTTCTTTGTTGGTAGGACTACTAAGATTCAATCTGCTGTTGGTAACGTAATTCACAATCATAGAGAGGCCGACTTAGTAAACACATTAGAGTTATTTCTAAAACAAAAACTGAGGTCTAAAAGAATTGATGACGAGCTGTAAAATGAAGCCTATTGTTTAACATCTGGAAGGAGGGTATGTGTACTTTATGGTCATGTACATAATTTTACTGCTGTGAAAAAACCTTCTCTACAAGGTTTTCCCTTTGCTGCACTCCAAGAAAGCAGCATGTGTTTCAGATGTTTTTACTAATTGATCATGTTTGGATTTTGCCTAGTCATTTTTAAAGCACGTTGTGCAAGGAAAGGCAAAGCAGTGATATTTCATATTTCTGCCTAAGTGCCAGAAGAACAGTGGAAAACTTTATTCTAAGGCTGCACAAGCAACTGGATAAAATGTGCAATTCACAACTTTTCATACAGATGTGTCCATGTTCACAAATGCAAAACAGTTTTACTAGTTTCGTGCAGTGGTGGTGACAAGAAGAAAGTCACAAGCATTAAATTCATGTAAATTTGACCGTCTGCTTAACCTTTGTGCCTCTATTTTACTTCATTTTACAGTAATTTTAATGAAGGCACTGCCATCACAAAAACTTTGACATTCTGTGTTTCATTACCATTGGAATAGGAGCTTTCCCATTCTAATATTTGGAGTTCACAATTGACCATGTTCTGAGCAGGCAGTCAGTTTTGTTTTGTTAAAAGAAAAAGACATCACTGGCTTCATTATGGAATGAGATTTCATTGTTCTGTTGTATGTAATAACCACAAGCCACACAAGTTGTTATTCCGCTGCCTCAAAAGAGTGTTATCAAAACAATCTAAAATAGGTATTGCTTCCTTTTATAGATTAAATGTTTGATTAAAGATTTGAGTAAAAACCAGCAGTAATCTTGTGACTCATTAGATAATGATGGAGTTGGGAAACTCAGAAGCATACTTTAAATGATTTGACTATAACATTCTGATCAAATGTCACCAAACTCTGCTCATTCCCATCATATTAAAGAAAGCATGCCAGTGTCTATATGATGTCATATGTACATTTTTAATAGAATCTTACAAGTTTGGAATGCATTTACTTAGTAAGGGTTAATTTCACACTTTCAATAGTAATTACCACAAGAGTTTAGAAACAAGAGCTGTGACGAAAATTGCACTACAGCACAACATAAAAAGTGCATTCTGCAATTGTGTAGTTACTGAAAAATATCATTTAGCTTAGCCTTCTCGATAGTGGCAGACATTGACACATACATGTCAATGGGAGGGAATTCTTGCCATAAATGTTACTGTACTTTTTGCATGAGGTCATAAATATGCTCTCATCTTGTTTTCAAGTCACCTGCTCGTGTGGTCAACTATTTTCCTTATTCCAACACTGAGATTTTGTTTGTGTATGTGGTGTGCAGCCAAGGTAATTGTTTCTTGAAGCACAAAGGGATCAATGGCGGGCACATCATTACTTTCTAGATGGAGCCTCCAACATTCTTGCCTTGTCACAGACTATACAGACCACCGTTCTTGCCAGTTTCATGTTGCGTATAGTCTCAGCTTTATATGTAAACATTCTGTGCAGATGCAATTTTGTGCATTTTGTATGCATTACTTTACGTGACTGCAGAGCTGCTGTTTCTCTGCAGGTTTACACTGATACTCACAATAATTTTACACTAATATTTTTTTGTGTATCCTGTGTACACATTCTTTTGCATTTGTAACAGCCAGCGTGTGGACTGGAGAAGAAGACCGTAGATGGGAATAAATTTTTGTCCTCAGTTTTATATTCATTTTCCATGACCTGCTGCAACACAAGCGCAACATGAAGTGCTTCAAGAAGTGCTTTGCCTAGGTTAAAAATGCTTCATCAAACTCCTCTTTTGAGATCTGAAAAACAATGAACAAGTATCAGAAACAATCATTAAAGAATAGCAATCTGCCTTACCTTATTCTGTTTCAGCTTTTTTAGCAACCTTGCATCTGAAGCCAAGTCATCCCACTCTTCATTCTCATAGTCTTCTTTTGTCTTTCGCTTCTTGCCTTGTCTCTGCTTTTGTCTCTCTTTTACAAATGAACCCTACACAACAACAGTACATATATGATTTGTTCATGGCATTATCTCTTCTACAAAAAGAAAACAATCTCAACACAATGACAACAGCCATTTTGTGCATTGCCAGTTAGCAGGTGTCAAAACTTCTGCCTCAACGTCATCGTTTTGGACGAGTTGGTGGTTTAATTACTTAGGTATTCTTGACTGCGGTGCAAAATTTTGTGAAAAGGGGGATGGAGAAGAGCAGAAAGTGAAGCACCAACTTCACTTCTCAGCCAAGCATACCTATGCACTTTCACCACCCACATGCAAGAGATAATTGTGTAGTACCCATAAAACATTGCCAGATTGATTTATGGACACTTCATATACAGTAGACTCCCTTTAAGGCAAACTCAAAGGGACCACGATAATTCATTTGTCCGTCTTATCAGGAGTGCCCCCAAAAACCCAATGCTAACATGCCAATTGCACCTAAACATATTGCTTAACAATGAAACTGTAGTACGACCCCATTTTCATGATAAGAAAAAGATAAAAAGAGAGAGACAAGCACAATTGTCCTTCAAAGAATGGAAAACTTATTCTTCTAGCCGTTCACCTTCGGAGAGGCTGTTTTACTGGCTCTGCTATCGCTTTTAGATATGCCTTCTTTGCATACCGCTACTTTGACAAAGTTTTTAATGAAAGTCTGCAAGCTTTTCTTTGAGGTTTGAATATTTTAATATCGGCCCACGCTAACTTTTCCCGAACGACTTGCTGCTAAGGATTCCCGTTAACGCTACTCACAATCACAAGCCTCGAGCAGACAATAAAGACAAGACGCCGCTATATTTAGTGTGCAAAATGACCTTCTTTTGTCAAGCACTTTCATAATGAAAAATGGTGCATCACAATTCGCTGCATTTCACTGGGAACAGATGTGATGCACACAGGCCCTATGCAAAACAAAGCAAACTGACCACATCATTCTGTGGCGGCGATGACAATGCATCTGACTTCTCTGATGGGAATGCAAGTGCTGCATATGTGGTTTCAGTTTCATGTAATTATAATCCACAGACACTCTTTGTTCCCGTTTGCACTTTCATTTGACTTTTATTTGCCCCCCCCCCCCCTCCCTTGCATTTTGTCCTCTAGCCAAGCTCTTGCATTCTTCCGTTTTCCACTGTACTCCTGTACAGTGGAGAACTGAAGAACGTGAGGAGGAGAATATAAAAAAAGACTAATGCTTTTTGTTACTTTCTTTCCTGATAAAGCTGGCCCTTTCTCCACGTACAGGCTAGAGTGAAGGAGATATACTAGCTTTATGCACTGACCTATCTTTTCCATTTGCTTCAAGTCTTTGCACCAGGAAAGTTTTTTTTTTCATCTTGCTTTCTCTTGTTCGCCTGAATGCTCCCATAAAGACTATAATGTTCATTGTGCAGAATCCCCATCGTTGTTGGTCGCTGCGAGAGTTCGTCTTAACATGAGAGGCCTGTTACACGGTTTGTCCTAAGCAGATTTTTTTTGCATTGAGTCTATGGGAAACCAAATAAAGATTCCTGAGTTGTTCGTCTTAAGCAAGAAGTCGTCTTATCAGAGTTCGTATTAACAGAAGTTCATTGTATAGCCATATAAAAAAGCTTGGCTGCTTTTCACTAATTCCCCCCGTCCCCACACACACATCAGTTGGAAGGTAGGGGTTAGAGAAGTGTGTCTAAATGAATTTTATGGCCTACTGGATGACAAAACTTGTTAATAGAATCACCAATTGCAACACTGAGAAGATACTTCCTATGCCCGTGTCCTGTGGTACTGAATACATCAGTCAAAATGGGTGGCTGCATAAACAACCTGGTTCTGGCACATCACAAAGTAGATGATTTCATACCCACTAAATTGTTCGGTACCCAATATTCACACAGATACAGGTGTGTTACAGCTGAATTCCTAAATTTTTTTGCCTACTGAAAATCGATGTGGTCACATTGGGAGTTATATTATAGAAGTGCTTCAAGAGGTGACCAGCCTACAAATCATAAGCTGATCTCTGCTCGACCTAGCAGCACCTTGAAGCCTTGACAGCTTTACTTGTGCCCCTGTGATACTAAGTCCCCCTTCATATATTCAATGCTTTCGTCAGTGTATAATCTACCCATGTGCCTGAGTCCCCATGCTACTGCGCCTTTAGAGAGTATAATTATACAGCTGGCGTCCAGCAGATGTATTAAAAAAAAAAGAGAGAGAGAGCTCGAAAAAGGCTCTCAAAAAACCAAGCAACAAGCTTGAGGTGTAAATTTTGTAGCGAAAATTTGTAGAACACCACAATCTAATCTAATAGATTCTGTTTACTGCACCCAGTGAGAAGGAAGAGTAGAACTTTGCTGGTATTTCTCCCAAAGGTAATTAATTGACAAAAGTCATACAAGTCGTATGACATCGACTCACCAGGCTCAATGAAATAGTCGTGCTCTTCAGCAAGCACCCCCCCCCCCCCCCCCCCAAAAAAAATGAATGCTGGGCTACAAGCTAGATTAGATATAATGTCTGCCTTTTATCATATGCCAATGTTTTTCCCTGCTATACAACTCTGGAAACATCTTAGAAGGATCCCTGGAACTTATCACTTGAATGTGCTAATGTGCATGTATCATATGTGAATTTGCTAAGTTATTTTTACTATTATTGGCCTATCCAGCACAATATGCCATTTCAGAGGCTACAGTATTCAGCTCTCACAAGTGGCTGGATGAGAAATTGGCCACTGAGAAGCTGTTTTTTTTTTTTTTTTTCTGGGATATCTGTACGGGTTTCCTTGTAATTTCGTGCTACAAACAGGTGGTTGTCTATTTCCCTTTTCTTAACTCTTCCGCCACCTTGCAGGCTTCCGCATAACTCATTTGCAGTACTTGTGTACGTATGCTTCGAGTTGTCGAAAATTCGCCTCGCGTTGCAAATTACTGGATTCCTGGTTAGCTCAATAGGTAGAGCGACCACCCTGGAAAGGCATTGGTCGCAGGTTCGAATCCTTGACTAGGACGAATATTTCGCCTACTGCAAAGCTTTTCTTTAGATGTCTACAAACGTGCTACAAACATGTGGTTCTTCTTCTATTTTCCCTTACTTGTGAGTTTTGCAGTGACAAGTTGTTTTTTAAGTTTCCCATTCAGGTAAAGAAGCAATATTTCTAAATGCACTGCCTGCAAGAGTTTTCAGAATGCAATTATATCGAAGTACAAGTGCACAGAGCCAGCAAAATCACTCATCAAACATTCTACGTTTTAGCTTTAGTGTTCCACATGAAATGAAGCGGCAATAGCAACTCGATTCGGCCATCTTTTCGCACCCTTAGGCCCGTGTTCACAAATTCTCATCAATTTGAAACTTGACCTCAAGGCATCCTGAAACTTTTCCCGTTGCAGAAACAACATCGCGAAATGGTCCTCAAGGATCCCTTGAAGTGGATTTTCGAGTTGACGAGCTTTTGTGAATATGGGCCTTAAAGTACACTTTCAAAGCCAAGTGAGCTATTCCTAATGAGAGCATCATTACACAGTTCGGCCTTAGAGCAATATTAAACATTGTGAGAATGTAGTCTGCAAAAGACTTGGGGAAAAAAATAAACACCCAAGACTAACAACTATGATGCTCATACTTTCACCAATTAACATTTAATCCTATCCCTGCCATAGACTGAGCTCTTCCACGGTGAAACATGGAGTGCTACAGTCAATCTACCTCGATCCTTTTGAAGTCATTTTTTGTGGCATTAATAAAGAATCAAGCAAGGAATAAAATAACCATGCTCAAAGTGCCCATTTCATACATATAATAGTTTTGTTGATGAAAACTGGAATTCACAAGAGGCATCTAACAAAAACCGAGAAAAAGGAAAAGAACAGAAAAGAGAGAAAGGAAATTCATGTACTTGGAAGTTTTGCCTGACCCTGACAGTTATGCTTTCTTCAGCATCTGGTGCAGCAGTTCTCAGAGTACTCAGATGAGGATGTGTTGCATAATAATATCAGATAGTGAACACGCCACCCCACACCACTGGCAATACAAAGATGTCTATGTGACCACAGCACACATCAAATTTTTGACACAGATGGACACAGCAGACACTCGAAGCAAGCACTGGCTAGTTGGTAACGCGCAGGCATGCAAATTGACTAGTCAACCACAATGTCCTGAGCAAGTTCACAAATATTTATTATCATGCTAGCAGTGAATTGCATCAAAGCAGCTGTAAAAGCTGTTCATGAACTTTTACTGAGCAACTTTCCATACATGTAGCCACTGATGATCAAGGAGTCTCAGTAGGGCAGTGCAATGGTTAACAAAAAGACTCAGTAATCTGCAATATGTTTTAACCATAAAACTGTAGGGCAAAAATGAAATGACATGCTATTGCAAATAGAGCGAAATTCACCACATTAATAATTTCTTTTTCTGATGGTAAGGAAAATGCGAAAGAAGAGGTATTGAATCCTCACAGCAATATTCAAACATGTGATTGTTACCTTTTTTGGCTTTACCTTGACATCTTTAGTGCTACATTCCAGTTTACTCTTCAGTTTTGCTTGCCTCTGTTTTTCTCTGGATTTTTCCCTGAAATAAGTGAAAATAGTTAATTTAAGGGACAGTAAACTCGTGGGCACATTTTGAGTTTTAGAGTGCAACAATGTCGAGAAACCAAATGCAGAAACCGCCGTTCTAGAAAGCTTGTATCTCTAGGTATGTCTTTTGAAAAAAGAAGTCACTTAGTAGGTACAAAGGATCTTGCATAAGAAAAGGGAGTCCCAGAATTCTCTAGCAAGTCAAATCACTCATGACAAACAAGATTTTTATGTACATAGTACTCCGAAACCATGCTCAGTATCTCTGAGACCACACCCTGCCCAGGCAATACTGCTAACTTGATTCAATGGGTTGCACAAAGAGGGTGCCAATATGCTTTTAATAAGATGAATACAGCAGCATGATGCAGTAGCAACTCTGAGATGTTGTGAAGCAAAATCCATTATAATGGAACTACTACTAGCAATTCTTAAATTTGAAATGAACTCAATTTTTGAAATATTCTATAATGATTGGCTATAGTTTTTGGTTATAAATCTGATATGTTACATCAGGGCAACTGCTAATGTACTCTCAAAGTGGTGGGGCAAATGTTTGTATAATTCATTTCATTAACAAATATGTCTCTTTATAACCACTTTATTCGAATTTGATAACTGGTTTAAGCATTACTAAAACATATTCAAAAGCAAGAAGTCTTAGATACGATACAAGTGACAAAAATGTACTAAATAGCGAAAGGAATATACCCCTCGGTTGCATTTATGTGAGCCTGTTTCTTTATTTTTGTTTCAGTTTGGTGTAAGCTTACCATTTTCACGCCTGTAATCTTACTTCATTTTAATTTTATGGTGACGCCTACATATTGAAAAAAAAAAAGACAGCAAAACACGCTTGCTCAGTTACATAACCACAAAAAAGCTGAACCATGCATAAATTGAGATACAAGCTCCCAGGCTGAAGCACCCTCTAATGTAGCAACTGTGGGTGCTTATGCCACTGAAGGTGCTTGCAACTAAAAGAATTATAAAACAGCTTGCATAATTAGAGCTACCAATATAAATAAATTCAAGAAACAATATAACTAAAACCAGGAGAAAAAAATCAGCAAGACGTTTGAGGGATTTCCTACAAGCATACAAAACTCACTTGTATGGGATTGACTTTACGTCAATGCTGGTAGCTTCAAAGCCTTCAATCTTCTTTCCTCTGAGTTCAGGCATGTATGGCATTTTCAGTAGGGCAAAGCCTTCAGCTACTTTCGCAAAGTCAAGGTCTGGATAATTATCAAAGAAAGGCAGTGATCAAATGTACCGAGCAAACACTACACATATTTTAAGCATACCTTTTATCCTGAATAGAAGATAACACTCATGCTTGCTGTATGCCTGGATGTATGAAACGAAGGCCCGTATTCCTTTCTCGTAAACTGCCCTAGGAGGATAATAAGGTTGTTAATGTTCCAGTACAGCTCAAAATTCATTTCCTGACATGCACACATACTAAAACACATTATCTTCCTTCTTCAACTTGCCTGTCTTTCATTGCCATTTTTTTCACTCTTGATGTAATCTCATGAATCGATGGTGGTGGATCCATCTTTTCCAGTGTAACCTATTAGGCAAAAAGGCAATAACCAGGCATGAAAAACATTATTCGGCATTTGTAATTAATAAAAATTAGATCACTCTACTCTCAGATTTTTTGTTTTTAGCTACACTGGAATTTCGATTAATGGAAATCATGCAAAGGAAACTGCCACTTTAACGAAACACCAAACTCTTGTTTGTTTAGTTTTGTATTCATGCAAAGCTCAACAACTTAGGCATTGAAACGCCTGCACAAGGAATTGATACTATAGACAAAGCAGAAAATCATAAATGAATTTGATTGTAGTGGCATCACGAAAATTATGCTTGCTGGTAAGTATGACATTTCAAAGAGCACGGTCACCTCCCACAACCTCAACCACAATAAAATTTAAGTAACCACAACAGAGAAAAAACCTGTAAACAAATTTTGTCTTTTGCTAGAATTGTAAGAAATGTTGAACATGTGTTTTTGCAAGAAAATATCTGAATGACAGAACCAAAACAATAAAGCAGAGATAAACCAGTCTTTTTCCAAAGTAACTTATCTGCTTTTTTTTTTTTTCAGATTTGTTAAGATATGGCACTTGGGCCAACGTTTTATGCAAGTCCCACTACTATACGCTTAGAAAGTATTTCTTTCTATTCTCTTTGAACCAAAAAATTGATATTCACACAAACCTGTTAAATACCAACTCAGTTAGGTTGAAATGCAGCTCTAATTTTAAAACTTCACAGCAACACCTTACTTTCTGATTCAGCTCTAGGAACTTGATGTAAGCATCCTCGCTGGGCATCAGCAGCAGCACAGCATTGCCTTCATTTCCCATTCTCGCGGTCCTCCCACAGCGGTGAATAAATGAGCTGAAACAAAAGAAAAATGATTCCCCAATTATAAAAGACAAACCTATTGGCCGCACGCAGAATTGAGCTTTTCTTTTGGTCCTCACTTTAGTGAAATTCAGCATTTCAACATGCCTATTCGTTTGTCTCCATTAAACTCTTCTTCGCGAGCTTAGTGGTTTTGACAGTGGATATTTGGTTAGTACATTTCTGGACATTAAAACATGCTGTGACAGCTAATTCAGTTCTTCAACAATGAAACTACATCTTATTAATGAGATCAACAAAGCTAGGAAGATATGACATAGTGACAGAAATACTCTCTTCCTATTTACTGTTTTCATCAGCAAAATGGCTTTAGTTCCAGGTTGGCAATAGACATTAAGCTTGCCATATTCCTTCCACCGCAGTGCATATAGGGCCATAGCTGTACCTCAATCATTATTTTAGCTCTCTGGTAAACTTGCTTTTACAGACCCCTCTCAGTTGGTACTGCACTTTTGAAAAAAAAACATTCAGCGCACTTACATCTTTTTAAATCAAAAATGTTGAACACTCGGTGTACTTTTCATGTACAAATGCAGTCATGCTAATGACTAAACAATGGATAAATACTTGTTTACCTTGATTTTTTATGCAATACATGCATTTGAAATTCCTTGTTTTCTTGATTACAAAACTAGAATTATAGGTATGCAGGAAATATTGAGAGGGCTGTTTGTTCCTCCCATGATTCACTTCTAGCTACGTAGTTTGTAAACCAGAGGTTTTATATAGCAATGCAATATGCAGTAAAAAAAAAGTGCCAGTTCCCCCAAGAATAACACAGTCACTTTAATAGTAACAAATCGGAATTTCATTCCAAGTAAGGCTAATCGTTTAACATGCGAACTTGCATATCCGAACAAAATGTTGCTGTAAGAAATGTGGCCGTGGCAGCGAGCAAAACAAAGAGAAGTTTACAATCGCCTCAAAAGAAAGTCTCTCAGCAGGGTGGTTGTAGTGTGGCTGTCAATTTCCCTTTATTAACCCTAGAGCCGCCTAGTGGGATGGTACAGAACTGATTTGCAATAACACGTGTCCATGTGCTTGAAGCTGTCGATGAATTCACCCTCCAGCTGCCATTCTTTAGCTTCCTGATTAGCTTAATTGGTAGGGCGACCACTCCAGAAAAGAGTTGGTCCCAGGTTCGATCCCCGAACCATGATTAATTTTTTGGCTACTAAGAAGCTTTCTTTCAGGGAAATCCACATGGATTTCCTTGTGGCTTCTTGCTACAAACGGTTGGGTGTCAATTTACTTCTGTTACCGTAATTACTCGAATCTAACGCGCACCTTTTTTCCGGTTAAGCGAGTTCATAAATCGCATGCGCGTTAGAATCGAGTACGAACAAAAAAATTACGGTCAATCTATTGCCATCGCAAATCCAAGATGGCCGCCCCCTACGTGCGTCGGCATGGTGCACGGAGGCTTCCTCCGTGGCATGGTGCGTCGGCTATTTCTGCCTATGTGTTTACCATGTGCGACACTTCGTACGTGTGCTGAGGAGTTCGTCATCTAGTAGTGCATTAGCATCGACGACGTGGAAGGGCCGACTCCAAAAACTCGAGTGCACCACGATGCCGCTTTTAAAAGAAAAGTCATCGCGTGTGCAGAAACGGACGGAAATCGGGCCGCATCGCGGTCCTTCTCGAAACGTGCGTGCGGGACCGGCGGAAACAAAAGCAGAAGATTGTCGACAGCAAAGCTTCACGCAAAGGCTTCAGTGAACCACAGCAGGGTCGGTTTCCGCAAATTGAAGAGCTGCTCCGCGAGTATGTGCTTGAGGAGCGAGCGGCACAGCGGCCCATGACAGAACTGCTCCAAGTGCGGGCTATGCAATTAGTCTTAGAAAAAAGTCTAATGCGGAGCCTGTTTAAAGCGAGCAGGTGCTGGCTAATTAACTATATGAAGAGGAAAGGCTCTTCCCTCCGAAGGGGAACATGCATATGCGAAAACTTTTGCGGAGAAGTACGATGAAAAGCTTTACAGTTTTCAGAGGTTCGTCCTAAACTTGCGGCGCAACAACGGCTACCTGCTTGGGCAAATCTGGAATGCCGATCAGACGCCTCTTTACTTCGACATGCCTGGCACCACAACTGTCGAGAAGGGGGCGAAGCAAGTTCGCGTGCTGACATCGGTCCACGGTAAAACTACAGTGACGGCAATGCTCTGTTACACGTCAGATGGGCACAAGCTTCGCCCGTACCTCATATTTAAATGGAAGACAATCCCGAAAGGAATCGTTTTTTCGAGTGGTGTGATCGTGCGGGCCAGCAAAAACAAATGGGTGCGCGTTGCAATCGATGTCTTACGTTTTTTTTTTTTTTTTCGCGGTGGAAATCGGGTGCGCGTTACAATCGAGGGCGCGGTAGAATCGAGTAAATACGGTAACTCTTCCGCCGCATAGCAGGATTCCGCACAGCTGATATGCAATGCAGTGAGAAAAGCAGCCTTAGTGCTGTCTATGGCTTCTACACAAACTTTGCTGTGAGAACACAATATGCACAAATGTATGCACTCTCTGCTGACCCCTCAAGAGATAAAGTGCATGCAACTGCAGGCAACGAAGCCTGGCCAGTCAAAGTATGCATTTTTTGTTGAATCCACTACTCTGAGACACCTCCGTAGCTTTTTTTATGCAATAGAAGCATCCAGCAGGTTTACTCTCGCTTGAGGCACAATTGTCAGCAACCTTCACACAGATTTACTCACACGCAGGACATATTTCCATGACCTCATGGACACACGTGACACGTGGTGATTTTGTTGACTTGGGCTTTATAAGGAACCTCACTGGCGAGGCAGCAAAAATCCATCTGGAGTGTGCATATAATTGCTACTGCTATGATATGCATTTCCAATGCACACTTATGCATTTTTGCTGCCTCGCCAGTGAGGTTCCTTATAAAGCCCAAGTCAACAATATCACCACGTGTCACGTGTGTCCATGAGGTCATGTAAATATGTCCTGCGTGTGAGTAAATCTGTGTGAAGGTTGCTGACAATTGTGTCTCAGGCGAGAGTAAACCTGATATATATATATAGTTATAAACTTCGAGAATAGTGCAGTATAGGAAACAAAACAATACAATATTTATTTAATCCTAATAGTTTCGGCTTGTGGACCAGCCTTCTTCGGAGGATGTAAGTGAAATGATACAAGTTCCCGTAGCAGAGGGTCACCCTCACAGTTTAAAGACCCTCCTCTTTTTTTTGGAGGGTCTTTAAACTGTGAGGGTGACCCTCTGCTACGGGAACTTGTATCATTTCACTTACATCCTCCGAAGAAGGCTGGTCCACCAGCCGAATTTGTTAGGATTAAATAAATATTGTATTGTTTTGTTTCCTATACTGCACTATTGTCGAAGTTTATAACTTTTTTACGGTAGCCGGAAGAAACTCTGATCATCTATTTCATCTATATATATATATATATATATATATATATATATATATATATATATATATATATATATATATATAACCGTGCAACAGCTTCATCATGACACTGACCTATGGTTAAATGTTTAGAAACTTGTGGCCGTGACCAACATTTAATCAGCTTAGATGAACACTTTTTTTTTTCAGATTATAAAAAATTCATTCAAAGGGCTACAAAAATAACAAAAACAGATAAAAATAATTTCCCCCTCCACTTTGCACAGAAACGTAAAATATACAAGTGGGTTAGTTATTCATCTTGATTGAAAATATCAATGACAGCCAATGTTCAACCAAGTGCTGAAGCAAGAAAGATTTTTAAAAAATGGTATCGCATTCCATCCATTAGATATGTTTTCTCTTTCTTCTACACATCAATGTTTTCTTCTGTTCCTCTGAATGTAAAAGTAGAAGCTAAAAGGGCAACTTAGAAAAAAATATTAATAAGAAATGAAACCTGTTTCGAACAGATTTAGATTTGGCTTTTAGATCACAAATTTTCTTAAAAATGAACAGAATGCCCAACAAGCAATGTGTACAATTGAAAATGTATATACTAAATGTGGGCCTGCAGCTTTCTGAAAAGCAGAGCAAGAAAAGTAACTAGCAACCACCTGATCAGCTAAAAAAAAAAAGCAGCTCTTATCTAATAACTTTATCTCCCATATACAACATCCATCTTCGTGAAGCTGAGATGAACAAAATGCACAGAAATGTATGGAAAAGAATGAAAAAAAAAAAAAAAACCTGGATGATTTTGGAGCATCATACTGTACGACCCACTGGACATCTGGGATGTCAACTCCTCTTGCCATAACATCTGTGCAAACAAGCACACCCCTGTAAATAGTAAAGAAGTTGTAATTCAAAAGACTCTTGAATTTATTTAACTCTTGAATGACTTCAACAGATGAGAAACACATTACTTGTGCATTTTCATAAATCTGTTGAAGATCTTCTGCCTTTTCCTCTTCATCTTGCCATGAATGCTGATAATGGTCATGTTTTTCAGTAGTCTGTGAAAGATACAATACCAAGTTTGCAAAGACAAAGCACAGTAATGAGTAGAATAAAAAATATTAACTATGTGCAATGTGCTTTAGAGCATGTGCTTTTTTCACAAGTTTTAATAGTGCAGGTGTTTCATTATTTCATAGGGCACATACATTGCCAAAACTATCACTCACTATTAGCTTGATCTATACTTCTCACGAGGGCTACTGTTTATTAAACAAAATTCCCTAACTTTGTTTTCCAGAAAATAAATAAACAAAGTATGACACCACAATGTAACACACAGCAATGGAAACGTCCAGGTAAATGATCGGAAATGACCACTTTAATGTTTTGTAACAGTGCAGTGAGCGCACGATGAATAGCTGAAGTGGAGAGCTACAGTTAACTTTTGGTTACATAGAGTTACCATGCACCCAAACCACAAAATACGTGTCAAGGCGTATTTTTGGGCTAGTTGGTTCATACTTGCAGCAAAACAGCGCCAGCTGTAACATAATCATGGCACAGCAAACGGACACAGGCTGCACTCATAACTGAATTTTTATTTAGTAATGCAGAATAAGTACTTACTGTACATGAATAAACAAAAGGTAGGAAATCACAAGAGATATAAAAAGCATCACATGATCAATTTGATCATCACAGATGGCATGCTCACACAGGACACATCGGGCTTTTTCTATCTCTAGGGCTTGAGCAACCTCCTTAGTTAAACTCCTTTCCAATTAAGTGCGCATCTGCAGTAAAGAATTTTGAGGGAGTTGTGTGTTTTTTTGCAGAAAATGAGACTAAACAGCTGAATATCTTTTCAATCGACTCAAAGATCTTTACTATTCGATACCACAGAATGCTCTTATTATCGTAGCGAAATGGATTAATAGCTACAGAATAGAGGCACTCCAAAGTGCTACAGGTATAGTTGTAGGCTCATTTATAGAGATGCTAAGCATGCATCTTAGTTCTACTTATGTAAAGGCAAAATATTTTTACATAAGGATAGCGTCTGTAGGTCATGCATTGCTTTAATATTGAGTGTCATTTTTTTTTTTATAGCAAAATTAGACAGATTGCTGGAACAATGCCTGATATCCATGTAAGTTGTAAGTGTCAATGTTTTTCAGACACATCCATGACTTTTTAATAGTTTGAAAAAGTTTGACTTGCAAAAGCAGTCTTCCGACATAATTACTTTTTAGCCAGTGCCTAGCATCTTTACTTGCGACTCATGAGCTTCCAGCCATTAGCCATACCACGCTGAGTGCGTCGGTTCTCGTCATGAGCTTCCAGTAGGCAGTTTCTAATGTTTCTTCAATTTAGGTCTTCATTTTTCACCTAAACACGTCTTCTAGGCATTGCAGTCAGAGCTAGAAAAGTGGTTTTAATTATTCATTTTTCATAATCTAAGCTTGTAAAGCTCAGTGATGTTTATTCATGCTTTAACAAAGAAGGTACAAGTAGAGAGAACAGTCACAGAGTTACGATTATATTTTCCAAATCCAATACAAGTGCTACAAAAGCACATCTGTCAACACGTACCACATGAGTTTTAATAAAATAACCAATATACATTCCACCATGAAACATGATATTTTTAAACATATATTTTGTCATACTAAAAAGGATAATATACAACATGGCAACAATGCACATTTCAGTTTAACAACGATTATGTGCACCAGTTTCTTTGCACACAGAAGCAGAATGAATACCCAAAAGACAAGTGAACGTAAGAACAACTATGCAGAGTGAAGATTTTTTTAACAAGAAAGCCTTCAAAACACTAAGCATGTATGCACAACATACATACAAACATAACATTGTGCGACACTATCCAAGAAATTCAGTTCTTTTCTTTACAAAGTCAGCAATGGCATGTCTACGCATTATTTTGCGCTCCTAGCAGTGTAGTAGGCCTCAACAATTTCTCTTTGCAGCCTATCTGCTGCTTTCTTTGGGAAGACCATGTTTTCAAATATCCAAGTGCATCCACAGTTTCAGAATTATATGCAAACATCCACCTTATTTGTTAGGCACTGACAAGCCATGTTTCTTTGCCCTCTAGTTAAAACAATGACTGCTCTGGCCTGCATGTACCTGCCACATGACAAAGGAATTTGATATATTGCGAAATCAGTTGGAAGTCTATGCCCGTCCTGTGCACTTTCGCCTTTTTGTATTGTCTGTGCTTCTTCCGCTGCTCATTGATTGCTATGCAGATTCCAGTGTGATTTAGATAAACTGCACAAGAAAAAGAAGTTAGAACTTCTCAGCAGCAAGATCACTGCACTCTTCATTGTACAAGCACATGGATTATAAAACTTAAGATAAAACATGGCGAGAAACAACGTTACACACTAAAAATTTTCAGGCAGCAATTTTTTTTCTTTACAAATATTTTACCATTCCTAAGCAATAAAGCAGGACTTACTGTACAAGGATGGCAGAAAAATACTCGACACAGGCACATGTGCTGAAGAAGACCATGTGCTTTTCTTCTGAATGGGTTCTAAGGAAGGCCACCAAAGTACTCAGCTTTTGATCTGCCTCACAAAGCTGAAAAAGAAACCAAGGCAATTTCTACACTTCACAGTTTTCATCTTAGATAAAAAAGCCTTACAATGTAAAAATTCTTTAAAAGTGCCGGCGTGCGCTGTGTGTGGCTGCATTCAGCTGGTTTTTCTTTCACTGTAACACAGACTGGGTTTCGAAGTCCAGCACGAATGAGATCTTCAACTTCTTTTGTTTGAGTAGCTGAGAACAAGCCTGTCCTTCTCTGCTTGGGTAAGAATGACAGGATCGTGTTGATGCTGTAGATGAAAAAGTGTAGGTTAACAGATTCATAAAACAAAAAAAGAACAAAACTCGTACACTAGGAAAGAAAAATGTATATGCAAATGTCTTGACAAAATACTTACCATGGCATAATGAAGTATAACTGTTCTTACTGAATTTTCAAGTATGTCAAGCAAAAGAAGGCAGCATATCAAGAAATTAGTAGCTTGATTTTATCATGCACAGGTATATACAAATGTAACAGACCTCGCAACATTTCATGCACCACAGTACAACTTCACTTGGTGGAACAGTTACTGCATATCCTTGTTGTTCGAGGTATAGCGCATCCAGGACGGGACAGAGAAGAAGACACAGAACACATACACGTCTTCTTCTCTGTCTCGTCCTGGATGCGTTATACCTCGAACAACATGAATAACTAACAAGCCTGCCGTGCAACCTCAGTCGACTGCATATCTTTGTTTAAGACATACTATTTATTTGGGTGATAGGCCTGAAGAATAGTAAGGACGTTGTTTTGCTGCTGCCAATGAGCTACGAAAGATGTGTGTCGCCATGAAGAGAAAGAATGAGCAGGGAAATGGCAAATAGCAGACAGACGTTTCTTTTATGAAACACACCAATAAATTTGCAGGTATAAATGTATAGTATTGATGGTATAAAAAAGTTTCCTTCAATTGTGGCTGCTTCTGTGTAGGCCACACAGGATTTTGTAATAATCAGAGGTTAAATGAGCAAAGAAGGTCATAATCTAGAGGGCTGTCACCTAATCTTACATTGTATAGTTGCACCTGTAATTGCATGGCAAAATTTGAAAAATGCAAAGTCCTATACAGACATAAGGTTAATGAAACATGTCCAATGATTGAGGCCTGGCATACTGTTAATAACGGACGCACATACGTGAGCCAGTTTTTAATTAACTTGCATAAAGAAGAAATTAAATGCCTGAAAAATTGCTCTTCATGTAGATTCCCCACTTGTGCTTGATTGACAGATGGTGCAACCATCCCTGAGGATTCAAGGATGGTTACCGCAGACGCCAAGAGATGCCGTAGTGGAGGACTTTGAAAATTTAGATCACTTAGGGTTCTTCAACGTGCACCCAAATCTGAGCACATGAGCCTACAACATTTTCGCCTCCATCGAAAAAACAGGACTAGATTCTTTGAACAGGAACACTAAAATGCTAATGCTCTAGCCTTTTTTTATGTCTTTACTGCCTTTAATCTACCACTGTGTTAGCTTCGTGCCCTCGGAGCACGTGGATAGCTACCCCGTCGCCGTGACCACGATTTTCTGTGCGGTGGTTGCGGCAAATGGTAGTTCCGTTTTCAATCTGCGTGCGCTGGCTGTGCACGTGCCTTCAAAACTAAGTCGTTTTATGCTATCTATGATCGCATCTGCCACGGTTTTGTCCACAGAGTTTGTAGAAAGCAGTGTTGCTTTCTTTGACTGGTCGAGCAGAGGACGCGCGCACACTTTCAGAGTTCTGTCAGTTACGTCATTACCATACATGATTTTGTCAAGAACGCTGTCAGCCTCTGGGTGGTTTAGGGTCTCTTTAACACATAGATTATACCTACTATTGAGTATTTAGTGTCGCTTGTTAGAATGTGCAGCATGCTTTGTTTTTCTTACCTTACGTCTTCTGTTATCTCATTGTCTAAGACATTCAAATAAGTTATCACGATGTGGCTTTGACAACGCCAACCCATTGATTAGTGATGCAAGTAATAACTGCATGTGTCCCAGTACACAATTTTCATGATGCACAGTGATGGCTTAAAAATAAACCCTGTACCAAGAGATACGGTGCACTTTCTGAATTCCTCATATAAAAAAAATTGTACAAATGACGATTTGCTGTGCATTTCAAGAATTGAGCCACTATACGAGCAGTACAGTGCTGTGCATATGTATTCTGTTCACACTGAGCAGTGAAGTTCACGCACAATATATTGATGAATTTGCTTTGAAAATATATTACTCATGGTATTTGAAAAATACTATGGGTAATATATTGTTAGCAAGTAACACATTCAAGTTATAGCCTGACATTCACAGAAAAAAAAAATCAGAAGGAGAAAAGTGCAAAAAAACAAAGATGTACCTTTTTTCAAATCCCATGTCTAATAGGCGGTCTGCTTCGTCTAACACAAGTACCTCCTGGCAACAAGAACAAATCAAATGAATAATGAGAACCGTTTGTGGGCTGCTTCACTTCACTTGTACACTGTTAGACAAGAGCAGTTTATAAGTTATAACAAGCTGTGGGAAAAATAAATGAAATGAGATTTTAGATGCAGACTAAAAAGTCTACTTCAACAGTATACATAAAATTTCAATATGAATCAAACCACCAGCAAGCAATGATTACAACCTATGTGATTACAACCTGACATGTAAACACATAAGTAGCAGTCCCACTGCTGAATATTTATCACTGTCCAACACTTTTATTGAGCTTATATGTTAAAGTGCCATGGCTTCCTCAATGAAATTAGGGCTCCCCCTTTCATATTGCTCACTGGTGTGCATGCAGCATAAGAAGCATGATCATGATGCTTCTTTGCCTCGCATATTCAATTACATATATCATGCTGATTTTTGAAACACCCAGCTTGACGCCGCACAAATTTTCAGTACCATGGATTTCACGCAAGCAGCAAAGCTGAAGCTTTCGTCGGTGCGTTCAAACATGTCCACCATACGTCCTGGTGTCGCCACAATGATGTTAGCTCTGCAAAAATAAGTAATTAGGCACAGTAAAATCAACATATCTTACGTCCTCAATACTTCCAGCATAGCTAATAGGACATTACCCGTTTTCCTTGAAAGTCTTGACATCATTTATGGGATTAGAGCCTCCTGTGAGAAGCTGTCCTGTGAACTGTGGCAAAAACTGGAGGAAGTGTTCAAGGACATTGTAAATCTGTGTGGCAAGCTCTCTTGTGGGAGAGATAACAATAGCGCCAACCTAAGGGGAAGAAAAAAGAGAGCACAAGACGAGCAATAAAAAATTAAACAAGAAGTTCATTGATGCCAAGCGCCCATTGAAAGGATTATTGTAGCATGCCGTTAGTGTGGCTGCACATGCCCAAATGCATGCTATCTCGTATTGGATGTTATCAGTAGATGGCACTCATGCCATTGGGCTCTAAAAGTGTGATGATGACAAGCGGCACACTATTATATTAACTTACCGCATATTTTGTGAGTGGTTCATCCCTCTTGAGCAACATTTCCAGTAGAGGTATTAGAAAAGCTAGTGTTTTTCCACTGCCTGTTACTGCTTCCACAGCAACATCCTTATTTGACAAAAACAGAGGTATTGTTGTTACCTGCATAAATAGAAAGATCAACTAACTTGAATGACCCTCCAGTTCATCTCACAATGGCCTTGCAACACTTTTTCAGCATTGTCAGAAAATGCTGCCTGGAATTTACAATTAATTCTAGAAATTAGATATAAATCACTTCCTTTTCTTTCTATAAATAACGCCATATACCCAAAATGACTACGTGACAAGTACAAAGTCCACGGACATTGGCTGATTTGCGCATAATGAGCTGCAAAGTTACTGTGGTTGACATAAGATGTCGCCTTGTTCCAGTGCTTGCAATCACACTGAAAGCCACACAATCAAAGAAAAAGAGGCTCTAAGGTTTTAAGGAAAAAAAGGTGCCCAAAGATCACCATGTGCACTGATGAAGGCACACATCTGCTTGCCCCTTTGTCATCCTCTTTCCTTCCTGCATAGCTTTCAACATACACACTGGTATAAAAGGAAAGTGCCTACAGAATGAGGCAGATTCTTGTAACTCTGTTTGTACTTGACCGATTCTCAAACTTTTTGTGGCAGTAGATTCATAAGACCATATGCTCTTCTAAAAGCCAACTGCAACGAAATTTGGCACTCTGCAAAAAGTCAATATATAGGTAGCCTAGCTAGAGGTAGTGCTGCCTGCCGAATGCCGCCTTCAAAATACAAGCGCTTACTTTAGAAAAAACTTGCAAACGACAGTGTTGTTGAGACCGAAACTAGAAAAAACAGTGCCATTATGGCTGACCGGAAGTGACGTGAACAACAGAAAAACCGTCTGCTCCGCGCTCCTCGAGCACGCACATCGCGGACGTGCCCCTTAGTGAGTGTGTTTTTTCTGTGTTAACCTAAGAAAGCTGCGTGAACATGCCTCTTATCGAACGCTGGTCCGGGCTTCCCACTGGTGGGTTTGCAGTGTCTGACCCCCGTATTCAGAAACGCTGCTTGAATTGAACTTGACTTGCCATCGACTTCAATGCGTCATGAACGAGTTTCGAACACGCTGTCTTTAGGTGGTGCCAAGACAGCACAAACGCGCCGCGGAGGCATACGTGCTTGAGGAGCCTACGGCCACGCATTGCGTTGGCATTGTACTGCAAAACTTTCCGAGTAACCGCTCGCGGACGGGAGTCACGCAAGAAAGAGTGATTCAGTGGCAGGGAGGATTGCTCACAAGGAGCGACGTTCTGTAGTAATCCTCATATCCAGTTCTGTCTGATTTGCCTGGGTACACCGGTAGGGCTCCACATCGTCTGCTTGCTGGCAATTAGAGCACCAGTATTGCAGCACCTTTGCAGCACCTTTTTAACAAAGTATTGCAGCACCTTTTTAACAATATAAAGAATAATTATTTAGTATTGAGTCTCGCTAAAGCACTGCAAGTACAACAGTTGAAGTACTCTTGACAACAGGCTATTTCTGTCCCTTTCATGAAACTGCCAATTTCTGTGTAATAAAAGACTACAGTGCGATTGTACAACCATCACAATATGAGGAACTATTTAGAAAATATAAATCTTCTGTGCAGAGAATATATACATTCTGGATAGTCTTAACGATGTAACCATACTATGTGAAATAAAGGTTCCATTTGATTTGATTCTAAAAAAAAAAAAAGCTAGAAAAATGTGGTCATCCACTATATTGACATAAAGATTTACCTGCATGAAACTAAGTTAACTGGTGAAATTCTATATTATTAAATGTATGAACAGCACAACAAACAAGGACTTATGATGAACACACACATTAGTCTTTTTTGCTAGTCCTTGTTTGTCATGCTGTCCTTACATTTATTATGTCCTACCAACATCCCCAAGTTTTCACCCTTGATATCTAGGTGTAATATTGCACAAGTGGAAGAGAAAAAACACACAAAGACAGACACAGTGGAACTAGAATGAACAAGTGTAGACTATCTGCTGCTAACAGAAAATCACAGTAGTGCACATTACAGAAAAAAAAAGTTGCAGATAACAATTACTTCAATCAAAAATATAACTGACTATGCCTATCAATTATTAATTCAGGAAAGTAATTAATGAATTACTAAGAGAAAGCCAAATTTATTAGGTAGCTTTCCTCATAATTTCCCATGCCCAGCATTTCTGTTCACACCAGAAAAGAAGTTTTTCACATGACCTTGCCTCAAACAAAACAGCTCAAAACCTGAAAAATTTTGCAGCTTGGTAGTGCCATGTATTTATGCTACCAGGAACCTCGTACCAAAGAGCCCAATCTCCTTAGCTATTACACAACATGCACAAGGCTTTATGGTATGACTAAAGCTCAGCCATTTAGACAAGGTGCTCATAAAGAAGTACAGCTGCAGCCTCATAGCATATACTCAAAACAAGCAGCTACACTTATGTACTATCATGAGTTGCATATATTGCCAACCACAAAAACTTGCAGGATCTCCAGAGGGTTGTGGAAAACTACACCACTGCAGATCCAGCAAGCTTTTGTAGCTGGCAGTACACAGTCTGCACACACTATCTGCTGCCATGAGCTCATGGCAAATACAAAAAGCTGCATCTCTAGTTAGAGCTTGTTTCTCAAATAAAGTAACAGGTTACATGTAACTGATCACAGAAAAAAAATCAATTTAACCACAATAATAGTTACCGAGCAAAACAAGTAATCCATAAATCGCAAAATATATAAATGGTACAAGTAATCGATTAGATATGATCAGTTATGTAAGTCTGTTGGAAACACATGGCAAAAGGAAAACTAGACAATGAAAAAGCAACCATAAGGCAAACTGCATGACATTAGAAAGTTTTTGAATTAGAATCTCTAGGCTTGCATTCCCATTTTGCACTCGAAGTATAGGAAATGACGACAACCCAAAGTGTCTGCGTATGCAAAGTATTGGGCACCCTACTTGTGAAGCAATGTGAGGAGAAATAAACCACTTTCGACTAAGGTGTCTAGTAGGGGCAGTCGCACATCGGCATCAGGGTTTTTTCATTGTCCAAGATATCAGCTGACTTGCCGTTTTCTTGCTTTAGTGTGGTCACATGGGTGTGAAGGTTGAAATGTTCTTTTCTCGTTCACGTTTTCCAATAAAAATTCAGTTCCGAATAAAACTAAATAAAAATTCAGTTTGTCTCTTCTTCCCTTGAGTCCATGTAGTGATGCGCAGAGTTAAAATATATTCACAAGAAAGCCATCTGTTCGTTCAATGAACTCATTTATTTTCATTAATTATACAGATGGCTCACTGACCTTTCTCGTACGTAAACTTATGTTCTGATATCGTATGTATCTAAAACTCTACAGTTGAATCAGAACTATCGATGTTGTAATTTCTATTTTTAATGAATTAATTTGAGTTTAGAAATATTTTGCTGAATTTCACACATACCGAAAGCGGTTGCTTAAAGGCCAACTCCAGCGATTTTTCGACCATGTCAAGGTAATGGTGTTTCTATGTTCCTGAGACACTCTTGTATCAACCCCAATAGCTGAAATGCTCAGAAAATTCGAAAATAGTTTTTAAGAAACGAAAAAGATGCAATACTGAAACCGAAACCCAACCGGGCGCCCTGTCAGCGTGTGACGTACTATTTGGTAAACACTGGAGGCCATATACTGGTCCCGCCGGCGCAGAGTATGAAAACTATGAAAGCCACACCAACGAAGCGCCGGCCAAACACCACAGAGGAAGGAAGAAAGCTTTCCCGTGCTATACCCATACGAAACACCGCCGCCGCCGTCTTGTGGCCTGCACAATAAACGCTGTAGTGGCCAAAATAGCGATGCCATCAGCTGCGTCACTTTCTAGTACACTGTACTTTCGTTGACATGCCAAACATGACATCACACAGACAGTGTTGCCAATAATTCATTTGCAAACAATCCGCGCATCTCTCAAGCCTGCAATTTGGCATAAATGACGGAAATGTGCAAAGGAACGTACCCAGCGAATTTCATTCAGATCCACTGATCTAGAAAAATTGCCGGAGTTGGCCTTTAATGAAAGAGTGCGGCTACGGCGGCAGCTCGCGCCACTAGAAAGCAAGAGCTGTGGGCCACTTTAGCTTGGCGGGGCCCAGTGCTAATACTCTCTACAATTCTGTTTAGTTGCCTAAAAGCACTTGGCTCATACCCACAAGGGGGATTGTCCACACTGTACATTTTATCTGTAATTGCTGCTGATAATTGATTGATATGTGGGGTTTGACGTCCCAAAACCACCATACGATTATAAGAGACGCCATAGTGGTGAGCTCCGGAAATTTAGACCACCTGGGGTTCTTTAACGTGCACCCACATCTGAGCACAAGGGCCTACGACATTTCCGCCTCCGTCGTAAATGCAGCCACCGCAGCCCAGATCCCGCGACCTGCGGGTCAGCAGCCGAGTACCTTAGCCACTAGACCACCGCGGCGGTGTAATTGCTGCTGATTATGTGCACCTTGTTTTTCTCTAGCTTAGAAATGGGCAGCTGAAGCAATACATAGTGTAGCTTTCAAATTTCACTATTTGTTTTCATAAGTGATCTCGGAACTAAAAAGTAAGCGAGAGAGGGTTTACATTTGCACGCGGAGTGTGCTACGATGTTTCCCAGGACATTATCAAGGCCGCAAGCGTACAACTGCTCCTTGAAAAAAAAAAAAAAAAAAAAACATATGAAGTGATACTAGTAGTGGCATTAGATATGGCATAAATATGCGAACAGATTTAATGTCCCTCTGAGACCCTTGAAGCACAAATAAACAAAACATATTAGCCGGCACGCTGGTCAACGCGCAGCGAGGCAGTTCACAGCGAAGATGCGCGTATCCCATAACTTCGCTTGCCAGAACACTGATCCGACTTGACATAACGCACAAAGGCATCGTTTTAGCACTGTGTAAAACAAGCATCTAGCTTCACATTTTCGGCAGGATAAACTAGCGCATCATGTCTCAAATTCAAAAGTTACACACCTGCACAGGCGTCATTTTCTCGAAGTGAAGTTCTTGAATTGCCTTTCTGACCTCATCGTGCACTTTCAATGAAGTCCATGACGAATCAACATGTTCAGACATGACGATAAATGGTACTGTAACCTATAAAACTATCAACTCGACGTCTGAACCTGCATTGCAAAGCGCATACAGAACTCAAAAAGTCAACACGGAGCGCGTGCGGAACGCGTGCATGCACACACATGCGGCTTCGGATGCCTCACTGGCTTATATCGACTTCTTTACTGACTGAACAGTGAATACCAAGTCGTAGTAAGTCAAGTCTAGCAGGCTACCGCGCTGTTTTGGTTTTGCCAGTTTTTACGGTCTGTGCGCTGCGACTCCAGCACATTCGAGCAATGATTGGAGTACTTTGTCCTCGGTTTTGAGTATTTCCTTGCTAGCCATCGGAGCTAATTCGTGCCTGTGTATGCGGTACATCGAAGATATACGAGTGCAGTTCCTTTCGTCGTTACCGGTTATATGTACGAAGTTCGGAATGACAGTGGATATTATCGTCGCGAGAGTTTTCGTAAACTTCATGCTTTACGTTTCTCTGTTTCAGGTAATTAAGAGAACCATGGCCCCGAACATGAGAACTGATGTTATTTTGCTGGAAGGAATGACATGTCCAGTTTGCGTTGAAATAATCAACAAGAAGCTGGTGAACCTGAGCGGTGTTGAAACTGTTCACGTGAGTTAATTCATTGTAGTGTACGTGTTTACAGTTCTCGGATCACGTCATATTTAGTTTAAAAAATAAACGAGAGTAATGTTGGGCAGTGCGAACCGTTTGAGCTTTGCGTTATTATTGTTATAAAGTTCTAATTTTTGCTTGAGTACGTGCTAGTTGTTTTAACGTGCTTTGATTGCGCATATAATCGAATTAAATATATGCATAGTTTATCACGTTAGCCGGTTTCTGTTCACATAAGTGGATAACTATAGCATTGAGTCATACAGGTGAATACAGCGGATGTCAAGCAGCTTGCCCGGGAGAGCACGCCGAGCTGGTGTAGTGGTTTCAGATTCCTATTTGTAATGCGAACCGGGCTGCCTTCCACTCGCTTGCCTGTCGCCTGCGTGGAAGCACACAAGCCGCCCTACGAGCTCGTGTAACTGCTATTTGCAGGTGGATCTGGACGAAAATGAAGCCGTCGTCAAGTATGATCCAAGCGAGGTAACCCTGCGTGAGATCACCCGAGCAGTTATAGAGAGTGGCTTCAATGCACGCACCAAGAATTCGTGTCCAAGCCTTGAAGACATCACACTTCTCATTGGTGGCATGATGTGCAACGACTGTGTTGGCAAAGTGACGGCAAATGTTGCACAAATCAAAGGAGTTTGTCGTGTTGATGTTTCCTTGGATAAGGGCAGAGCCAATGTTACATTTGAAACAACTCAAACCGACCCTCTTGCTATTCAGTCTACGGTAAACAACCTTGGCTTTGTTGTGACTCTCCCTGAAAGTATTCAGCCATCATCTGTCACTCTTTCTGTTGAAGGTGTTGCTTGCAACCTGTGTGTTACATCAGTTGAACGAGTGCTATTAGCAAAACCAGGAGTAAAAACGGTTTCCGTGTCAATTGAAGAGCAGAAAATGCTAGTTGAATTCTGCAGCTATGAAGTGAGAGCATACGACCTGTGTCGAGCTGTATGCAATGCAGGGTACTCGGCAACGATCATCAGTGAACAAGGACCTCCAGACCTTGTTTCATCATTGTTCAGCATCACAGGCATGACATGTATGTCGTGTGTGGCCTCCCTAGAAGGACTGTTGTCTCGAACTGAAGGAGTTGAAGGTGTCAAGGTGTCTCTCCAAGAAGGTACGGCTGCCGTCGTCTATGTCTCATCATTATTGACAAGCCAAAAAATTGTGGAAATTATCAGCGACTCTGGTTATGGCTGTCAGATCAAGGAGCAGACTCGAAAAGGCTCCATAGCATCAGAGGAAACACCACTTCTTGAAGTACAGTTTAGCAAAACTGCATCATGTTTGTCTGTTTCCTCCTTAGACAATGGTAAGTGCCTATCTTGAAATCAGGACTCATTTTTATGCTGTGTTTCTTTTCGCAAAGGATTTGTTATTAACAGGGTGTTACTAATAGCTTTAGTTTCAGGCTAATTGCCTTAAAAGGGCCCTGCAATACTTTCCACAGTTTCATAAAAATTGCTACATCAAAAGAGTTTATTGTTTCACAAGTCGACTTCCACAAAAATGTTTAGAATCTGTCAAGTATGAGAGTGGAGTTACAGGGATTCGTTGCACACTTTAAGCTTTTTCTCTTTCCTTTTGTACCAGTGAGCACGCTGAAAGCTACGTGAGGAGGGACTGACAAGGCAAGAAGCTTCGTCCGTCTGTCATTGTGTGTCACAACCTTGAACAGCGCCTTTTCTTTTTTTCGAACACGCAGCTTACTTTCAGTGTGATTGTGAGTGAACACATGGGCATGTCGCGGCGTTCCTCAGTAGCATTACTAGCTATGCAAGCTTAAATCAGGCAGTTGCAATGAAATTTAAGTTTATGGCACAGTCATGTGTGTTGGTGACATCATTTGTCAAAAGAAGAGCAACCAATTTCTAATTGAGTTTGAGAATGAAGTTTAAGTTTCAGTCCGTGTGCTGTACTATAATGTTTGGCTCACATGCTCTCAGGAGCTTTAATCACCAATTGGCGGTGTTTTGCTATCATGCTTGAAAGTGTTGCATGGCCCCTTTAACAGATTTTGATGCAAAGCAAGACAGGATGAACTGAAGGGTACATAATAACTATGCTTTGCTTTGATCTTACTACTGTAGATTGTACTTCTATAAGCTTTCTGTTCTGGTCATGGTCATAACAAGGGGGGACTTAAGGTGGTTCTGACACCTCTAAAATTTAATCGTCCTTTAACTTTTCGATCAAGTGATACCAGATTATTTACTTGCTTTTACATGTACCACCAGTAGCTAAAGTTAGCCATTAACACTCCCCCCCCTCCCTGAAAAAAAAAAAAAAAACTCCTGGGTACACCCATTGTTCTGGTTCTATATTAGCAATGATTACACTCTGTTACATCGTTATAGTTTGTATAGTTATCATTATGGAAGTGGTATGACATAGGAAACATGTCGTACTATTTTACAATATATACCATTATTTAAATTTTGATTGACCTATCTAAGCGTGTCGGAAACACACAGAAATCCAACTAAGCTCTCTGTCACACAGTGAAGAAATTTCCCGACTTGTCCTTCTACTTCACCCTTACACATAATGCTGCTTTTTAACAATTGCTTGCGACTTTTTCATATGAGACCCTGTCAGGCAAAGAAACATCACATTGAACAAACTTTGAAAGAGGCAGTGCCCTTCATATCCATGCACCTGGGACAACAATGGACAACTCATGCATTGTCCGTTTTATTGCACAGCTCACTGTACTTGCTGTCTCGGTTCTGAAGAAGAATATATATATATATTATATATGTGTATCTTTTGTACCATTTCTTTTTTTTTGTTAATGTGTTCTCTCATTTCTCACAGCCAGATGCTCATTGGCTGTGAGAATGCTGAAAATGAAGTTAATATTGGCGTGCACATGTACCTCAGTACCAGCTGTTGCTTCACACAACACAGTAGAGGGTGGAGTAAGATGGCGTCACGTTGTGTGTCTATAATATTCATTTATATATGTGTCATTTCCACACTATTTCACACGTTTTCTTGACTGTTTTTCTTAAAATTTTCTATTCCTATTCTTTATTTTAATTTTTATAGGTTCAAGGAAATTTTCATCAGTGGAGAACAAATTGCAATTAGCTCCAACATCAAAAATCTCATCAGATTCTGCGTGTAACAAAGATGTGCCTTTGCAAAAATGCCATCTTTATGTTAGAGGCATGACGTGTGCTTCCTGTGTGTCAGCTGTTGAGAAGAACCTTCTAAAGCTAAATGGTATGTTTAGCATGCAACTTGGGCTGCATTTGGTGTTCTTTGATATAATACAAAATTTGGCGCAGGGTTTTCAAAAAAGGAAATGTCTGATGAACCCCTTTCATTGTACTTTTTTTTGTAAATGTGAACTTTACACCGGTTACTTCTTATACTGTGCTGTGTACATTTAACAGAGCTGTTATGCCTGCTGTTCTATGGGTTTGCGTTGTCAACTAGAAGTTATCATGTTGGCGTGGCCATATTGAACCAAATCAAGCATAGTGTGTGCCTAGTTAAGCTAAGTTATTCGTAGTCAAGCATAAATAAGATACTTCAGTCAGGTTGGACTTTGGCCTAATTAAGTTGAGTTAACGTTCTGGAGGGCCCATTCATACTGAGCTCTGCAAGATGAGCTAGTTAAGTTTAATTAAGACTGAGTCCAAGTGGTTCTAATGAGCTAATTAAGCCTAGGATGACTTGGGATGCTAGCGATCTTGCACTAAGCCTCAAACATGTAAATTATGATGAGTAAGTTAATTATATTAGTTGGGCTAAATTATAAGTAAGGCTAGATTGACTTGAAATGCAAGCTAATTGATACCAAGCCTTGAATATGCCAATTAGGTTAATTAACCAAATATTCTATTTAAGCTAACTGCAACAATTAAGGTGATTACACTACTTGGTGCAGTGATTGTAGAGTGAATCCCTTTTGAGCCTGATTGATACCTGGCCAGTACTCGTGATTTACTATGGAATCACGTGAACAGATCGTGCATTGGTGTGTGAATGCATGTGTGCCTAGTCAAGCTAGGTCCAGGCTAGTTCTCACCAGCTGTGCTGCGCCTCAGCCTTGCACGACTTGGTGCAAGCGGTGAAAAAATTTTTTTTCAATACTTGCCAGGCCTAAGAGCATAGCAGAAGCAAGTGGTAGCATGAAAACTTCTGGTGATAATATTTAGAAATTAATAACGAACACAAAGTAAAACAAGTGAATATTGCTGGGAATAAATGAGTCATGAAACCACTTTGTGCTTGAAAAGGAATGGTCCACTTCTATGGATGATCAATTGAAGGTGGCACACAAAGTGTATTGGAAAGCAGTTTGTATTTAACTAGTTGTGAAATATCTTGTTAACATAAAAGACAATTTTCAGCATAAAGAGCAAAGTTGAGTTATTTTTTTACAATGGACTCTTTATGTGCAAAAGTATTGATTGAGGATGAAAGAGCAGCTTCAACTTTAGACAGACTCAATGATGCTGTTTAGGAAATAAAAATCCGTGTCTAGAATTCAGCTGGGATACCTAGTTTCTTATGAATGTGGTTTTTGAAGAAAAGTAGATAGATAAATTATTAGGTAATTGTGTGAGATTGCTTATTTTAACATAAAATCATTAACTGTGTATCTGTACATATCATCATGAAAAGGTTGACTTGATGCCCTCATTATGTTACGTTTTCTAGTATTGAGACTTGTATGGTACCTATGATATCATATGCTAATGTTGTGGTGGCTTGAGAAAATTTTCAGTCTGGGGGAGGAGAATTTACTTGGTAAGTTACACTTTTATTAGCAAGTAGTCCCATTTGAAAATCAGTTTCTCAGGGAAATACCTTATCTAGATTAAGAACTAAGCTATAAGTTTATATTTACTTTTGCTTTTCTTCGAAGTTTTCTAACTGGTGTGTTCTGTTACATGTAGTCTTTTCACAAATAAGACATGAGCACCTGTGCAAGTTTTGCAGGTGAGGCAGCATTTTGGGCTTTATTCCAAGCCACTGAACCTCCATTCGATATGTCATGTTCCAGTCAAAAGTCCCTACGACCAACTCCTATTCAGTAAAATTATGTGTGTACTAAAGAATTGAGTGTAGCCCAGCTAAATTCCTATCCGTCATGTGTATTGTGCAAAGACAGATACAGTGAACATTTATGGACAATGTGTCAATTCAACTGTCTTCAAAAACTTATTTGTTACATTACAACAAATACCACAGACTCAAACTGCCTGATTCTGTAGTCGTCAGTGAGATGTGGTCAGTAATAGTCCTAGTTACAAGGCTAGTAATGTGCTTGTCAAGTGTGCCAAGCCATTTCGCAAAGCTCCCAGCTTCAATAGCCCAGCTTATGTATAGTCAATTACAGCCTAAGAATAAATGTGAGCTCCGCCCACAGCGGTCATCGTCCAACTCAGGCAGAATTGGCATAAATGTTTTTCTGAATTGCAATCAGTTACTTACGGAACGTCAAGCAGGTTTCTTGGATTTCAGGCATATCACTTGCCCGTGCAGGCTCGGGTTGATTTTGCTAGCTATCGGTCGAAAAAATATACTTCTTGGCAAATTTCATCAAGAATTTCAACTTTACTTTTCTGGAAAATATAATGGTTTAATAGGGAACGACAAACCTTTAATTTATGATAGGCCTAGTATTTGCATTACCAGCAAAAGTGGGCTTATGGTTAGAACAAAAATCATCAAATTGCTTTGTGGCACAAATGAATGACAGGTGTGCTGCAGTATTGCGTGTATCTATTCTTAGGTTGCAACCAACTATAGATTACTGCAGCACAGTAGTGGGTGTGAGAGCTGCTGAACATGTCTTGGTTGATGACAGCATGATGTATACTCAACAGAGTGCACTTTGCGTAGAAGAGAATTCTGACATCATGATGTACTCTGAACTGATGATCAGTACCACCAAAGGCAAAAATACATCACGGTCATTGATGGCAGAAGTTGTGAGGAGCAAGCCAAACAAAGAATTTTGAGGACAAGGGATGCAATAGCAGAATTCCATACTTTACAGCTTTACCTGTGTTGCTCCCAGACTTCAAAGCCCAGCACACCGTCAATGATGATTTCAAAGTATTGACTTAGTCGCACATTTTTTAATGAAATGTGCAGGAGGAAAGATTTTGGTCTTCACTATTTTTTTGTATTTGTGGGAAATAATTATTTTTTATTTTAGCCTTAGTGTTACAGTTAGTAGTATGTATGCTAACTTTACAACAAAGTTACATTTATGAAACATTGGAGGCCCCCTGTGCATTGTTGTCCAGCTGTAGCCCAGTTGTTCTTTTAAGACATTATACTCCATTTGTTATTTTAATGTTATCACTAGCTTAAGTGGTGACATGAGATGTTGCAGGGTGGCATTTGGTTGACTTTCGAAAGGGATGGTTTACTTTTCTCTAGAATGCGAGTGCAGTAAATTTTTTGGCTTGATTTCGATACTTTTGCTAGAAAATCATACTAGTTATGAGCGCTAACTCAGATAACTAGGATGTTGTCAAAATCTGTTGGTTTTTCATACCTACTCTGTTCACTTTGCAATAGCATTTTCAGTTTATGCATAGTTTATGAGTGCAAAAAGAAGCCCAGTTTAAATGACTGAAAAAAAATTGCTCATTTTTATCTTGCTTTTTATTCGTCATTCAGACAGAAATTTCTTGTTTCTTCATTAGGAGGCAATGTCTACCTAATTCTGAACATCACTGCTTTTTTTTTGCCCATATTCTATTTTTCTTTTCCTCTACTTCCATATCTCAGGTGTAGCCCAGGCACTTGTCAGTCTTCTGTCAGAAAGAGCAGAAGTGAAGTATGATCCTGAGAAAGTTACACCTATGCAGCTTTCACAAGTGACGACTGATCTTGGTTATGATTCGTCAATCATAGAAACAGCTGAACTACAGCCAGGAGAAATTGATCTTTCGGTAAGTGTGGAGATAGCATCTTGGTGCTCATGTTTGCCTATGCAATTGTGCACATGCATGTTTTAATGTGTATTCCATGGTCAGGTTTGTGCAATATAATGACTGACCTGCTGAACCTGCTTAAAACGATTAATGCAGACAGAGTAATACTTGTGTGGAACTTGTTGTTGGGCTAGTTGGCGCATGTTTCAAGGAAATAAGACAATGCAAGCCACCATAGAGCAGTATGCAAAAGGAAAGAGCGTCAACTCACAACTAACTTTATTCTTGCAAAACCACAGCAATACATCCACTATGCCACACCTACGCAATAATGCACAATACGTCACATCGCACAATCGGACACTCAAAGCACATGCTAGTTCAGAAACTTGTCAAACAAATCAAATTCAGCTGAACGCAGTACAACTGCAGTATCACAAATACAGATATTTTCTTTTCTGACAAGGTATACTTCTAGCATCTCTACCTCGATATCCTCCTTTCTTCTGCCTAGAATGGTGATGTTAGCTAATCTCAACTCGCATCATTGTCTAATTTTGTTGTAAAATGCGGACTGAAAATAAGTGCTAACAACAGATTACTTTCAAATATGAAAATGTGCCTATAAGGAAGAGCGGTTAATAAAAAAAGATGGTGGTTGTGTGATATTGAATGGATACAAAGATTTGTTAGCAGCAGCCAAGGTCAAATTAATGGCGTATTGTGTTGGCTGCTCTGGCCCTCTGGCTCAGAGTTGCCAGATGTAGAGGCAGCTCGAAATCGGAGCAGGAAAAGCAGCGTACCAACCGAATACATTGGCGATCTCAGAGCGCTTAGAGCAGCGCGCCTGTAGCGCCACCGTGCAACCACTGCGAGAAGCTGCCTAGTAAACACACGGCCGCCAGGATCGAGTGGATCGGGCGCCCGATTCAGGCGGCCATGGTAAACATTGCTGCGCCGCGTCAACAAATGGTGCCGATCAGTTAAATGGACATCGCTGACATGTCTGGCCTTTGTTATATTCTTTCTCTCTCTTTCTCTGACATGTCTGGATGTAGCAAAAGCCTTCTGAGCTCAGCACATCTGACGATCGTCCTCGTCTGAGCCTCTTGAAGTCAAATCACGAGTTTGACTGTGAGCTGCTGTAACGACAGCATTGACGTATCTTCCGCCTTTGCTCGCCGCCTCGTTATTGACATGGTGCATTTATCGCTTTGTAGATGTGATTTCGGCTCGCGCGCGCAAAAACGCCATTAACAACGCACGTATGTACACGAAGCATTACGCGCCCGGCGATAACCCCTTCCTAAATGCACGCTCGCGCTCCTCACCTGGTTCACCTGCCGGCAGCCACATGATTGGCTGGCTTATGTCACATGATCTGTCCTCCCGGTCAGATCGCGCCATGCTCTCACTTCAAAGTCAGAGCGGTTGGGAGTGCTCTGAGTCAGAGGCTGACGCTCTAAAAGAAACAACCAAAGGTAATCTGAGCGCTCGAATTCTACCAACCGAAGGCGCAACCACTTTTCAGAGCGCTCGAAAATGCCCAACCAAATACGCCATAAGGAGCAGTTGTCTCATCTTTGGTATTGGTGGTTCTTACTCAGAGGAAGTGTGATATAGCACATTGCTACGTCTTGTTTCATTTCAATTTCTTTTACACTAGTGTTTTTTTTCTACTAATGTGCAGTGGAAGCTGAGGTTGCTGTTAAAGGGACATTAAAGACAAATATATTAAATTGGTGTGCATTGTTGAAATACCACAGCGCTGCTTTCTGTTAAAAGTGCTTAATTCATGAGTCAATCACATTCAGAGTGTCTGCATACTTCAGGCTTGCTGCATAGTTGAGGAAATGGCATCACATATACCACCCTCTACTGCCCAACAGGAGGCATTATGTTTTCTTGCCTAGAGCACAAAACCTGGGCCAGAGAGTAAACGAATGACATAACGTAGACATAGCGTTTCTTCTTACCTACAGTTGGGGTGAATTTTTACGATCAAGTAAAGTTCATGAATCACTATGCATTCATGAAACTAGACAAATTGGTGTGCATGGACAGTGGAAATTGCCGACCACTCATTTTGTCCACATTGTTAGATAGGTGGTGCCTTACTCATAGTGGCCATCACATGTTTCTGGCTACTGTTGTTGAATATGGCACTTGCTGTGGCTGATAATCAGAGTAAATCGTTGCTGGTATCAGAGATTGTGCACCAACTAAACTGACGTAAAGAAAAAAAATTTGTCGAAAGATGTAATAGAAATGCATAGTTAGCATTTCATGCAATCTTACAATATACTGCAATAGTCTCTTTACTCTAAGTTCTTGGGAAAAAGTGATGAAATTATATTGAGGGCATGCATTATTGGGTTAGCATTAGAAAGCTGTAATCATTTTGCATGTCCTACACTTTTTACTATCTTTATTACTAAATTGCTGTTATTAATAATTTCAACATTTTAGGTGTTCTAAAGTATTAGTAATATGTCGGTGTAGCCTAAATTGTTTTTTACTTTGTATCCCTTTAACTCCATCAGAACCTGTTACAATAAACACATCATGCCTTATCAGGCCAAATGCGACTCGTTTAAATATATATATTTTTTCATGGGCTATTGAAACTTGGAATGCATTACCAAATAAAATTATTGAATGTCGATCTGTGGATGAATTTAGTGGAAAACTGGAATTCTTTCTCGATTGTACATAGGCATGCTTCATGAGGTAAATGTTTGCAGAAGCTTGTCCAAATGTATGGTTTTTTTCATGTGTAATGCCACTTATTAATTTTTGTGTGTGTGATGTTTTTGATCTATTACTGCAGCATTATCTATTGAGGTATTTTGTGTTCTGGTTTCATTTTTTGTTTTGCTATTTTCATGCTCATGTATACTTTTCTAACCACTTCCTGCATTTGCCTATACAAAGGCCTACAGTATTGTTAAATAAATAAATAAACTGCAGTAAAGTTTATTTTTGTTTTATCTTTTAGTACACACAAAGTGCATAAGTACTTTACCTGCAATACTTGTGGTAGCATGTTAATTCAAACTGCTCATTACAATCACATTGAGTTACTCATGGGCATGTAAGGGCTCTTTGGGTTTGAGGTTTGGCAAACACAGATGTTTATAGGAAATCTCCCAGAAATTGCAGACTTTGCTATATGTTTGGTTTTTGACAAGTGCAGTATTGTTATTTAAAGTAGTTAACACTTTCGTGTAATTGAGCAGTCAGCATGCTCAGAAGGAAACACGGTTTCACATGGCTGTTGCACTGACTTTTTGGCTCATTTGAAATAGAAAACTTTAACCTAGCAACATCTTGAAGCTACCTTGACATTGTATTTTTGGTCAACTAATGTCTGCATGTGTGAAAATTCATGATGGTTGCCTGAATTGCTTGAGGGTTAAACCGAAAGATAGAAAGAAAGAATGCATGCTGTTCTGTAGAGAACTGTCTACTTCATTTGCTCAACCTGTAGGGGTTGAGCGCAATTTTCATAGCCCAAAAGTATTCTCAATGCTTCTTCTGTTCCCTCGTCATCATCTTTATCAGCCTGACTACGCCCACTGCAGGGCAAAGGCCTATCCCATGTTACTCCAGTCAACCCTTTCTTGTGCTTGCTACTGCCACATTATACCTGAGAACTTCTTAATCTCATATGACCACCTAATTTTCTGCCCACCTGAACACCCATTTGTTTCCTGACTCACTCTGCTCTCTTCCTGTCTCTGAAAGTTACACCTATCATTTTCCTTTTCAACACTCGCTGTGTCGTCCTCAATTCAAGATGAACCCTCTTTGTAAGCCTCCAGGTTCTTGCTCCATGTTCCCTCATGAGCCCCATAAAACAGCCTCAAAAGAGGGATGATGTTCTTCACTTGTCTCTGGGTGGGCAAGAAAGCTTGGAGGTCTTCCCCGAAAATTCTGTGCCACTTTTCTGACTCATTCATTACTCAAGCTTACACAGATTGCTTCATAGCTCATTCTTGTTAGGCAAAACTTCGTTAACTTTTTTTCTACCTTGACAAAGGAAGAGAAGTGTACCAAGTTTACCGGCAATTTCGTTTCACTCAATCTGAAGAGCTTTTTTTTTTCTGAATAAAACAGCACCATTACTTTATTTCAACAAGGCTCCTTTATTTTCCTTCTTGCTTAAGAAAGATAGCTTGAAGATTGCTTCACTGCATGGCAGTACAACGAAAACCAAGACACATGCGGCACAACATGAACAAGTCAGGCCATCTAGCGTAAATAAACACACCTAGAGTGAGTGTAGTCGCCACTGATTTCATGTGGAACCAATTTTTTTCAACGATGACTATAATTGTCATCGATCATTTTGGTACGAAATCTCATAATGACCATATTTTTCACAGGGAGAGAAAGGTTAAAGTCTGGTTTGGTGACAAAGTTAGCTTCATTAGGTTGTGTTGATAACATTGATTGCTATGGGTACCTGCTGAGGAGCTCTTATTTTAATTTTCACGAAAGGATAAAAATTTTTTCTTTAGATGGGTGCCCTTATCTGTACTTTTTTATCTGTCATGAAGCACTGGTAGATGAGCTTCAGCTGCGATATGTCTGTGGCTTGTTGAGTAGGATAATAGGAGACAGATTAAACAGAAGGGCACCTAACTGACAGTTCTCTGAAAGGTATTGTGAGATTGAAGAAAAGATGGAGCAAGTTTGTACAGTAGTAGACAAACATTATCTATAAAGTTTTTCTCGCGTTGTATGATTTCAAAAAAGTTATTCTAAAGTCTGCATTCATGGCGTTCATTGCACGTGATGGATGAGGCCATGTACCCTCAGTCATTGTTTCAATGAGAATTTGATTATTTTGTTCATTGAGGGTACTCTTTGAAGAGGCTGATGTTAGACATTGAGGCAGGCCCAGTGACAGAACACATGCTTGATGACTTCTTCGAAGTCGCAGTTGCAGATAAGTGGTATGCAATCATTCTGAGGAGGAGTAGGTACGAGTTTATGAAGGCTGTATCAGTTGTAGGTGCCATAGCAGGTTAATGTTGCACTAATAGGTGGCTTATTGTTATTACCGTTAGAATGATAGATAAGTATAAATAAGTAATCGGGCCAGTCTAGAACAGCCAGCATAACATCTTGAACAATTTGATGAATATCTCCATCTCTACAAGCTGTTGATGATAGAATAACCATGAACCGCACATTGTCATGAGCACATTTAGCAACTTCATTAGTAAACTGGTTGCTGAAAATGCTCCAATGAAGAGACAGCTGTTGGAAAACTTTTTTTTCAACTGCACAGTGGGGGATTTCTACAATGCTTGACAGCTGATTTTGAACAGCAAAACATTGTTTGTTTGCACGGTGATTCCTGCTCTACCTACCAAACACTGGCTGGAAGGCTGTCATATGTGATGCCGTCATATACAGTGCTTGCAATCGGATTGTGTCCAGATGGGCTGGTGGTGGCAGCCACAGAGCTTGTATGAAGAGTGCAACTGTTGAAATAAATACCAATGTCATCCATATATGTTTGATGCAGAAGTGCTGGTGCATTAACCTTTTGCATGCACCACAATGGGTTATGTAATTTTGCAGTGGGTGCAAAGCTCTTTCAAAGGAAAAATTTTGCGAGGCACAATAGTTCTTAGAAAAAGGAGCCAATGAACAAAATGCATGCAGGCATCCAGAATAAATGTTTAATATGCATGTTAGTAGCTTCGTTAGTAACTTCCAATCTTGAATATGTAGTTAGGGAGGAGGTATTCGAAGCAAGGCTTGTGCTCAAGTGTTTGTTTTGAAAGGGCTATTTAATTGGCATTAGTCCTTGTTTCAACGTTTATGGCTGGGTTTAATGTCTCTCGGGTTCCAGCGCATGGCAACATTGTTGTTACAGGAAATTCTGGGTCTGAGGTGACTTGTTTAGTTCAGTACAAGCGAGATGCCATTGTGCACAGCGAGATGCCATGGTCCCTCTATGAGCAGCTCCTGCAGACTATCAAGCATGATGTATATAGAGAACAAGGGTAGAACTCTTGAATTGGAGACCAACACCATAGTTTCAGAGCAATGGTCTTGTGTAAAATTATTATGCATGCCTTAGACACAAGTGTATTTACACAGTTTATTTTCATTTACCCTGAAGGTGATGAAAATGGTGATTGCCTAGCTGTCACTTTCTTCATCACGCTTCATGTTCAGTGCAGCACAAGCTGATGCAGTTGTTTCATATCAGTGAATAAGGGCATGAGATTTAGCTGTGTTAAAAACTAATTTTGCCAAATGATTTGTCTTTGTTGAGCAATGAACAAAACTTTGTTGACAAATGGGACTTCATTGTGGAGCTCAGTTTATTGCTGGCACAGGTTCTTGATTTTGTTGATAGACTTGTGATCTTTTTGTAGAATGGAATCTACATAAAGCGACAGTTTTTTAAATGGCTGATTGTCTTTAAAATTATCTATTAGCCGATTGCACAAACTCTCTATAAAGAGTGTCTTTTGAAGCATAATTAAGCATATTAACCGAATTTCTCACTTTTATCTACCCTTGTACTGAACCTGACCTAATAAAGATTATAATAAATCAGAGGATAAAGTATTTCCAAATATATACTATTGCTTTGAATTTTTTCGGAAATTGCTTTCGGGAAATCAATGCTCAAAAAGATCTCCTTTCCCTGACTACCCCTGATGTAGACTAGGGCATTGATTCTGTGTTTTTTGGGCTTTTTTGTATTGAGTCCACAAGAGACTTAGACTGGAACATTTGTGTCAAATTCGACTACTCATTGGGTATTAAAACATTCAAGACATTCGGTTGCTCAATAGTGAATGATCTCGTACTCCTGAGTGCTTAGCACTCATGCACATTCAGCTTTGGGAGTTGATAACGTAGTGCAGCACACTTGTATTTCCTTGTTGTTGTGACTTTTCACATAGAGGAGCACTGTAATCAAACATTTACTTGTTGACTGCCAGTTCATATTATTATCAGTGTTACCCAAAGTTTAGTCTATGAACTGAGGCATGTTGTTGAGCCTTGTTCACAATTTGTGAAAATATAAGTTAACTAAAGTATCTTCTTTTTCTTAATTTTGTTTAATTCATATCCTTAAACCTCTACCTAAGGCACTTGTTTTTTTTTTTCAGATCAAAGGCATGACGTGTGCCTCTTGTGTTTCTTCCATCGAATCTAACCTCTTGAAGCGACCAGGTGTGACAAAAGCATCTATCAGCCTTGCCACGCAAAGGGGCCATTTTGAGTTTGACACAGAACTCATTGGGCCACGGAGGCTTATCCAAGCTATAGAGGTCAGTATAGTGGTAAAATAGTTGGTTCATGTAGCATAGGTTTTCTCTCTTATTTCTTTTATGCATTTCTGATTCCAAAGCTGAGCATTTGAACAAAATTACCTTTTTGGTTGGGTTAATTAATACTTTCAAAAAGCCCCAACCAAACAAATGTGTTTAGTTCCCCTAAATTTTGGAATGTAGGGGAAATACATTCTGGGCTCCTTTAGAGAAAGTGACAATGGAGATGCCAAGGTGCAACCTTTATTGTTTATCACAGACGAGATGGAGAGCAGGTGCGAAAGCACATTGTATTTGGTGGTAAGAGTGTTGAGGGGGCTATGCTTGCTGTGTTTGCTTGTGATTGACAGCCCAGGGGTGGCAGGATACAGTTTAGTTCACTGCAGGCTCAGTTTCTCTTGATTTTTTTGCTGTGCTCAGATCATGTGTAAACTGTTGGCAGGTTTCCTTTGCAATATCTCAATTTATTTTGGTGTTTTCGATGAAAAATTTGTTTACTAACAGTCCTTTTTGTTGGTTATTTTCTGTTGTTAGGATTTCGATCTTTTCAAAGGCAATCTTATGGTCTGCATCTTCAGATGGTTGTGCAAGGGTGTTTTATTGTCTTCAGAATGTTTTGACATTGTTTATGTGCTGCTTAATTCCATTAGTAAAATTTTTAGTTTCATCAATGTATGTGGCCTGGTCGTCGAAACATCTGATATTATGGACAACTCCTTGCACTTTCCTTCTTGGTGTTTTTTGAAGATTTATTGTGTTGGTTGGCTTGTGTGTGTGGACGTTATGCCTTTCTTCAAGATCGTGCTGGTGGCTTCACTGTTGTCTTTCACGTAGGGGAAGAGATTCATTTTTCGAAAAGCGGGGTTTTTGGGGTGGTCTGTCTGAAACTATATTTTTTCTGCAGGATTTCTTTCAAAATGAAATGGCTCCAGTAGCCGTTTTTCTACCGTTTTGTGCAATGCATTTTTGTTCTTAATGGCAATTCAATTGTAAATGCAAAAAAGACAGACCCCTTCCATTCCTTGATTTATTACTGAAGTGAACTGGACGATTTTTATCTTTCTCAGTTTACCGCAAACAAATGCTACCTACACAATAATTCAAGTCACCCTGCAAGCCAGAAAGTGTTGGTAGTCAGTACTTTAATGAGATTGAAAACGCATTGCACATTGAATATAAACAGGAAAAAAGAAAAAAACATCATTTTCACATAAAATTCAAAGAACAGCTGCACGAACTAATTTATTCAAAAAGTGCTTCAGCAGCAAAAAAATAAGCAGAACTTGGAACAGGCTCCTCTCCACGTTCCCAGAAACGGATCTCACTTCCCTACTTGAAAAGCACCAGTGAAACCACCAGCACAGTCTTAAAGCAAGGCATAACTGTCGCTTACAGACCAATCAACACAATAAGTCTTCTACCAAAAACTTAGTGATCATCCACTGAGGGAGAAAGTGTTAGGTGTATATAAAATCAAATACTGTTAAACCCTTTTCATAAAAGACAGCACTAGATAATAGTTCTTGTTCCTTATAAGAGACGCCTTTTATGAGCTGAATTCATTGTCTGAGCGACTATTGTTTTGACATAGGCTCACTGGACTCCCCTGTACCCTGTTGTCTCTTACATCTTATATCAGTGCCTTTTATAAGAGGCTTCAACTGCATTCCAGCTCTCCAGCCACATATAGTGGCTAAACGAAAAATTTCACGGGGAAACTTTAGCAGCACAATGTTAATACATTCTCAAGACAATGAAACCTCCTTGCAGAAGCCTTAGAAGATGCAGAATATAAGATTGCCTTTAAAAGGCCTGAAACCCTAACGCAGAAATGAACCGATAATAGCGACTGTTACTGGAGTCACGGTTCACTTAAAACGCCAAAACAACTTGAACTTTTTAAAAAAAAGCCTGCCATTAGTTGACCTTCATGACCTGAACTCAACTGCTTCCTGCTGCCCCCAGCACATCATTCACGTGCCACTGTAGCAAGCACAACCTCATGAACATTCTCATCACAAAATAAGATGTGCCTTTACTTCTGCTGTGAAATAAGTTAAAAGTTTTACTTCGACGTCTCTGTTGTCCCTCTACCTAACAAAGGAAGCTGTGCCACACAATGATTTCAGTGTTGGCTGCTGTTTTGACAGATATTTTTGATGGTTATTATAAAACCATTGTTATCATGCATGTTTCTATACTCTAAAATGAAACGTAAGATAACCAAAGCAGCTTTTTTATAGTTTGCATTTCTAATGCTGTGTGATTACCTCATAGCACTTCACAGGTGTTCGTTTGCATTGCTCAATAACTCAAATGTTGTGCGAACCTATTCTGACGCTTTTGCCATCTACTCATGTTTACTTCTTGTAGTTTGTTTTCCGACAAATTGAATTATATAATTTTAGCATAGTCATACTTTATTGTGATATAACTGAATCGAATAACTATTTCACACAAGTCATGGACTACTTAAGAATAAGAATGCTGTCATCTTGTATTGGGGTGATGCCACGAGAGATCGACACGGGTCCAAAAGTTGATATTTTAGATTTCATTGAGTATTTTATATTTCGTGCACCTCTCACCAGGTAGCCTGAAAGTCAATTTCGGTTTATGATTAATGGCATACAAAATGAATACTTGCACACAAGTCACACTTGTGCGCAAGTATCCACAGTGCGAATGCAAAACTGAAGTATAGTACGTTAAAATGAATTTCACAATGTTTTTGTCGATAAAATTACGAGAGGCGTAATCTTTGTCCCTACTTTGAACTATATGATCTAAAGCATTGCCTCCGAGATGCGGCACACAGCAATTCATTTGTAGAGCAGACGACGGATGACAACTTGCCCTAAAGCGTGTTCTTCAGTCTAATGCGGCAGTCTTCGTGCCCCAAATGATAAAAATTTGTTATAAATCGTTTATGAACTCATTCAACATTCAATTCTCTTACCCAACGTGTTGCAAACACATGGCCGTCACAGCAGCTCCATCTGTGTGTCAGTAATGGAGAGGCACCACATAATAGAAGTCTCAGTGCTCTACGTGTAAGAGTGAATTCAGATACTGTAGAATTCCGTGTTCAAAATAGTTACTCCTATCTGCTAAAACAGCCTTTCTTCACCAAATGGGGTCACGTTTACTCGCGTTTGAAGTTTATTGCCGCTTTTCCGTTCTGATTTCTAGATTTCTCAACTTATCAGCGCATTCTGGAAAAGCTCTGATTTGTACCACGAATATTGTCGCTAAAAACAAAATAATGCAACATGTTTTTCTATATTACTGTATGATGGCCTTCGGTGGTTCATTTACGAGATTGTAAGAAAAATCGAAGATGGGGTTTTTTTATTATTCAAATTTCAGTGGAGTACACTTTTGCCAATAACATATTTGTCTTTTTATAGCATCTGCAATTCTCGAAAATGACAGGTGACGAAATTGGTGCCTCCGTGTTGGTGAAGTTTGATATTTCTTTTCTCGTAAGTTATGCCGTTAATCATAAAACGAAGTTGACTTTCGGGCTAACTGGTGAGAGATGCACGAAATATAAAATACTCAATGAAATCTAAAATGTCAACTTTTGGACCCGTGTTGATCTCTCGTGGAATCACCCATTGTTATTTTCAAGTTAATGTGGCAATAACTGTCAGTGCATGTTGTTCAAACTTGAGTAAGTTTGTCAGTGACAAAAACAACAAAAAGCTTGCACAGACCCTTGTGCCACTGCAGAATTGTATTATACTGTTGTTAGAGTACATGGAAAAAATGTAATGGCTGTTTCAACAGCGAGAAACATGCTGCTGTAATCTAACTTTTGTGTAAATTCTATTTATATTTGTTTTACCATGATCATTATTATGAGGCTGACTGCGCCCATTGCAGGGCAAAGGCCTCTCCTTTGTTCCGCCAATCAACCCGGTTTTGTGCTTTCTTCTGCCGTGTTATACCTACAAACTTTTTAATCTCATCAGCTCACCTAACTTTATGTCTCCCCCTCATGCATTTACCTTCTCTGGGAATCCAGTCAGTTACCCTCAATGACCAGCAGTTATTCTGCCTATGCACTACGTGCCCAGCCCAAGTCCATTTCTTCTTGATGTCAACAATGATAGCCTTAACTGCCTGTTTGTTCCTTGACCCACTCTGCTCTCTTTCAGTCTTTAGCAAATACACTCAAATATAGTATGATTTATATCTCTTTTATGCAATCATTATTCAGGAGCTGGGGTTTGAAGCATCTCCTGCGACTGTCAACAAGCTTGATGTAGACCATCTAACTCATGTTGCTGAAATTAGAAAGTGAGTTGTATTATTCTTATCTCTGGTTACTTCATTTTATTGATTGCTTGCTGAAGTGAAAGCTGCTTACAACAACTGCATAGTTGTACCTTGTCGTGAGAATTGGTTGTTTACATTGAAACACTTGGTAAAATGCTGGAGGTTTGATAATAACCTAGCTTTGATGTAGCAACTTGTCTGCTAAAACAAACAAATTGAAAAGTATTGACAACCATGATGTTGGTTTCTATGGCTGAAAAAAAAAATTGAAACAAGATCGTTGTGCCTCAGTTCTCTCTTTTTTTTTAAAATAAATTTCAAGGAAAAATGGAAGAAATATGTACATATATAGTTGCAGTTGATGGCAGGGTGACATGGCAAGTACAATACCTCTTTCATTGTACTTTTGCGAACAGGAAATGCTCTGAAGGCTTCCTGTAGCAGGCAAAGGAATTTCTTGTTTGTTTAATATAAATTATACAGATTCGCTTAGTTTAAAGTTCAGCTTAGAAAGTGAAAGTTTCTTTTTTTTACTAGTCTACCAAGATGGCTTTTTTGTTAAAGACAACTTTTTTTTAAATATATTTCAGATTGTGCCTAATTTCCGAAAAATCCTTTAAATTTTGCTTCTATTGTTTTGTTTACAGAGAGTCCTATCTTGCATCCAATCACTGCAAGTCTTTTTGCATTACCCAAATACAAAACCAAATACAATATAAATAATATTGTTGTCAGCCTTGCGTAACTAGGCTGATAGCAATAATAATTTATAATGTAAAAGATTAAGTAATTAGAAATTTTAAGCTGGGTTTTCTTTTATGGCCTGTTTCGTTTACTTGTTTAACTAATTATCATATACTTGCATCACTTTTAGCATGTTTTTTGTTCTTTACTTATTTGTTGCAGTTTTCTGGTACTTCCACTTTTCACTTCCACTTATGTTAGGCAATATTACATGCTGTTATAAGTAAACCTTTTATTGTTATTGTTCATCAAGAGTCCCACTGCTGTTGCCAGACTTTGGGACCCTCGTACGCATACATTTAACTGTGAACTTTGTATTTTGAATGAATAAAAACTGAAATCAACTGCTTAATAAAAAAACTGCTTTTTCATCAGAGCTCTAATTTTGTACTATTTCAGTACTACTCAGTTTAGCAAAATCCTACTGTGTGATTTCAAGGCGTGTGCAAAAATTAGTATGAAAATAGATATGGCATGCAAAGCAAGTTATTCTGCTGACAAATTCAAAATAAAGGCAGACAAAAAAATTTTCCTTTTCTCGACCCATGATGACTTATTGCAATCAAAATGCAACCACTGTTCATGTTGTGGAAGCTTATGTCACACTGAAACCTTTTTGCAACAACCCACGCATGCACTTTTTGACGTCATTATCATGCCATGTTACAATAATGCACAGAAGCCGAGCTGTTGACGTGGAACATGAGAAACTATGAGTTTCTTTCATTTTATTGGATTTGAAATGTAGGATCCTTTAAGCATGTGAGCCACTGTGCAATGTCCCATGCTATGACACTCATTGTGTTAAGCAGCCTGAAACTCGACATAGGACTGAGATGAAAAAGTTGATGAACGAAAGCACACACTTGTCTTCATTTGTCCCCATCCTCCTACCTTTTCTTACTATTTGCTTAGATTTGTTGATTGATGTGTGGGGTTTAACGTCCCAAAACCATCATTTGATTATGAGAGACGCCATAGTGAAGGGCCCCGGAACTTTTGACCTGGGGTTTTTTAACGTGCCCCCAAATCTGAGCACACGGCCTACAGCATTTTTGCCTCCATCGAAAATGCAGCCGCCTCAATCACGCGACCCTGTGGGTCAGCAGCCAAATACCTTAGCTACTATACCACCGCGGCGGAGAGCTTAGTTTTGTGCTGCTTAACAAGATAGGCCAACGCTTACTAGGCCACCCTGCCAAAATGTACATTTTGAAGAATGTTAATTGCCACCAAGTCTAAATTGACATGGGAGTTCGAACACACTCGTTGTAAAGGAACTGGCTGTACAACTCATTTTTAAGCATGGTTTATTTGCAGTACACTGAGATTACTGTTCATGCAGCTCTAAAGAGTTCAAGACACATTTATTTCTGTAAATTATAACTGTGCAGCATAAACACATGTATCATGGTCATCATGGCGAACCAGTTATAACTAGAGCTGTGCGAATAGCAACATTTTGGGTGTGAAGCAAATTTGAATATTGAAGTGTGAGTGCGAATCAAACAAAATATTTTTTGAGTAGTTCTAGAATATTTTTCGAATGCTTGAAAGCAAAATTGCATCAAAACAAGCTGCAAAGGCTTTCTAAGCATATTCTTGTGAAGTAGAGACACGAAAGTTTTTTGGCTAAGTTGGTGAAGCTCTGGCAGCATAATGTTTCGTAGTTGTCTTATCAAGAATGAGGCAATGTAGAGGCAGAATGGTATATTACCAAAGTGTTGCTCACAACACTTGACAAGTGAAAGGCAAAAATACTGTTTTCTCAGCCTCTTCTCCTCTTTCAATCTCTGTGGGGGGTGGAGAAGAGTGTGCTCCTTTAGAGCCTGGTGTTCCAAATCTGCTTTGTAGACGTCAATATATAAGAACGTCAGAAATTTCAGCTGCTAAATACTTTTGGCGTCTGATTTTTTGGACTTGCGGCCCAAATGTCTGGTCCAAAACAGCGTAATTCATCCCCCACCTCTGCCACAACCATCGTCTCCATGTTGTGACAGGTGTTTTGTCATGTCAATACATTTGTGACTGTAGCAGAGCAAACACTATTTGAAAAAAAAAAGTTCAAAATTTTGGATATTTGCACACCCCTAGTTATAAAACATTATGTCAGACGCTACATTTGTTATAAAAAAAAGTGAGTTTGGGGCACTGGAATCATTGTGGAAACTAATTTAGGGTGCAATTCAAAATACTGGAAGATTTTATTGATTGATTGGTTTGTGGGGTTTAACTTCCCAAAACCACCATATTATTATAAGAGACGCCGTAGTGGAAAGCTCCGGAAATTTCGACCACCTGGGGTTCTTTAACGTGCACCCAAATCTGAGAACACGTGCGTAAAACATTTCCGCCTCCATCGGAAATGCAGCCGCCGCAGCTGGGATTCTAGCCCCGCTGTGGCGGTCTAGTGGCTAAGGTACTCGACTGCTGACTCTCAGGTCGCGAGTTCGAATCCCGGCTGCGGTGGCTGCATTTCCGATGGAGGCGGAAATGTTTAAGGCCCGTGTACTCAGATTTGGGTGCACGTTAAAGAACCCCAGGTGGTCAAAATTTCCGTAGCCCTCCACTACAACGTCTCTCATAATCATATAGTGGTTTTGGGACGTCAAACCCCACTTATCATCATCAGCCGAGATTCGATCCCGCAACCTGCGGCAGCTGAGTACCTTAGCCATTAGATCACCGCAGCGAGGCAATACTGAGAAGTTTAACTGCGGTGTTGGTGCTCCACTTGGTGCACAACAAAACAACAACAATAACAACAACAACAATAATAATAATAATAATTTTATTATATTAATATTACGATTATTATAATTATTCACTTATTTTATTTGATTTCTGTATCTAAAGTCTGTAAAGCATAGTTTATTGTTTTATTTTGCATGTGTCTGCACAATAACTTTATGGTTGATCCTTGGGCACGTTAAATCAGTGAGTGATTGATTGATTGATTGATTATTATTATTATTATCATCATCATCAGTAGTAGTAGTAGTAGTAGTAGTAGTAGTAGTAGTAGTAGTAGTAGTAGTAGTAGTAGTAGTAGTAGTAGTAGTAGTATTGCCTAATAAAAACTATATGAAAGAACGCTATTTACATGTTATAATTTGTCTCATTTTTTTCAGATGGCGCCGTGCCTTTTTAATTTCTCTGATTTGTGGCATTCCTACCATGGTTGTGATGGTTTACTTTATGGCCTTTGCTGACATAGGCAATCATTGCTGCCTTATTCCAGGGCTATCCTTGGAAAATCTTCTTTTGTTTATTTTTGCATCACCAGTTCAGGTATTTCATCATTTTGGTTATCATGGTGAGGCATAATTTCATTGTGCTTGCTGCAGCATTGCTCTTAGGGAGCTGATTGGTTCTACTTGAGTATAGAGTGTGAGTTTGTAAGCATTCAGGTGCCTAATACAGTTTTCAAATGCTTGTACGTGTATTTGCTGACGTGACATCGGAGATATTTTTATTTATAGGTTGGTGGTTTATACTTTTGGAATTCGACAACAGTGGCTTTTGGAAGCTTTCAATAAATGTGCCCATTATTCTGCAAGAAAACAGTGTTGTCATGCACATTATGATTCAGAGAAACAGCTCAGGATGAGAAGCTTGTCCAATATTTTCTGCACTAATAAGCCGTTTCTTTATACTGAACGAATGCAGAATAAACCCTAAATGCAGGACATACTAATCTACTTTGTTTTATTGTTCTCTTTATGGGTTCTTTTAGGATACAATTAACTTCTGTTCATTTGATCCTGAAAGAATCGATGAAATTGGTCTAATTGTCTTGAGTTGAACCAAGCAAGAAGCAGGAAAAATGACAGAATAGGTCGCTGACTTGTCTGCCAGTATTTAACCTTATTGTAATGCATCCTTTAATTGAATATGCACCTTAATTTTATGGGTGTGAAGTAGAAAATTGTCTTAAATGTTTACATTACAGTACCTAAGCTACATAGAAATTAAATATAAAAACCACATATGTCTTATTCAGCCAGTAAACAAAAAAAAAACAAAACCGAGACTATATTATATTTCTTTTAGCTAGCACTTTATCACCATGAAGAATGAGATATGTTGTCTTTAGTATGCGCTCTATGAAAAGTTTGATGTTCTGCATTTATCAAATCAGTTGTCAACAATCACAACCAGGATAGTGACACTGATGCCAGACCAAGCACTTCACTAGTCTATCAGACTGCATGTGCAAATTAACTGAAAACTGAGAAGTGGTGTGTCTTATTGCAAATTGCTGAATAAGTAAAATAACATATTGTTTCTTGGTGTACTCATAATGAGACAGAGAAAAATGTCTTATTAGTTTGGTTAGGCTGCAGAAGCTCGCCGTCTATGTTGTCATCTTTTGATGACACCAACGACACTGCGCAGGCAGGCTCTGTCTACATTGTTATCATAGTTTTGGCTTCATATCAGATAGCAGTGCCCGCATTGCATCACCCAATAAACTTCTAGAGAATTCTTTTGTGAATAAAAGCATGATTTATAGTCAGATAAGTGATGTAATAATCCATTTCAAGCCATCATTTTCGTACAAGATGCACCCTGGGCCGAGTAAAAATATGAATTTTTGACAGGTCACGACATATTTTAAGCATTGACTATTTTATGAGCAATACGAATTTGAACCCTGCTGCTTTAGAACTGTTACTACTGTCACAATTGTGCGAGAGGTGTAGGTAGGATGACCAGCCAAGTTAAATTTATCCTGCAACGGCTAATTTCGCAATCAAAGTAACAAAACTTAGCTTACATAGATAGGTATGGGGCACCAGCTGGTACTTCTGTTGATATTTAATTTCCTACAAAAAAATCTTATTACACTCAAACCTTCATGGAACGAACAATGGTATAACGAATTATTGGTTATAACAAAATAAGTGAAGAAAAGTGAAGAATAGTTTTTTTTTTTATGTATACAGTGTTAAGAAAATATGTCCATAACGGATATTTAGGTGTAATGAAGTATTCTTGTAGCAGGTATGACTTTGCTGTGTAATGATGTTTGAGTGTAACTGCAGTTGAATTCATCAATTTGAATAATTGAACATCAATTGGTTTTTAAATTTTTTTCTGCCAGTAGTAAATGAAGTTAGCATGCAAGAAATACTTTTTATTTAGCATAGTCAGTTCTCAACTGTTTTGCTTGTAGTTCTCAAGGTCAAATGTCAGTGTCTTAGGAAAGGAACAAACGAGGCAGAAACCATGTGTAGCTTTGTTTATGTTCTGTGGTGCCTGTTAATCTTGCAGCCTTGTTTAACATTAATTTTTTAAGGAGCCTTGTTGAAACATCAAATTTCGTATGCTCTTCAAGATTCCATTCGGATAATGATATTGAAATTACATGTGTGCTGTTTACTTCCAGTTTCTGGGTGGGCGACACTTCTATTTGCCAGCATTTAGGGCCCTGCGGCACGGCATGGCAAACATGGACGTATTGGTGATGTTGGCAACCAATGTGTCCTACCTGTACAGCGTTATCATTCTTCTCTACTTTGTGGCCACTCGATCTGATCGCAGCCCTACCACATTTTTTGACACTGTACCCATGCTCATTGTCTTCCTTTGCCTCGGCCGCTGGCTTGAGCACCTTGCCAAGGTACATAAGCAAGATTGTTTAGCATTATGAATTTTGTGGCATTACTTTGGTGGTTGCGGCCTGGCTGAAAAACCATGTTAGCTGAGATGTCGGTAAATGTTTAAGAGTTAAGGCAGCTGCTTTCCATGACAATGTTGTTATGTGTGTCAAGCTCACTCACCCCATCTGCAGTGGCGGAGGAGGCAGATAAGTATGGTTGCAGAAGCCTCCTCCCACATTGAAGATGGGGGAGTGTAAGCTAGGCACTGTGAAAATGTCAGGCACATTAAAAGTGCCCTCATCAGAAATAAAAATGCTGCTAGGGGAAGCAGCTGCTGCTGCTGCTCTGACATAGTGAACTTTCCCATTTGGAACATTGGCAACAGTGACACTCCTTGTTCATTGAGTTCTCATCTCTTTAACATCATTTTCTCCAAACTTTTTTCTTGTTTGGATCGTCGATGAGCTGACACTTGTATTGAGTACTTCCCTAGCCCTGTTTGAAGTGCCATTTTTCTAGATATGACCTGTCCATCTCATTGGTACTCCCCTGCCACATTTGGGGAGCTTTGTGAGTGGGTCACCTTCTCAGGTTAAGATAATCACATTGTAGAAAGAAGAAAAGGAAGAAAGTAGCAAGGCATTACTGCCGATGGTACTCCTAATGAGAGAAAGCTGTTTACGGCAGTCAAAAAGGAACGGGTGAAGTAAATGTCGCACCTTTATAACATTTCTCATATAAAGTGATAACTTTTTTGTAAAATGTCTGTAGAAAGATACAAATGTAAAGAACCACATATACTATAGTGATCATAGTGCATAATTATGTAGTTTCAAAAAGCAGGTGTCTCAGGGCTTCTTTGGGGCTGTGATCATGAAGGTGATAGAAAGAGCATTTTAGCGAAAAACATAGACAGATGAAAATTGCAGTTTTACATAATGAAAATAGCGCATGCAGCCCTAAGCATTGGCACTTTTCAAAAGTCTAGCCTACTTGAGAAATATGCTACCGCAGCCTCTGAAAGAAGCAGTTTTATTTGTGCTACAAAGCTTATAGCCAAGAATAAAGTAGATTGGTTGTGAACTTCAAAGACACTCTGCCATTACCACTCATCTGAAGTGCCCCACAGGCCAAGAGAGAAAGAAATAAATAAAAGGAAGAGACGGAGGTTAACCTAGACGAACCGGTTTGCTACCCTGTACGGGGGTGGGGAAAAGGGTCGGAAAGAGGATAGATATAGAGAGATATAAAATAAATTAGAAAAAAAAAACATGCGCACACATTCAGGGAGTTCCGATCACAGTCGTTTCGACAGGCCGGTTGAACGCAAGAAGCGCAGGAGCGCTTTCACAGCCTTCTTCTGCGACATAAAGTCCTGTTGGCAGCGCAGGATTCTTTCTTCTGAAAGAGGCTGGTTGTCCAGTTCATCTAGTGCATTGCAGAGTGACTGTCTCTGCGAGCAGTATTGTGGGCATTCACACAGAATGTGCCAAGTTGTTTCATCACTGTCACAATGGTCGCATGCAGCAGTGTCAGCCATTCCTATGCGGAACGCGTACGCATTGGTATATGCGACGCCCAGCCATAATCTGCACAGCATAGTAGCGTCTCGTCGGCGTAATTCCGGAGGAATTCGAAGACTGAGAGTTGGGTATAAAGTACCTTACCGTGCATGGATGAAATGTGACTCGTTCCATTGTGACGTGGTGCGCTTGTGAGCAAGCATGTGGAGTTTCCGTGCAGCGTCAGTTCTGGAAAGAGGAATTGATATTTCATCACTTTCAGTATGGGCAGAACGGGCAGCTCGATCTGTCCGTTCATTGCCAATTATTCCACAATGACTTGGAAGCCATTGAAAGGCTATTTCATGTCCTTCCTCGATGAGTTGGTGCGTCTTTTCTGCAATCTCAAATACCAGCTGTTCGTACGGGCCGTGGCGTAAAGGTGATAGAAGGGATTGCAGTGCCGCCTTTGAGTCACTGAAAATTGTCCATTTTTGTGGCTGTTGGTCGTTGATGAATTGCAATGCGGCACGAAGAGCTGTGAGCTCTGCTCCCGTTGATGTCGTAAGGTGGGAGGTCTTGAATTTTCTTGTCGTGTCTTTTATCGGTCTAACAAATGATGCCGTTGAACTCTTCTGTAAAACAGAGCCGTCGGTGTATACGTGTATACAGCCTTGATACGTCTCGTATAACAAGAGCAGAGCAAGCTGTCTAAGAGCAGGTGACGACATATCTGCTTTTTTCTGGATGCCAGGTATAGTTAGCCTGATGTTAGCCTGAGTCAGGCACCAGGGAGGAGTCGAAGGCCTGGCGGCGGGTGTGAAGCATGTTGGCAAAGAATCGCAATATGTGGTGACCGTTTGGCAAAATGACGAACGTGGTCTGTCTGCTGGTAAAGAGGCTAGGTGGTGGCAGGGTGTCCGAGCAATATGCCTTATATGTGTCCTGAGTGCCTCAACGTCGGTATGTGTCGTGATGAGGTGGTCACCGGCGATAGCTATAGTAGCCATTGTCGATGCACTACGAGGAAAGTCGAGGCAAATCCGGAGTGCCTGGGACTGAACACTCTGTAGCGTTCGAAGGCTTGTTTTGCTTGCATTGGTCAATGCCGGTAAACTGTACCGCAGAAAACCGAGAAAAAGTACTCTGTACAGCTGTAGCATTGCACTGGGAGACATTCCACAAGTCTTCCCTGCAAAGAACTTCAGTATATTACAGATGTCCATTAACCGTTTCTTCATGTACGAAACGTGATCGCTCCATGATAGATTCCTGTCAATTATGACGCCCAAAAACTTGTGCGATCGAACGTATGGTACAGTTTGACCATTGATGCTTATAGTGTACTTATCCATAGGCTTTCGTGTGAAAGCTACGAGGGCGCATTTCTCGGAAGAAATTTCCAAGCCTCGATTTCGTAGGTAGCATAATGTTTCAGTGGCAGCTTTTTGAATTCTCTCTCGTAACTGCAGGCGTGTTACAGCCAATGCCCAAACGCAGATATCATCTGCGTACATCGATAGCCTGGCCGTGCTTGGCAGATGCTCAGTGAGAGAAATTAACGTAAGATTTGAACAGCACAGGGCTGAGTACGCCACCCTGGGGGACGCCACGGTGGCTGTAATGTGGAGAGGTTGGACCGTCTTCAGTGCTGACAAAGGATCGCATTGACAAATAACTACGTATCCAGCGATACATCCGACCACCTACTCCTATATCTTCGAGAGCGGTGAAAACAGCTTCATGCGTAACGTTGTCATACGCCCCTTTAACGTCTAGGAACAAAGATGCGCAGAGACGCTTACGGCTTTTCTCGTGTTGGACTAAGAGACCAGGTCGACTACGTTGTCAATCGATGCTCGACCACGCCGAAATCCTGCCATGGCATCTGGGTAGATGTTGTTACACTCCAAGAACCACTCCAGGCCTCCCAGGATCATCCTCTCCATAACTTTGCCTACCCAACTAGCCAATGCGATCGGACAATAAGATGAGAGCTCCAACGGTGACTTGCCTGGTTTCAGAAGTGGAACTAGGCGACTTGTCTTCCAGCTTGTCGGGAGCGTTCCATCTTGCCAGGATTTGTTGTACAACTCCAAAAGGAGGATTCTCGCGCGTTCATCCAGATGACACAAGGCCCTATAAGAAATTCTATCGGGCCCTGGTGTCGACGTACGTCCACACAAAGCTAGTGCTGCTCTGAGCTCCACGATTGAAAAAGGCATATCTATGCGGGAGTCCAGTGTTTGTGGACAGTTAGTCGAGGGCAATAGGCTATTGGGCACTGCGAGTGGCCCAGATACTCTGGCACAGAAGTTTTCTGCCACGTCAATGCCGCGTCTCTGTTCAGAAAGTGCGAGAGCCCTGAATGGTGACCACTGAGTGGGTTTTGTGCGTAGACCTCGTACCGTCTTCCACAATTGGGATAAAGGTTTTCGTGGGTCAAGTGACTCACAAAAAACAGTCCAACGTTGTGACTCAAGTTTAATTATCCGGCGATGAATCTTCTTTTGGATACGTCGAGCAATCCGTAAGTCTTCTATTGCCTCCGTGCGTCGGTATCCTCGTTCAGCACGCCGTCGGATTGCTCGAAGTCGTTCTAGCTCGATGTCAAATTCCGTTACTTTGGGAGAGCAGGTGAGGGTACACGTAGTATCGTGTATTGTGCCCAAAACGTTGACAATTACCCTGGGCATAGATCTGAGTTAAAGTCATTAACTAGCAAGTGCTTATACTATCTGCTGTAGTGCTATTTGAAGTCTGTCGAAAAGAACGTTAATAATTCTCAAACTTTCTGAGAGTGCTTTGATAGTACTTACTACTCATGTAGCGCGTAGACAGGATCATTAAGGTCGTTAAGGGTAGCTGGTCATTAAGGGTAACTGGATTCCCAGAGAAGGCAAGCGGGTTAGGGGGAGACAGAAGGTTAGGTGGGCAGATGAGATTAAGAAGTTTGCGGGTATAAATTGGCAGCAGCAAGCACAGGACCGGGTTAACTGGCGGAACATGGGAGAGGCCTTTGTCCTGCAGTGGACGTAGTCAGGCTGATGATGATGATGATGATGACTACTCGTAACTAAGTTAACCAAAGTGAAATTTTGTTGCAGTTGGTTTTGTAAAGGTTCTTAAGTATAGGCTTAATGTGAAATCCTTTCTTTTTTTTTCTCCTTTTCCATTCCAGCGACACACTTCAGATGCTTTGACGAAGCTAATATCATTGCAAGCCACTGAAGCTAATTTGTTAACTGTTAATGAAGATGGTGATGTATTGTCTGAGAAGAAAATTGACGTGAATCTGATACAGAGGAATGACATGATAAAGGTAAGATTTAAAACTATATCACACTTTTAATGTTTTGAGCTGCAAAAGAAGTTTAGCTCTATAGTATATTTCTGCTAACTTGGGAAGCGCAGATGCATAGCTGCTGATGGGCTTGAAGAACAGAGGTTACTCCCAGATAACAGTCAGATAAGAATGAGATAAGAGTGGTTACCATTCTCTATATTAATGAAGTCTACTTAAACACAGGCTTTAGACCCAGTGATTCTGAAGTTTATTTTATGGACGACTATGTCCAGTGTGGGAATGCAGTGGCACCTCATGGGCGGCCATGGCACCTACAGGATGCTGCACTTCGCCTCCAAGATTATGTGGTGCTGTATCGTTTTGAAAATTGAGCAGATACTTGTTAGGCTAACTTACTTTATCCTGCTGCATAGCTTCCTGAGGGGAGAGGGCAAATAATGGTCAGCTGTCTTTAACACAAAATCTATAATTCCATGCAGCATGCAATGCAACTATATTTGGCTTGTAGGTTCACAGAAGCCAGATAGGCAGGTTTTTTACTACCATACTAAGAAAATATTGCAAGGCCTTCACTGTACCCTTTTATTTTGTGTTTCATTGCAAGAAATTAAACAGAGCCTATCCAGCATCCGATTTTATGCATTCACTTGAGTCAGTCGGGTCACCTACTTAAATATGCTGAAATCGGCATCATGCTGGAGTTAAGTAAGTTAAGGGGGGAAGAGGGTTTTAAATTTTTTTTTTATATTTCTTGACCAAATTCAATGAAAATTGTAACCCAGACAGAGTTTTTCAAGCTGATTTCAAAAATATAATTGCTTTTGAAATTGGTTGGCCAGTTGCAGAGATAATTAAAATTAATCCTATATTGTTTATCAGAACAATGGAAAGGCAATTATTGGCCAGAATATTAATATTGACATATGGCTAGATACTATGAAGTGTAATTAACACAAATGTAGGATTACTTTTTTAATATTACAAGTATTACCAATTTTATAGCAATTTGAAGTTTAATCTCCAGATATCTCTATCAAGCGATTAAATTAGTACCAAGAATAAAAATTTAGAAAGACTAGATTGAAAAATCTGTTCCTACATTTGTGTAGGAGACATATGTAGCTACATGCCACCACAAGAATTGTGGCTCTATGTGACCTCAAGACCAAGATATCGCTTTGGCAAGTTTCAAAAACATCGAAAATGACATTCTGAGAAAACGTCAAAAAACAAAATAGGCTCATATTTAATACAGAAAATCACAAACTATTTACAATGTTCACAAATGGCCTAGCATCAGTACCCTCCAGGAACATAGTCTGTCTGTTTAGAGTCATTTCGGTGTTGTTTTCGTAGCACACGCTGCAAGTTTTCTGCAGAAGCATGCTTGCGTGCGCATGCTTCAGCACGGTGGCGATCTTTTTCACTCATGCGCTTGGTCAACTGTTGGCCAGGGTTTAGCTGAAGTTCTTGAAGTATGGCTGTAGAAGCTTTTTCATACCCAGAATTGAACTTCATTACAGCCTCTGCCACAGCAGCTTGCACAGCAAACAATGATGCATGTTTCTCCTTCGGCGCCAGTGCCCAAATAATTGAGTGGAGACACTCGTTGTTATTTTGGGTCTTCCCTCTTAGGCATCGCCGAAGAAGCGATTCATCAGACAAACGTCTGTAAACTGGAAGAAGCGCCTCACATACATGGGGTGGCAGATTGTGGCGGTGTTTTGGAGCAGGCTCACCTTTGGCCTTTGCTGCGTTTTGGCGGCACCATGAATCTGGGCCCTCTGGACAGAGAGTGTGGTTAGAAGTGACATCGTTTGAGGTGATGTGGTAGTATGTGGCCATGACTGCTTTATGCATGGCCTTGACATCACCTTTGTGCGATTTCAAGGCCCAGCCATAGTAGCTGCTGAGCTTGGTGATAAGCTCACCAGTCAGCTTTCCTTTCCCACCGAGACTCTCTGTACCAGAGGACTTCTGCTTGGAAACTAGATTTCGCAGTGCTGTGCCCATTCTCTTGTGAATGTGGTTAACACAATCTTCCTTGTCCACGGGTATGTATCCATAGACTTTCGCATCTTGAAGAGCAAGGTAAGCGCGGCTGTCACCATCCGACAACAAGGTCGTGTACCGCAGCTTATGCTTCTGCAGCGATCTTTGGAAGAGGATCAGTGCCGCTTCCACCTCCATCTCCCCAGCTTTTTTGTCCGTGTTTTTCTGGCATGCGTGTGCCTCCTTCCAAGCCTGGTAGGCAGGGTCAACTTCTTTTGGTGCCCGTGCGCACCCAGCACAGAAATTGCTGAGCACTACATAATCGAGCACAAATCCTGTGTAGAGCTCAATTACGGTGCCGACGCCGATATGAGACGAGTGGCCGCGCGTCATCCATGTGCCATCGAACGATATAGCGATGTTGTCCGGGCTGTTTATATTTAGGTCACGGTACAAATCGCGCACTAATTGTGCACATGTCCCCATCAACTTTTCTGCCCCATCGGTTGCCGCGGGGACGAGTTTCGTTTTCAAGTGTCCCTGCCATGTTTTATTGTGCATTCCTCTCTCCGAAATGTTCATCGCCGCAAAAATGTCGTTCATTGCGGTTTGCCCGTTTCCGGTGCTCTGCATTGCACGCTCCGCAAGGATGTTTATGACAAAAGGCCTGAGCTTTGCTTTGCCGCTCACGCGCGGCGAGCTCCATCCCTGCACATTATCGCCGCAGATCGCACATTCGGCAACAAACTTCACAGCAAGGCCAAAATCCCGCTCACCTTTTCGCACCGTGAGGTTACCACCACAAATTGTACACTTGCAACTGGTAGACGCCAGCAGCGCGTTCATCGAGTCGTAACTAGCGATGAAAAAACTTGTAGCGAGATCGTTGCTAGCTTGTGTGGCAGCGTCATCACGATCCAAAAAGTCAGATTTTCGGGCAGTAGCAGGAGTTGAAGCAAGTACATTAAGTTTTTCTTGAGCTTCACTCTCTATACGCCGCAAATCTTCTGGCTGCAACATTGCAGTGTCGTGCCGAAACGACGACGAAGACCCGCGGCGGTTGTCAAGAGCGCTTTGGGGGACTAGGCCTAACACGCCCGCATCGGCGCCGCTCGACTCGGGAAGCACGCCGTTCTCCGCATGGTCAGGAACTGGTGGTGGCACAGCAGCGCATTTCTGGAAGTTGTACGGAGTCTTCCTCTTCCTTTTTGTTCCGAATTTGTACTTCGTAGCGAACTTCGGCGACGGCGTCGACATCGTTGCTCACGTGCGAAAACCAGTTGACGCGTACGGTGTGCGCACAGTCGCCGCGGAGTGATGCAGACGATGCCTGTCAGGCCAATGGCGTGACCCGCTGCGGGTCACGTGCCGTAACTGGCCAATTACTGCGCGTGTTGGGACTTCTTTTTGAATCGGGATATCTTCACAGCCAACGCGCGCTCGGAGCCGAAAATGGCGCGAAAATCAAGACGAGAGGCTGCGCTTTCAAACGATATATGATTCGCGGCTGTCGGACAAATATGACGGCCGTCGCGTGTCACGGAAAAGGCGCTTTATTTACCAAATTCTTGGCTCATATTTAGCTGGCACTGGTGCTAAAATTGATATTACGGCTAAGATATCGTTTCAAACTGCATAAAACTTGGCGAAATGGTAGAATATTGGATGGAAATAGCAAAACTGCCATTTCCAAAAAATCAACTTTTTGACGATTTTTCGGCTTTTAAAACCCGTGTCCCCCCTTAAGCCAACTGACTCTGAATGCAGCATCATGCTAGCATAAAATTTACAGTATCTTGCCTATTTATAGTGCTCATTAAGGTGGTGCTCATTCATCTAAATATATACTTCTGGGGTTACACTTGAGGGACTTAATGGTTAGGTTGAAAGGCTAAGGGTTTAAGTGCAGTTTCTATTCCTGGCCGTAACAACCGATTTCCAATGGAAAAGAAATGCAAAAGCACCTATGTAACTTCAGCTTATGTTTGCATTAAAGAAACTTATGTGGTCACAATTAACCCCTTAACTGCTTCGGACGAGCAGAGCTCGTCCTGCCCAAACTGTCACCAAACTGCTTTCGACGAGCAAAACTCGTCCTTACAAAATAGGTACCTCCCCTTTCGCATTCAGGGGGGCAAGCACATATTGATGTCTTACGTTGCGTGTAATCTACTAGATGGCAGCATTTGCTCGAGGATTCAGTTTTTTTCTGCGGCAGGGGTGCAGTTTTTATATGGAATGATGGCGTGCGGTGGCGGCGACTCATGTATACCTGTCCCCTGAGTACGAAAAAGAAACTTTCTTTTTTCCTCATCATAGAAGAGCGATGATGATTCGATTACAAAAATTTATCTTGTGTCGAGAAGTAAAAACAGCGGTGATGGTGAATTGAGTAGATCTCTGGTGATTATGACAACAGCTCGGAGGCGAACATCTCGAGTGCCTGCCAGTGAAGCAGTCTTGCGTTACTCCACATTTTGAAATTTTCCACGCAGCCCCAAAGCTCCCCGGGTAAAAATACCCTAAAGTTGCTAAGCCTACAAAAGTGAAGAAAGATGTGGCATCTGTAACTCTTTTGGGTATAAGGTTTTTATATTTATTAGGAGCAGGTAGCTGGCTTCCTATGTATTGTTCAGAAATAACCTTTATTCCCTTGATTTGACTAATTATGTGGTGAAAATAGTGTTTCAACATCGACTAGCTACTCTTTAGTACAATCAGATTTGAAATCAGCGATAAAAAAATAGGCACTTTCTGATTGAAAATTTTTAAAAAAGAAAGAGCAGTTAAGGGCCATGGCAGTGTGCCTATAATCTTTGAGTGGTTTTGGCTTGTTAGTCTACAGAATTTAGCTCTATTGAGCATTTTCTTTTTTAAACATTTTTTCTAGATAGCTGCAACACTGTTGCTGCAGTATACTGAGATGTATGTTCCATTTTTCGTTCTCTCTTGTAGGTTCTTCCAGGGGAAAGGATACCTGTAGATGGCAAGGTTAGCGGGGGATCATCAAATGTTAATGAAGCTCACATCACAGGTGAACCACTCCCTGTATTCAAAACAGTTGATTCCAATGTCATGGCAGGTTCAGTGAATGAAAATGGAGTTCTAGTCATTCGTGCAACTCATGTTGGCAAAGACACAACCTTGGCTCAAATTGTACGTCTTGTTGAGGAAGCACAGTCATCTAAGGTGAGTACAGACTTGAGTTTCTTCTTTCATTTAGGGCATGACATAAAAGGTTCTGGAGTTGTGTTAGGGAAAGTTGCTAAGGTGTCCATAATCTGCGGCAGAGACCTCAGGCTATACACTTCAGACTATACACATCTACCTTCTTCATCATTTTTGTCCACCCACACTGACTTGTTTTCTGTGGATAGGAATTGCTTTTTTTCTTTTTGTTTTCCTTGGGACAGGAGTGGAAATATTGTCATATTAACAACTGTTCACAATTTACTTTTTTATTTGTTTTAATTGTTTCTCCCCGTATGGAAAGGGTTTTGTGGGGAGAGATGTGCAGTTTGGGTGGTTTTATCAGTGATTTTTGCACTAGGTAGACCTTGGCAGAATCTTAGCATACCTGCAAAAATTTTTCAAAAAGCATGCTTTGAAGTCGGCACCGTTATTTGTGCTTTGTGTAGCCTTTCAATGCCTTCTTGCTGCTTCTGCACTTACTCATCATACAAGTCAAACTTCACTGGCAACATCTGATCGAAGCATGAGGTATTACGGTCCATAATATTTAAATCTAAACGTACTGATCGGTGCTTCATGTCGAGAATGCAGCCTTTTTTTTCTGTCTTTGGAATGAGCCAGTACTCAATGCCCAGCTTCCTGAAAAAACACTATACAAGATGTAGTTCTTCCTTAGTCTCTTTTTATGAAAATCTTATGACGACTTATGAAGACTCTTTTTATGAAAATCTTATGACGGTAAGGTAGCTGTAGTTTTCGCTCACTGAACTCCTTGTGGAGACAGCAGTAATTTCAGCAGTAAAAATGACCCTGCTGTGACTAGCTTACAAAAAACTTTGTTAAATTTTTAATTATCGTCCTGAGGCTAGGTGTTTATATTATAAAGTTGTAGTGCTTGCGAATTTATTTAGTACTTATTTTTTTAGAAATCACAGAGGTTGCACGTCAATTAGATATATTCGTCCGTCATTGAATTTCAAGGGTAAAATCTGAACTGATCCCGCATGGTGTGCATTAAGTGCAATCATTCTTCTATGTCAGACTGTAACTACCCGTCACAAAGAAAAACTGATGAAAATGAAGGTATGCTGTGGCCGTATACTTTTGTGAAAATCTGCAAGTAATCTTGCATGTGCCCCCGCATCATCTTTCTTTAGTGTGTAGTGTTTGCTGCTTATTCATTTATTTGGAACCATGTTGCATGGTATTTGGTGCTTATTTGTTTATTTATATCTGTGCGCAAGAAAGCGTCAATATCAATCTTTGTGTGGGAAACATAAACTCAGCTGCAGCCACTGTGGCGCTTGTTCTTGCAGGCAGGCAAAATAGATTTTGCACCTCTTTATAGTTCAAGAAAGAAACAAATAAGCACAACACATCTTGCACAAATATTAGGCTGCCTAGTAATGTACTTCAGAATGCTTTTCAATTTTTCTGACCAGATTCCGCTTCAGCGTGCCTTCATTTAAATTTTGTCACTTTCCTGTTGCGTGTCGTTCAGATGTTTCGCTGCACTTTGTGCACTCCAGGTGTGATTAATTTCAATTTCGCCCTTGAAATTTGATGACGAGTCTTGAACTAGGTGCAACTTTGGGAATTTCTAAAAAAAAAATAGGTATGCCTTTAATTGGCACACACTACAACTTTTTCATTTAAGCACCTGGCCTCATGTCAATAATTAAAAAAGTTAATTATTGAATTTTTGGTAATTGGCTGCAGCAAAGTATTTCCACGTTAACGTGGAGTTCCATGAGGTGAAAACGACAGGCACCTTACTGTCATAGGATTTTTATGATCCTATGAGACCAGGGAAACATGTTCGGTTTAACAGGAGTTTCATATAGTACTAAAAATTGAACAGGGATGTAGAATCAAGGTACAAAACCCACCATATAATAATCAGTTATTCCATTTAAGTAGCGATTCTATTTAAGAGATTTACGTTTGTTTAGTGCCTATGATACCTTGCATGTGGAGGCACACTATAGCTTGTTGTTTGTGTGTATTATTTATTAGTTAATCAATCAATTTTTTTAACTGTAACCCTTACTGGGGTTTTAGCAGGGTAAAATACAGTACATGAAAAAAATACAACATAATGGCACTCAAAATATATGTACATGCAAAGGCTACTATAAAAAAAACACTAGAAAAACTCAAATTCAGGTTCAGTCATTAAACAGAGCATTTCTCAAATGTGCAAATAAACTAGAGGAACAGGCAACACAGATATAATCACACAGTTGCTATGAAAATAACCAATTATTTGGGAAGACGTCAGTGCACACACAGTAGATGAGGACCTAAAGGCCAAATGCAACGAAATTGTGCACACCCCAAAAAACCGATTTATAGGCAGTCTAGCTGGAGACAATCCTGCCTGCCAAATGCCACCTTCGAAATGCAAATAGTTACCTAAGAAAAACACTCGCCAGCAACATAATTTTCGTTACGAAAACTAGAGAAAGCAACGTTATTACAGCAGACTGGAAATGAGTTAGACAGCAACTCGACAGACTGACCCATGCAGGCGAATCGTCAGCTCTGTGTTTCGAAGGATGCGCTTCGCGACCGCGCCCCAGACTTTTCTATTTAAATAGTAACGAAAAAAACAAACAATGTAAACATGCATTGTGAAGGATATATTATCGCAAAAGCTCATTAAAGCGTGTATCTAAATAACGGCTGCCCACTTCGCACCTACCGTCTTGTCCTGCTGTCTTGGTGCAGTCGCTGATTCACAATAAATGATGCCGCTCACTTACGCTTCGGATATTGTCACTTCGTTGATAGACTGCGGGATGATAAGACAGTGTTATTTTTTTTACTGATGCTCGGTTTGACACACTCCTGTCTCTACCGAAAGCATCCCTGCATTTCTGTTAACACTTGTCTGACTGCGCCAAAAAATTTACATTAAATATATCATAGCACAATCTGTTTTCTTATAGTACGTTTATAGGCTTAAATTCATTGAACTGAGCACAATAACATTTTTGTCAAATTTTGCTGCTCTGACTACTCGCAACTAGAAGCAAGCTGATCAACTTTTTGGAGCTTTGATTACACGATCATAGATGGCACAGCTAGTCCAGCATTTCGTGAGGTGTCGTTTTACTGGTTTTGTTTTTGGAATGGTGTTACGCTATAACTTTGTGAGCCAAACAAGCTAATGCAAGCAACTTACGCTATTGTAAAGCTGTCTAATATGAATACATGTCGTCGCCGGCGCTTTTACAAACTCCGGTCGGGGATTCCTGCTGTTGTGTTTGAAGGGGCTAAATGTTGAAGGCACTGTGTCAGGGTTCAACATTCCTTTTAGTTTCAACAGTGTTCGGGTGGAGTGACACCGGTCGTGTTTGTATTCATCATCTTTGAAGTGTGCCACATAACGCACCACGCTCTTCAAAACATCCAATTCCTTTCGCCCCACTCCGATAACCCGCAGCTTTTGGAGCTTCATGTTTCTCGAAAAAGCATGAAAGCTGGTACCCAGCTGTAACATGTGTTCCAGGAGCCTATGGCCTCACATTTTATACCACAAAAGAGTTAAATCTTCTGAATTATCCACTCATAGAGGTGCGTCACGCAGAAAAAAAACGGATGCGGCTGCAGGGAGGTCTGCTCACGAGCAGTGGTGAGCTGTTATGTATTGACGTCATTTATGTTTGTGTTGGATTTACTTTGGCACACCGTTAGAGCTTCGCGTCATTTGCTAGCTGAAAATTAGAGCACTGAAAGGAAATACAAGATTGCAAGCTTTTTCACTCTTATTATTATTGTTTACCCAACAAATACTATGGATTCTGAGCCAATTCTGCCCAGGTAAAATTTCATTGCAGTTGGCTTTTGAGGAAAAAAGATAAACAATCGCAAACTCACAGCTCATTTTATTGGTGAAAAGGAAGTACACATACATATACAGTCGACTTTAATTTATTCAAACTCGAAAGGACCTCTGCATTTTGTTTGAATTATCAAGAAGTTTGAATTATTAGAAGTCCTCAGATATATGACTAAGTGATGTCACACCATACATTATGATTAGCCATTGGTTTGATTAGATTTAAAAATTTTTAAAGCATTTTTAACCCCTAACTGCATGCAATGAATGGAAAACAGAAGTCTAAGGGCCACAAGTTTATCGGCCATTTAATGCTGATCAGACCTTTTAAAGAAATTGTCAATTGTCAAGTACTACTTTGCTATATGTGCCTTCTGCAAAAAGCTCTCTATTGCATTTTACAAGCATCACGGTTCACCATGTGTGTGTGCTTCATTTCAAACGTCTGTTTTTTTACTGGCAAAGCCTTTTTCCTTGAAGACTAAAGGCACTTATTTTTTCATTTTTAGGCTGTTAGGATTATATAAGCACGCAACTTTTTAAATAGTATTGGGGAAGCAGCAGATATTTTTTCGTATGAAACAGCAAAAAGTATGAATTAACTGAATGATGGAGTTTGAATTAGGAGGCTTTTAAATACATTCAAAGAATAGAGGGCCAACCAAAAAGTTTAATTTTGTTTGAATTAACTCAAAGTATGAATTATCAGAGTTTGAATTATAGTGAGTCTACTGTATATAAACCCAAGCAAGCTCAAGACTGCATGGGTAAGGTCATGTGTCAGTCATCAAGAAAGGATGAGAATTCGGGCAAATAATGTGCTTGAATGATGTAGCTGCTAAGGTTATCCCAGTCTCTGCCTGTTCACGTAAAAAAAAAAATCACGAAAAAGTCATCATGAAAACAAATATAACTATTTGTACAGGTTTTTGCATGTTTATACCAAACAAACAAGGTGTGCCTCAAGTAGGTATATATTAAAAGGGCATATATAGCAAGAAGCAAGCAAACATTTTTCATGATTGGAAAAAATAGAAAGTGTAAACTATATGTATGTGGCATTATTCTAAGCATATGGTAAGCTCTACAAAATTGTCCTAACAGAAGAAAGGGTTATGATAAGGAAACTTGGCATCCACCCTCCTTTAGCCAAAGCTACAAGAAAGTCCGTGTGAACTTATCTGGAAGTAAAGCTTCTTATGTGATCAAAAATTCATCTTGGTCCGGGTTCAAAACTAAAATCAACAACCTGTCTTGGGTGGTTGCTCTGCCAACAAGCCAACCAAGAGGCTAGCACTAGGCAGCATAGATCGGCGAACTCACTCATGAGTCTACTCACTCAGACTAACTCAGACTCAGATCAAGTCGTGATTCTGAGTAGTCCGGGTGAGTAATACTTTGGTGAGTTTGAGTCCGAGTGAGTCCAGTTGAAGAAATTTTAGTGAGTGAGTCCGAGTGAGTCCGACTCAGGAAAATTTTGCTGAGTCTCAGTCTGAGTGAGTCCAAAGTGCAAGATATATTTCTTGAGTGAGTATGAGCGAGCTTCACTCATGTTTGTTGACTTATGGTCCTATCTACTGATCTTCAGCATTACTATTAGCCTTACCTAGATTCATGTTTATACTAACCTCTACTCACTAGTATTTCAAAAGAATATCGTTCATACACCATTTCAATGTTCATCAATTAATTAGAAGGGGGAATTACGTAGGGGAGTGCCTTATATTTTCCTCCACCAATTATTCCTGGTGCTTCTTGATAAATACATGTTATGTTGTCATCTCTTTCAATAAAAATGTCCTTGCTAGTTTGCTACCACTTATAACTCATATTCGAGGGTACTATATCAAAAGGCGCCAAGAAGAGCACATGATTGCATGAGATATTGGTGTTAATGAGCGTTGACGCTATGATCAAAAAAAGTTCATTCTAGACTTACGGACTCATAAGTCGACTCACTCAGACTCACTCATACTCAGATCGGGCCGTGAATCTGAGTCTTGAGTGAGTCCGGGTGAATAACTTTTCAGTGAGTTTGAGTCCAAGTGAGTCTGGGTCAAGAAAATTTCGGTGAGTTTGAGTTCGAGTGAGTCCTAAGTGCAAAATATATTCCATGAGGGAGTGAGTAAGCTCCACAATTTTTGCCGACCTGTGCTTGGCAGTACTTGGGCAAACAGTCAGCTGTTTGAAGTAGATGGGCACTGAATAGTATGCTAAATTAATTCTGCAGAATCCGTCAAGTTGGAAGAGCTTAATCGGTAGGGCAACAACCCGGATAGGGTGGGTTCTGTGTTTTTCAATCCTCCAAGTAGTACTAATTTTTTGTCAAATAGGAAACCTTACCTTGTGAGAAATCTGTAAGAATGTTTTTGTAGCTTTGTGCTAGAAGTGGGTGGACGCCAATGTTCTTTTTCATGTTCCATGGGGTAGGGCCACAGATGACATAGAAATGTTTGTGAAACAGACTGCATGGCATTTTCAAAGGTAAAATATCAGCAATATTGATGAAAGCATTATGCTTGCTTGGAACATCATGCTTCCACTGGTAATGCTTTAGCATTTGGCAGGTAAGCTGTTGTAAATGAGTAAACAGCCACATGATGAACAAAAATCAACAATACTTTAGCAATAGTGGTGCATTTGTTCTATAAATTTGAACGTTATTATTAAAGACAACGTAATTTTATTTCATTCCATTCTTCCAGAGAGCATGTGTTTGATGACTTTCATTTTCAAATTTGACACTTGGTTTACTAACGTCACGTTCAGAAATGAAAGTGTTCAGATACTGTTTAACATAGCTTATTGCAAAGAAAAAAATGAAATTGGTCATTCCAGTTTTGCCGTTTGAGATCAGTTCCACCTGACTTTTGAGCTGGCAGACCGAATATACTAGGCTGTGTCATATGGGGAAGTTTTTTGTATTGAGGTGAACCATAAGCAGGTTTTTAATTATATGATTTCTTTGCCTTCCCTGTATGCCTGCATAGGCCTATGCCTGCATTGTCATGTGGCATCACCAGCCAAGTACTCACAGCATCTTTTTACATGACTGCTTTGTTGCGACAAATCAACCAAATCAATTTGTCTAGTGAGCAGCCAGAAGTCATGAGACATGATTATCATAGGTGAAGAGTACTATCAGAGGACATGAAAAAGTGGAGCACTCCAAAGAAGAGTTTTAAAAGTATTTGATATTGATTGCTACACTTAAAAGCATTTTTGTTCTTTTAATTTCATTTAACACTTTCAAGAGATTTTCTAACAGTAGGACTGAATATGAGTATAACTCATCATTAACAAAAATTTGACGCTTGCGGAACCAAGGACGACTATATCTGCTTAAGTTGTATTTTCTGGTGTGAGATGGTCCCACTTGACCATGTTTTTTTAAATAGAGTTTATTGTTCTTCCTTTTTTTGTGTCTCGCCTTTCATTGCATTGTCGCGTCTGATAACGCACCAGTAGTATCTTTGTACACCATCAAACAATTTTTTTTAAAATTCTATTCCATCGAAATAACAGTGCCATTCCATTGAAATAATAGTGCCAATCTAAAGAAAAAAAAAGAAAAGCTCTACAAAGTGAGTGAATAACTTTTTTATATCATTTTATCATGTTTATTTTTCTTTTAATCATGAAAGGATTAATTTTATTTGAAAGTTTCAGTCATCACATATTTTTAGTTTTCAAATGCACATTATGGAGCTCTATTACAGAGGTCTTTTTATTGAGATTCAGTTCATTTCTATAGTACATGTTTGAAATGAGGCATGTACGCAGTCTCGTGGCTACCAGAAGGCATTGTGCTTCAAGTAATGATGTTTGACGTTAAAAATTCCAATGTTGGAAATTGTATTACAAGGTGCAATGATAACAGCGCTCTAAGTAGCTGCTTTTGCTATGGCTTGTCAGCTGGGAAGCGCTAAAAAAAAATGTGTGCCTTTTCACATTTTGATCACACTGCTCTTTTTATTCTGAACATTCGTTCCTTTTTAATATTAGGCTTGCTTATAATAGTTGTTTTTAATTTTCTGCTGAGCTAAGTGATATTTTTTCTTATGCAGGCACCTATTCAGCAGCTGGCTGACAAAATTGCAGGCTACTTTGTTCCAGCTGTTGTAATCCTCTCAATTTTGACTTTGGTTGTGTGGCTTATCCTGGGTTTTATTAGGACAGATCTAGTCAACAACTACTATAGCAAGGTGGGTGGCTTTCCGTGCTTGATATTTGCTGAACAGTACAATTTCTAAAATAAAATAAATATGTATAGTTAATGTTCAGGTGAGTATTGCAGTCATGCATGCTGCATAGATGAGTGTTTGTGTAGTGAAAACTAATTTTGTTCATTTCATAAAGGCTCAGTGGATTAAGTAAGTGATGCTACCACTGTGCTGATTGCGCCAAACTGCTCCGAATTGTTCTGACTGCTACACGCTGCTACATTTTCTCAAAACTTGGTGAGTCTGCGCCCAAGCTGCACCAAAGGACGTGCTCTGACTTTCAGAAACGAAACTACTTGAGGTTCTCCCGTTGAAAATGACATCGCGGTTCACCTGCGTAAGACGCAACACGAACCAAACTAAGCCGAACTGGGCCAAATGTCACTGTTGGGTCCATCAATGGTTGGGACGCAGTGAATGCTCGATTTTTCAGAGTTTCTAGGGACCAGCAAATCGTCCGAAAAAAAGATTCCTGACTTTTTATTTCACTCCAGTAACCAAATTGCCACAGCCCCATCTGAAATAGCTTCGATTCTTTTTTTGAGTACATTTATCAGGCATTTTGGTGCACGGTCAGGCTGTGCCTGCCAACATTCATTTGCAAATGTGCATCGCGTGATGAGTACCACGAATACCAGCAAAGCGCGTGTGAAGAAGATGTGCCTGCAGCAAGCAGCATCACCAACGCCCGGCTCTCTCGGCTCGTGCTTCGGTTCCTTGCTGTGCCGATCGCTGGACGGTTCTTCACGCTGTCTCGTCGCTGTCTTTAATGGCTAATAAACCTCCTCACATTTTGTGGAAGGTGCTGTTAATCCCCGTTGCTACACCCTGGAGCTGCGAAGCCGCACGCTACCGCCCATCATGACTGACAACGCCAACCCATCGTCATCGTCGCCCCAGTTCAACTGCCCTGACCATCCTAGGCTACGGGATCCGAAGGTCTTCAGCGGTGCGGATGGGACTGACGTGGAAGACTGGCTTGAGCACTACGAGCTGGTGAGCGCCAATAATAAAATGGATGAAGCCGACAAGCTGGGACACGTCATTTTTTACCTCACCGGCGTCGCAGAATTGTGGTTTATGGTATATGACACTTGTGGCAGTGCTAATATTTTCTGTGAAGTTGTTTGCGTATCATGGCGCATGTGTCTTGCGCAGAAGCCGCATTTGGGGGGTCACGGTTCGTTGAGCGATAGGTGGCGTTGTGTTCGCGAGCGTAGATTACTGCTATCATCATCATGGTTGTTAAAGCGGTAGCGCGGGGGGGTGACCCCCTGGCGGCGGGCAAGCCTTAGCGACGGCAGAGACGGAGGAGCGAGTCTCCTTCTCTGGTGGCGTTTGGCACGAACGGTTGTCTCTCGCAGGGCGACCCCGATGCACGGCACCGCGGGCCGTCTGGCGGGGGCCCTTGTGGTGAGTCAGTCGGAGACACCGCCTTGTTCGTGATGTTGTTCAGTGTTGTTTACTATTGTGTAAGGATGTTCTAGCGTGTTGATAACGATGGATGTTGTAATAATTCAGCTGACGATATCGTCGTTTTAAAGCAATGAAATAAATGTGTATTCTTTGGTTTTTTCCGACCGCGTCTGCTGTGTCCATTCATCCAAGAGCATGGTGGAACTCGCTCGCCAGTTCGAGACCCCACACACTGTTGTGACTAATTAATAAAAACTCATAAATGAACTTCTTTAATTATTGGCTAGAGGGCTAGTGTTTATATTACAAAGTTGTAGAGCCTGCCAATTCATGGCATACCTACTTTATAGAAATTGCAAAAGTTGCTCTTAGTTTAACAAATTCATCTTTGAACGCAAAGGGCGAAATTGAAACTGGTCGTGCATGTTGCGCGCTGTTATGCCTGCGAGTCCACACCGACATCCATGCTTCTGAAAAAGGCTATCTGTGTTAAGGCCAGCATGCGAGCCTGCCTGACGCGAACATCTCAACGGCATTATTACGCGGTGGCGCCGTTCTGTCGCGCAACACACAGCAAGCCCCCTCAGCCCACGAGCCCGTCGAAGCAATCGGCGCCTTTCTGTCTGGCGGGTCTTATGCAATGCGTGGCGAGGTCACTCGTCCTTGGCTGCAACGACGCGCAGCGGCTCCAGATTTGATGAGAATGACGCGGCCCAGCGGCGAGCCCCATTGGAGGATTCTGACCTCACGGCCAGCGGTGCTTCTGGTTGGACATTTGGTTACTCAAAGAATTCACCCAGTGCCTATAAAAAAAGCCCTGCGGCGCGTCACGAGCAGTAGACCTATGTGTCAGAGAAGAGAGCTCGGTTCTTCGAGTTTTTAAGCTGTCGGCCCCAGTGCCGAACTCTTAACGCCTCTATTTTTATGCTGTACATAAACCTTGCTTTAACTCACCGTCGCCTCGTCCGCTCGTCTACCAGCTCTGCGCAGAAGCAGTCGTGAGCTGAGAAACCTATGCTACCAAACGGCTGGTGACAGTGTCGGCGATATTTGGAGCAGTGGCGCCTTCGGGACCGTGTTGGCGTCGCCGTCTTTCGTAACAACGCCTAGAGCTGGAAAACACAGGCATGACACGTGACAGGAAAGTGACAAAACTTGAATGAAGGCATGCCAAAGTGGAATCTGGTATAAACAGTCGACAAGCATTGTGAAATGCACCAGCACACTGCTTAATGTTTGCGTGCTATGATTGGCGCATATCTGTTTTTTTCTTGAATTTTAAAGAGGTACAAAAACTGTTTTGCCTGTCCGTAAGAAAAAGCATTGCAGTGACTGCCCCAGTGTTTTATGCTTCTCAGACAATGAAAGGCTGCTGTTTCAGTTCTTTTGTGCACAGTTGGACAGAAAGAGATAAGCATGAAACTCTGCATGCAAAAGTAAGGCAATGCGCCGGCACAAGTGAGGTGCGTCAGCTTTTCACGAAGACACATGGCCACAGTGCAGCATCATTCAAATTTTGTCGCTCCGAAACTGAAACCAATGCACCTAAGAGTGCATCTACTATTCACTTCAAAAACACCCTCAATAACGACACTGTTTCCCTTAAATCGGGAGAGGGGTATAAGTGAGCGTCAATAAGTGGCCACAAACTGAAGTGTTTAGATTGATGGTTGATAACAGTGAGGGAAACAGTGTCGTTCGTCATTGGAGACGTTTTCGAAGTGAATGGCAGACAGGCTGTTTAGTTCGTCAGTTTCAGTTTGACCTGCTAAATTAGCCAGATTTCATTGCTCGGCGATAATTACCAGTGGCCGCTTTTCAAAATTTTCAAAGTGGCTGTGGCCTATTTGTAGAAGGGACTTGAACTTCGTCCATTGGACTCAATTGGCAATTTACACTCATTAAAAAGTTAATGGTCTTAATTTCTCTAATTACTTTTGTAATTAATATTTGTGTACATCTGAAGATGCCTTCTTCTGCAGTAAAGGGAATGCCGTGGTAGCAGGCAGATGCCTCTCTTTTGTAATCTTTAAATATTTGATCACATTTCTTGAAACACCCTGTATATCCCATGCTGTTTCTATAAGATCTGTTGAACTTGAAAAAACGCGTGGTTTTAAGGCATAACTCAGTTTACGATGTTTGATGCTGTGGTGCTTCAGATCAAGGTAAAGTGAGCTGTAATGAATAGACCTTTTGTGATGTCATTAGGCAGTTTTAGAATAGGTTACGCAAAGATGGTTTGTTGCGGTCGCCTGCTATTCATATCACACGGGGACCTTCAAGAAGATAGCATATGATGCATGCGCACTGGTGACACATGTTAATGCAAACCTTCGCGTATGCTACTTTTAAAAGCTCCCTAATCTTTCTGTCCTACAAATTGGGAATATCTGATATGAATAAATTTATTCGACCATGCCCAGCTATTTCACTGGACAGCCTGAATTTTTCTAAATCTTACATTGTTAGAAAGGTTAAGCTAATTAATGCATATTTCAGGCTTGAGACAGATCTAACTTGTGCCAAAAATATGTTGATTTGATTGATTTTATTTTATTGGTTTGTCACAACACATGTGATCAGAGCTGAAGGGAAAAGCCATTTAGGAATGGTTTGATGGAGTCCTTTGCCCCTGTACATTAAAAAAACAACAGTTGACGAACAAGTATGTTTTTAACAATGGTAACACGTGGACTTTCTAATATGTAAATAATTTCAAGTAAAACATGATTTTGAACAAACCATGAAAATATAAATCTCTTGATTGTTATCCTATACAGAGCATCCTGTATTTGTATACGTTTTGTGCAAATCAGCACGATGAACCAAAACAACACTTCATCACAACTATGGTTAGGTGAGACCAAGAGACATCCAGGACAGAGTTATAGATTCCAGCTGAGTATTAGTGTTTAAATTATAGCAGATATTTTTTTCCCATAAAATTTCTGGTTATCTCAGTTGAGTAGTCCACTCTGACGTGACAGTTGTGTTATCAGGGCACAAAAAAAAATTATAGCCTGGCATAGACTGTAACTCAAGTACTTGTTCTTCTTCAAGGTAATGAATAAAGTTATTGTCATTATTATTCTTGTTTCATATAATGAAATAATTGCTAGAACCTGTCTTGAATGTAATCGTAGCAGTACTAAAATCTTGGTGAGTTGTTAGAAGTTCATTATGAAAAAGTTATTGGGTGTGTGCTATTTTTTCATTATGATTACTCTGTGTTGATGATTTTAATGATTTTACATTACTATGTGATTATAGTGCAGGTTTTCTCGTGAAGTAATGAATCCACTGCATGTATTACATGTAATTCAGCTGTTCAAAAAGCAACACCTCTGAATTATTCTTCTTAATAAGTTGGCTTCCTACATAATATAACCATATTGAGTTCAGTCACTGCTTCAAAACTTGTAACGTATTCTAGTCCACTGCTACAAATTTGTGAATATAAAATTCTTGATCTGAGTGCAAGTAACAATGACTTATAAAACAGTTCGTGTTGTACTTCCGTGTTTTTGTCCTCATATTAGTCAAACTGTGTTCTTACCAAGTATGAACAACCTTTCCAAAACTAGAGTTTCACTTCATTCATATCTATTTTTTGGTTTCTGTGTAGTTCTTTGTAGTCTTGTTTGTTTTTTCTCTAAATCCCCCAATTTTTCTTTTGTGATATTCACCTGATATGCCAAAAGAATGTGTAAAGGTTAGCAACGTTTCATGCAATATTGTTCTCATGTAGCTTTTGTTCGAAATGTGTCTGTTAATGACCCAAAGTGGCAGCTTCAATAAATTTTACATCTATGAAGGACATCACTACTCATATTTATGCATGATATTATAATTATTGTATGGGATATTGGTTTTTGGCTTTCTTTTTTTTTCATCTCACTGTGGTTCCTAACTATCGAAGTTTGGAATTCTCCTTATCTTCTAGACACAAGACATGCCCGAAACTGAAGAGATCATCCAGTTTGCATTCCAGTGTGCGCTGACAGTATTATCAATTGCCTGCCCATGTGCTTTGGGCCTAGCCACACCAACTGCCGTTATGGTAGGAACAGGAGTTGGTGCCACAAATGGCATTCTAATTAAAGGGGCCGAGCCACTGGAAGCCATTTGCAAGGTACTTCATTTATGATTTGACTATCATAAGTATTGGTTAAAATTGCCTGGTTGTACATTTGAGTAGGCTTGTTTAATTTAGTTATACAGCTGAGCTGTGTATCATTGTTTTATTTTCTATCTGTATTTTGTTTTAGCTGGCTTTCAACTTCATTTGGTTATTTAACCTTTTGTATCCCAGCATGCACATATGTCGACAAAACATATCAATGCAATGGGATCAGGCTTGCCAACGCATCGTCTCGAAAATTTATTTGAAATGTTGGCATTACTTCAGCCTTTCTTATATAAGTTCACTCTAAATATCAAAGATGTTTTAAATTATTTGGCTTTATTCAAGAAAAGAAAGGGGCTATCTTGTTTTTTTGTGAGTTTTGTTGCACTTTGAATGACCAGTCTTGTAAGTTGAGTTGTCGCTGTGGCGTCCACGTTTGTGAATGTCAGGCATACCGAGTTCATGTGAGAAGCTAATGGAATGCTGGATGGTAGTAGGACTCCCTGCATTGCTGTGCGGCTCTGCTTAAAGTAGCATCTGTTATATAGCTAAATGCACCATTAAGAAGTTATATTTTTTAGAATTTATTTGCCTTATAAGGGGTGTGAATTCAGTGATGAAGACATACATGCCATCACTTTCCAGCTGTCTAATGGAAGTGTTTGTTCCAATTTGGAGAGCACCGATAATTCGCACATTGAACTAGAACCATCAACAAGCAAAGGCCCCATGAAAAATGCTACTGCTTATGATGAAGGCAATCAGTTTGAACGTGACTATGAACACTGTGATAATGATGATGAACAATGATAAAGAGGATGAACACACTGAAGTAAAACTGTAGGCAAGCAAATAGGCCTTGAATTTTGATAATGATGGTGATGATGAAAGCATTAAACTTGTGGATTAAGTCGTTGATAATGGCAATAATGAACAATGACGATGAAAGTCTTAAATCAGCTATTAGCAAGTGGCCACAAGAATGTTTTTGATCATCATATTAATGAGCTTCTTCAATTTACAAAGTCCAGGACCAGTCGCCGGCGCCCTGCGGACACCTCGGCTCATAGGTACCTACGTCACATGCCGCAATTATCACTTGATCCAAATGTCCCGAGCCAGCTCGAGTGGCCTCGGCCCATCTGCGCGCTTGATGCTTACCACGTTCGCTGTGGTGTCTGCTATGTCGTCTGCTCTGTCCATGGTTGCGACACAGGCCATAACGCCGACTCACTTCCGAGCTTAACAGCAGTTAGATAGTGAATTATACCTATTTATGTTGGGACGAACTTACTGTGAGTAAACTACTTGAGCGTGCACGCATTGAAGATGCGCGGAGGTGTTTCATGACTGCTTCTCCTAGCAAGTATCGCATGTGTTTGCTCGTCTTTCGGAATACACTTATGCTTGATGCGGCTCAGAACGCGGACAAGAACTGGGTGGGCCAAAAATGCGCAATCCAAAAACGTGCGAGAAGCCCACATAAAGCAGCTAGAGAGCTACAGCATGTCGAAAATTTCCACTGACATGCGTATGGCGCCGTCGTCTGCCTGATGCCCGAAAGAAATCTCTCGGACAGTCCCGGACCATCTGTAGGCCGCCAGACACATGAAAAATGAACATGCATCTGAGCAGTCCCGAACCAGTCAGTGGAGCTTCCGGTTTGTTCCCAAGAAAAATGAATGCGGCGACGGCGTTTCAGGCCCTCTGGAGCCATCTGGAACGTGTAAATCAAAGAAGCTCAGTGATGAACACGTTGGGCTGATGATGAAGGCGTTGATTATGGTAAGTAGTGATGATGATAATGATTAATGCGTTAAAACAGAGTTGTCAGTAGGCGAAGTTCTCACATACAATAAAGAAGGATGATGTATCTTGTGTAACTGGTGTTCCCAGCGTCCACATATATGGACACTTGTTGGTTTCTGGAACTGAACTTTCAGTTTCCTGGTTTTCTGTTTATGCCCACATTCATACGAGTGCAATTGCATATAGGCCTGTAGCAAACTACAGGCCTATTTTCTTAACGTGTACGTCACTCAAGCTGTTGGAACACATAGTCACACATTAGATTACCACATTTCTTGAGGAAAACGGTTTGCTATCACCATCACTGCACGGATTTAGAAAAAAATTATTGACCACAACGTAACTACTCAAAACAATTCATGAGTTCACGTCGTCGCTTAATACGGGGAATCCAATTGATGCTATTTTTTTAGATTTCAGTAAAGCATTTGGTCTTGTCACGCATAGCAAACTCATTTCTAAATTGCATAATTTAGTCCTCGCTGTGAACCTCATTGACTGGATCCGTTCTTACTTTCATAATCGCAAGCAGTATGTAAAAGTAAATGACTGCATGTCTGGTATTCCACCAGTATAGTCCGGTAACCATCAAGGCAGTGTTTTGAGACCTGTTCTATATTTAGTGTAAAAAAATGACATTGTTAAATCAATGGACACATCGCAAGTACACATAAAGCTTTTTGCAGATGACTGCATACTTGTTAAAACAATTACTACTTCAGATGACCAGAAATGCCTGCAATCCAACCTGTGTGTCATTTCTAAGTGGTGTGAAGAATGGTCAATGAAATTAAATAGTGATAAGTCAGTTGTCATGGACACAACAAATAAGAAACATCATTATAATTAAATGTATCATCTTAAGAACTGTCCTTTGACTGAGGTTGAAGAATATAAATACTTAGGTGTCACAATTACAAACCACTTAACATTGTCAAGTCACAGTAATAAAACGTGCTCATCTGCCACTAGAAAGCTTGGTTTTTTTTAAGGCATAAATTAAGAACAGTGCGCTCATAAATCAAACTGTTGGCCTACATTGCTTTTATAAGACTGAAGTTGGACTATGGTAGTGTTGTTTAAGACCTACATCTGTAGAAAGATATTAAGAAACTTGAGATGGTGCAGTGTAAGGTGGTTCGCTTTATCTTTAATGCTTATCACAGAAATGGCTCACGAACAATGATAACATCCGTACTTTGCAATACTGAAGGGCAGTTGCCCAACTGAAATTTCTACACTCGCTTTATTTTCGTAAATTTAACATTAGTCCGGAAATTCGCATAAAAAATTGAATTTCAAGACAAACTAGGTATAGACATGCTTACACTCTTAAACCTTACTTTGTACGTACAAATCTTTTCATGAATTCTTTCTTTCCTCGTAACATCAATGAGTGGAACGAGTTACCTTTTGCAGAATTCTGTGATAATGATAATCTGGATGTTGAAAACTATGTATCTTTCTCTTAACAATACAACACAAGCTCTCGACTGTCTCATAGCGCACTTGATTTACATTCTGTAGTTGCGATTTACGTTATCTTGTCATATTAATTCAGTCATTTTTTGTTCTGTGATCATCTGCCTTATCATGTTTTTATTGCTTGAAATTTTCTTGTATTAGAATTAAATTGTGAATTATTTTTATTATGCCCCCACAGTATACTGTAAACAAAAAATAAATAAAAATAAAAATATATGCATAAACATACTTACTTGAGCAATTTGATTGACTGTGGAATACATGGGGCAAGATGAGTTGTGAAGCATGAATTGTACTTTTCCAGTAAACCAAACATTCCTCTTCACTGCCTTTATTCTGTAGATTTCACTCATTAGTGTTTGGTTTTGCTTACTAGTTTTGTTTCGTAATCGAAAATATCTGTGCTTTGGTTATGATGCCTTCTCCTCAAGAGACAAAGTGAACTGTAATATCCATGTTTTTAGTTCTCTTACAGACTTGTCTAGATTGTAAATCGGCTTTAAATCGGAAATGTTGAAACTATAGCCCAATCAAAAGATAACATAGTCGGTGCACATAAGGGCTCTTTAATTTGATATATGCAGCTTTAACTGCTCAAAATGATTCTTACATTAAAATTAGCCCCAAATCTTTTTTCTTTCTTTCATCTGCCAGTGTTAAGATATACTCCTCATGATTTTGAAGGAAGTTTTTACTTTCGGAATCAAATATTAACGACACAAAGCTGTCTACACTTAATCATTATTTTCTGGGTCTTTGTGTCACTTTATGAATTATCATAGTACTGGTTATACGTTGAAATTTTCATATTCAGGCTGGTTATCTTAAAAGGTGACTTGCAAACAGAGTTACCACATGTTGCATTTAGAGTGTTTATTGTGGGGCATATGGCAATATTTATTCATTGTACTTATTTTGCTTTGTAGTTTATGATTGAGTCTTCTTCACAGGTCGCATGCTTTGCATTTGACAAGACTGGCACAATCACAAAGGGGGCACCTGTATTGGTATATGCTGGTGTGATGACACACGTTAAGGCCCTCACATTAAATGTCTTGATGGCCATTGTGGGGACTGCAGAGGCAAGTAGCGAGCACCCAATTGCAAAAGCCATCTCAGACTACGCTAAGCAGGTAAGGTGCTGTGTTATCGCTGTAAGATGGCACAGTTTATTATTTGACAAAACTACATATACCCTTGCAAGACTATAGAATACATACTTAGTACATGCATATATTACTAAATTGTAAAGCAGAGTGCCAGTAGCAGTAGCATTACTTTTGAATGTTACAAGAGTATGTGATTGATTAAATAATGTTTTTCTCATGAAGAAAAATGAGCCCTTATATTTTCCTTCTTTTGTTCAAGAGTAAGTGATGCTATGTTGTCATGAGTAGAGACCGGATTGTAGGCAAATGCCTATTTTGTTCCTTGCATTTCTATTATGCTATTTTGATATATGAGCACGAATTTGAAGTCAAGAAGGGCTTTTATGGTGTTTTTATAGTGCCTATAAATGCCTATTTTGGGTGTTCGTGCCTAAATGCCTATAAGTGCCTATAAATGCCTATTTTCCAAATGAGCACCTATGTGAGTGCTATTCAAGCCCAAATTTTGTTTTCGAGCGTGATGTGAAGCTGTTATTCATGTAAAAAAGGCAACATTGATATTTACAAACACAGAAGGTTTCAACGAAGACAAAGCTGACATGCTGCAAGTAATTGGAAGAGGAGTATAAGAAGTGCAAAAGACGCTATTTCTGCAGCCCTAAGTGGAAGCACGTCTCAGCGTCTGCAGGGGAATGAGGAGGGAGAATTGAAGATTAAGTAAGAAAATAAAAGTGAAGTGCATGGCCGAGGACGCGACGACCGCCTTTTAAAGACAGCTGTCCAGTGCCCTGAAGGAACTGAAGAACCACTCTGAAATCTTGGTGTTGCAGTGCGAAAGGAAAAGCAGGTTTTTCTGGGCAGCCGTGGGTAGCTGGAGAAAATGAGATAGGTGCCTTTTCTCTGTAGTATCGTAAGGGCGAAGAATAAGACGATGCATGGCCAGAACAAGAAGGAACAATGTTTATTCACGAGGCTGCTGTCTTGGTTTTAATACCCTGGCCCGAGGCCGGAGCATGCGCCGTGGCGAGGGGTGGAGGCACGTGTTATCGGTATGTTCTTCGGCGCGTGCACCTGATACTCTACGATATATCACTTCCTCCCCTCTGAGCTAGAACCTATCCGGCGGCTTGCGGGCACGGGTGGAGCGTCGGAGTGGGAGTGGTTCTGCCGTGGACCTTGGACTTGCTGGTCGGAGTGGGAGTGGTTCTGCCGTGGACCTTGGACTTGCTGGCTCGATGCCACCGCCAGACGCTTTCTCACCAGGCTCGGACAGACCGGCCTGAAGGGCTTCGCTGCTAGTTGACTGGATGCCGCTGGATGAGAGTGGCAATTGCTCCATGGCAATTGGCGTTTCGCACGGTTCTTTCTTAACCGGTGTCGACGAGTCGCGTGGTCGTACTTGATCGACGTGTCTACGTTGCACCCCCCTTGGCGTGTTAACAGTTAACAATCGCTTGCCTTCGACTGTTGTCACGGTTCCGGGTAGCCACCTTTAACCTAGCTGACTGTACTGTCGACTCCACACCTCCCTTCCTGGTGCAAACTCTTTCTTTCCAGAGTTCGGAACTCCGTTGACGGTAGCCTCCCTCTTCGCCCCGTCTTCCTCTGCCAGGTAGGTGCTCAGGCGGGTTCGTGGTTGGAATCCAAAAAGCCTTTCCGCGGGCGACTGCTCCTCTCGGGTCGGTGTGGTCCTGTAACGCAACAAAAATTTGGCAAGCCGACTTTGCAGCGTTCCCACCCGATTTTTCTTCAGGCCCTCCTTGATGGTGCGTACTGCCCGTTCCGCCAAACCGTCGGATTGCGGGTAGTATGGGGCCGTCGTTACGTGGCGCACCCCATTTTCCTGGAAGAACCGCGCTGTCTCTGCACTGGTGAATTGCGGACCGTTATCCGACACGACAGTCCGTGGTATGCCAAATCGCGCGAAAATGCACCTAAGTGTGTCTACCGTAGTCGCTGCTGTCGCCGTCTTCAAGGGCACTGCTTCGATCCACTTAGTCTCGGCGTCGACGAGAACGAAGATCATATGCCCTTCCACGGGACCAGCAAAATCCACGTGTAGGTGGTACCACCGTCTGTTGTTCTTTGGCCAGTTTGCCGGGACCTGCGCTGGGGGCGTGGGCAAACACTGCACACATTGGGGACACCGTTTTGCAAGCATTTCAATTTCACCGTCTAGCCCTGGGTACCAGAAAATTGAGCGCGCGAGGTTCTTCATTGCCGTCATGCCTGGGTGCGTATCGTGCAACTCTTTCAAAACAAATTGCCGGGCAGCTTTAGGCAGAACCACACGGTGGCCCCAGTAGAGTATCCCGTTACTCACGGCCAATTCATGCCTCCGTGCAAAATACGGTTGGTACTGCTGTTCCTCTGAACCGAGACGCCTTGGCCAGCCTTGCAAGATCCAAGTCTTCACTTGCTGAAGTACGTCATCTTTGCTGGTGTGGTCTGAAATACTCTGCGCAGACAAAAAAAAATCATCCATAGCCTGCGCATGCAGGACATATTCGGCTAGTTCATTTTCCCAGCCATTATCGCGAACCGGTAATGGCAACCGGCTTAGAGCGTCGGCATTTGCATTTAGCTCTCCTTTTCTGTATTCCAAGTCGTATTGATAAGCTGCTAAGAGCAGCGCCCAACGTTGAATGCGGGCCGCTGCCATTTGCGGAATGGGTTTATCTGGACCTAGCAAACCAGTCAGAGGCTTGTGATCGGTCACCAGAGTGAACTTGTTGCCAAACAAATAATCTCGAAATTTTACCACGCCGAAGACAAGCGCTAGTGCCTCCTTTTCCAATTGTGAATAATTACGTTCCGCCGACGTTAGAGTTCTCGAGCGGAACGCTATGGGATGATCCACTCCTTGTATGCGGTGCGACAAAACTGCGCCTATACCCTCGGCCGACGCATCACACTCAAGCCGCAAGGGTCTTTGGGGGTCGTAATGCACAAGAAAGTTCGCCCTTCTCATGGCGCGCTTGGTTTCTTGGAATGCTGTTCTCTGTGCGGGCCCCCAACACCACAGTGCTCCTTTAGACAAGAGTCGGTGTAACGGGGCCAAAGTGGACGACAAGTTCGGTAGAAATTTGGAATAGTATGTGACCAGTCCTAGAATGATTTAAGCTGGCTTACCGAAGTCGGTGGCGGTGCCGCTAGCACTGCTTCCAAATTGTCCTGCAGTGGGTGGAGGCCTTTTGCATCGATTCGGTGCCCTAGAAATACCACTTCTTTCTCCCGGAAGTGGCACTTCTCCTTGTTCAGTGTTAGGCCGTTCGCCCGAAGTCGTTCGAACACTTGCCGCAGTATCGTTGTGTCATACTCTTTTTCTGCTACAATAATGTCGTCCAAGTAAACTTTCACCCCTGGTATACCCTGCAGCACGGCTTCTATGCGCCGCTGAAACAGCGCAGGCGCTGAGGCAATGCCAAAAGCCAAGCGGTTGTAGCAGAAGAGGCCTTTATGTGTATTCAACACAGTTATCTTCTTAGCATCATCATCCAGGGGAAGCTGGTTGTATGCGTTTCGTAAGTCGAGTGTGCTGAACACTTCGCCTCCTGATAGCGCCGCAAAGATGTCGTCAATTTTCGGAAGCGGGTACTGCTCTGTTCTTGTCGCTGGATTAACTGTTAGCTTAAAGTCCCCACACAGCCGGATGTCTCCGTTCTTCTTTGCTACGGGCACGACCGGTGTTGCCCATTCAGCCACGCTCACTGGGGACAGCACGCCCACTTCCACCAGTCGGTCAATTTCGGCGGAGACTTGCGCTCTCATGGCATACGGGACTGTCCGAGCCTTCAGAAATCGAGGTTGCGCACTTTCCTTGAGGTACAGCTTCACCGGTGGTCCCTTACAGCATCCGAGGTTCTCAAAGAGGTCCGGAAACTCGTCAAGAAGTGCGGTTAGCTGGCTGTCGGCGTGAACAACATTCACCGAAGACGACGTGCCTTCTACTAGCAACATGCCTGCTTTGCGAAATTCCTCTATCGTGTCCCTTCCGCACAAAAGGGGCCCTCGATGGTCCACTACTATCAGCGAACTGCTCACCGTTACTGGTCCAAGCTGTACCTGCATGTCTACCTTGCCAACGACCGGCAACGGTCCCAGGAAACATGAAAGGCGTAGTGGAGTTTTTTACAGAGCCGGCCACCACTTGCGATGCTTCTTGTACAAGCTTTTGGGAATCACGCTTACTGGTGATCCAGTATCGACAATCATTTGCAGCCTACGGCCTTCCCACGTTAAGGTGCGCTCGATTGGCTGCACCAAGTGCTTATTGGCGGAACTTTGTGCAACGAGAGCATACAACCTCTCTTCTTCGCTTTCACATTCGGTTCCGTCGACAGCGAACATTCCTGACCTGGGGGTGTGGGGTCTTTTGCAAGCCCTAGCAAGATGCCCTCTTTTACCACATTGATGGCATATGGAACTGCGATGTCGACAGGACGCCGTTGCATGCGCCCCTTTGCATCTGTCGCATGAAAGGCTGCAATTCTTCCTCCACTGTCTGCCTTGTTGCTGTACCACGTTGACGCCGCCACCTTCGGTCCGGGCGTATGAAGTACGCATGCCCCGAGCGTCTTCGTTCGCTTTCTCAGAAGCTAAGGCGAATTCTTCGGCTTCTTCACGAGTCAAGTTCTTGCGGCCCAGCAGGCCCCGGCGCGTTTCCTCATCCCGAATCCCACAAACGATTCGGTCCCGCAACATACGGTCCAGTGTCGCCCCGAAATTACAATTTACGGCCAGTCTTCTCAGTTCAGCAATGTAGTCCCGGACGCTTTCTTGCTCATCTTGTTTTCGCATAAAGAAAGAATAGCTTGCTGCTATTTCGTTTGCCTGAGGGTTGAAATGTTCTTCCAAGCATTTCACGTCATCGTACGTCAAGGAGTTGATGGCGACCCCCGGCTGGTGCCCTTGCAATATCCGGACGACACTGACGCTCAACGATGAAACCAGTAGGGCCCGGCGTTTCGCTACGTCGGTAATATCGTTGCCCTCAAAGTAGGCTTCCAACCGGACACGATACGTGCTCCAGCTACTCACGGCGTCGTCGAAGGCAGGGGGTCGGGATCCCATTCTTCTGGTCTCAGCGTCGGAGTGCAATTAACCGGATCCCATCCTCGTCGCCACTGTAGTATCGTAAGGGCGAAGAATAAGACGATGCATGGCCAGAACAAGAAGGAACAATGTTTATTCACGAGGCTGCTGTCTTGGTTTTAATACCCTGGCCCGAGGCCGGAGCATGCGCCGTGGCGAGGGGTGGAGGCACGTGTTATCGGTATGTTCTTCGGCGCGTGCACCTGATACTCTACGATATATCATTCTCATCTTCTAACCACTACCACCAGATCGGCTTTTGAGAGAGAGCAAACATTCCACCACAGCCTTTTCTTTCCTTTTTATTTCCCTCGCCCGCAGCGTTGAGGTGTCGCAGGTGCCACCGCAGAATTGGGCGGGGTGCTGAGAGCATTTTCGGAGCGCGGTATATTCGAATTAACCGTCGCAAGTGCTTGGGCATTCGAATTACCGGGTGTTTTCGCCCGTTGGAATACACATAGCTTTGACCGGACCTCATTGTGAGTTCGAATGAACCGGAAGTTCGAATTAAGCGTGTTCGAATTAATGAGATTAGACTGTACCTAATTTATCACTTGAATGTCATCCGTTGTAGAGTAGCCTTTCCATAACCCAGCTTGTCTCTTGAGTAGGTGAAAGTAGAGTGTTTCTCTTATTCTGCTTGCGATTACTTTAGAAAATATTTTGTATATCGCCGAAACTAAAATGATAGGCCCATAGTTTCTCATGTCTGTAATGTCTACTTTCCTATGTATTAGTATAATGTTATTTTTCCAGCTCACTGGAAACCATTGCCATTTTGAGGCACTGAGTACAAAGCGTAGCTAGCTTCTTCCAAATTACTTCTCCCTATGTCTTTAGTTAAATGAGCTATTATTCCATCGTCGCCAGCTGAATTTTTTCTGTGTGGCATATCACGTATAGTCTTTGTAATCTACTGATTTTGTACCAGTGGCATCACAACAGCTGTACATTGTATATAAAGCTAAAATAAATAAAGGTCAAATACATTCTTGTACCCAGTGAAATTTAATTTTGTCGTATCTATTATGCCACTGCAGATTGCCATAAAAATCCAAGGTGTTGCTCAGAGTGGTGTGACACTCACTTGCTCTCCTATCAGTGTGTTGAATATGAAGCATTGAATACAGTCATGCATACACCATGTAAACAAAAGTTTGGTTTAAAAGTGTGGCAGCTTGGGCTAGTTGGTATGGCATAACGACAGTTATAGCGCGAGAACAAAACGACGACACAGAGACAAGAAGGACATGAAGCGCTAATGTCCTTCATGTCTCTGTGTCATCGTTTTGTTCTCACGCTATAACTATCGTTTGGTTCAAAACCACATGAAAGCAAGATAACCTGTGTTATAACCTATGTTTATGGTGGCAATGTTTTGTGTCCTGCGACATCGCGTATGCATTACATCAGAAGGATTTACCAAAGTCTGATATGTCCTCGTGTATTTTTGTCTCTACTATGCGCTGGTTCAATATTTTAAGTATAAAGTTGATTTTATCACACAACACCCTCATGATTTTATAGTTAGTATCAATCCTGTGAGTAATTTTGAACAACCTCAAAAAGCCACTCTGTTGGTTAAAAACTTATTCAGCCGTGGACTCACTGAAAAGACTTTCATTCGCGGTAAAAAAAAAGTCCAGGTAATTCCAATCACTTTCACTGGCAATTTACCTTATTTAGAGTTCAGAGTAGCTTTTTTCGACCTTGAATCACAGAGAGAAAGCTCTGTGATACCCCAAAACAAGCAGTAATTTCTTTATTCTCTTTGAGATTGCCTAAAAGATAGCCTTGTTCGAAACATCAGTTTCCTGAATGCTTGAGGTTGCTTGCATGATATATAGGAGCTTGTTTCGTTTAATAAAACCGCCCCTGTTGCTACTCAACCGTGTTACATGACACGGCAGCAATAAATACACTAAATTTGGTACTGGATCATAGCACAATATGCTCGCTAGGTCAGTTGTGGAGTGGCAGTGTGATGAGGCAGTGGTTTGAGGTTAGGAAAGACACTTCCTCCGACCTATAAGAGAGCGTGGCACAATATTGGGGAGGAGGGGGAAATGAGATTGAAACAGAGAAGAGAAGGGAAAGGTGAAACTATCTTTTAGAGGTATGAGTGCCCACACCACTGAATGCCCAATGGTGGGTTTCCAGTGGCACTGGGGCTGGGTACTCACACGCATACTCCCCATCTAAAGGTGAAGAGGGGAGTGTTCATGTTCCCCTTTCCTCGCAAGTGCTGCCTTCTCCTCTGCTATTTCGTGTGCTCAGCTTTGGCGGCTGCTCTCTGTCACACAGTGTTCAATTTGAAAAATGCGTTTGTAGAAAGTGTGTGTGGTTACTACTGGCATCAAGAGATTTCAATGTATTGTCTTGGTCTTTAAGACAGTACTGAAACTTTGTTATATTGAATTTGTGATAAACATTTTTTTATTATATTGATGTTCAAAATATATGATGGCCAAGGAACTTGAATTTGTTGAAGGTAATCAGTTTGTTATATGGAAAATTTCATTATATTAAAGTTATGACATGGTTTAAATTATGTGTAATATTAGTTTCATGGACCAGCATTGTCTTGCTATGCCTCTTTGAAATGTCATTTCAATACTCTATGTGCTTAACGGCGTGCAGAATTTGACCTATCATTTTGTTTTCTTTCCTCGGCATGTGGCAGTTTTTGGAGACAGGCATACTTGGAAGCTGTGAAAGCTTTGAGGCAATCCCTGGCTTTGGTCTGTCTTGCAAAGTTGGAAGTGTGGGCAGCATACTGAAGAATGCACCAAAGTATGTGGATAGTCATTGTATAGAAATTCAGTACATTGGAGAAGTGAATCAAGAAAGAAATGAGCAAGGTGCGTCTCTTTTCGTCTTTTTATTTTTAATGTAGTGCCATGTTCAGACAAAATATCATTTATGGCTTTTATTTGTCTCAGGAATAATAAGCTTTCACATTATTTTCTTAAGTGTGGGCATGATGTTGTTGGTTCAATCTTTGCCGATGGCATTGACATTTTGATGGGGGCAGAGTGCAAGAACATTGTACTTAGATAGGGATAGGTAGGGATGTGCAAATATTGAGAACTCAGAGTACTGGATTCGATTAGGTCACTGTTATAATCTATTTTATAATGGAGCTTTAAGAAATAGCAAGGAAACGTAAATAATTAGAGGAAAGGTAAATATCACGTTAACATTGTTTGTTAGAGGCCATTCCAGAAGCCCCACAGCTCTTGTCGCATGCCCAGAAATAACTTAATTTTGAAAAATTGTTTCAAGGGAACACATACTGCTATAGTGAAGTCCGAATCATCCTCCCTCAACTGAAGAGTTGTAATTTTGAATTAGTCATCACCACCCTTACCTGCTCTACTGTTGGCGCTGTGACCTCTTGAATAAAACATCTTACATGGATAAATGACATCACATGAAAGAGGCAATTTCTCTTATTTACAGTGAGACTGAGTCCCATGAGCGAGCAAAGCCAGAATGGTGTAACGCAATAACAAACATACTGAAGTGGGAGTGCACCAGCAGGGCAGAGCAGTATTATATGCGAATGTGACGTATGGGAGAACACGGTCCCAGTTGCTATGATTAGATGCCACGTACATTGAGAGCATATCACCCAGCGTGCGGTTAAACCGTTGTGTTAGACCATTAGTCTGCGGGTGGTATGCTGTCGTTTTCCGATGAATGACGTGGCATTCCGAAAGCAGAGCTTCGACGACCTCGGAGAGGAAAACGCGGCCTCTGTCACTAAGGAGCTCTCGAAATACGCCATGTCGAAGGATAAAGCGACGTAAAATGAAAGAGGCGACATCCTGAGCGGTAGCGCTCGGTAAACCGGCTGTTTCGGCGTAGCGTGTTAGATGGTCGACCGCCACTATAATCCACCGATTGCCATCTGGTGTCAATGAAAGGGGGCCATAGAGGTCAACGCCAACGCGATCAAATGGCTTGGCAGGGCACGGAAGTGGCTGCAATTCGCCAGTCGCATGTAGCGGTGTTGATTTGCATCGCTGGCAGTCAGGACAGCACTGCACAAATTTGTGTACAAAATTGTACATGCCGCGCCAGTAATAGCGATGGCAAAGGCGTTCATATGTTTTGAACACCCCGGCATGGCCACATTGTGGATCGTCGTGAAGAGAGGCGCATACCTGCGATCGTAAAGTGCGTGGAATGACCAGTAGCCACCGGCGGTCATCAGGAGAGTAGTTGCGTCGATGGAGAAGTTGATCGCGGATGGCAAAATGGAAAGCTTGACGTCGGAGGGATCCAGATACCGGAAGGTTGGGCGTACCAGATAGATATTCGAGAAGAGATGCGATCCACGGGTCACGACGTTGTTCGGTGGCAATTGAGTCTAGATTTAACGATGACAAGGTCTGGAGGCACGTGTTTCCGCACGTCGGATCTGGTGGCAAAGGTGAGCGGGACAGGGCGTCAGCGTCAGAGTGTTTGCGTCCGCAGCGGTATACGACGCGAATGTTGTACTCCTGGATGCGGAGTGCCCATCGCGCAAGGCGGCCAGAAGGGTCTTTCAACGTTGAGAGCCAGCAAAGCGCGTGGCGATCAGTTACTAGATCGAACGGGCGGCCGTATAAGTACGGCCGGAACTTTCCAAGTGCCCACACCAGAGCCAAACACTCTTTTTCTGTCACGCTGTAATTAGTTTCGGCTTTCGTCAGAGTGCGGCTAGCGTAGGCTACAACGTATTCTGAATAGCCGGGCTTTCGTTGAGCGAGGACAGCACCTAGCTCACCGCCGCTGGCGTTGGTGTGCACTTCGGTAGGAGCCGTCGGGTCGAAGTGGTGAAGAATAGGTGGGGAGGTGAGCAGACGGCGCAGAGTAGTGAAGGCAACGTCACATGCAGAGGACCAGGAGGAGAGGTTCACGTCACCGCGAAGAAGCTGGGTTAATGGTGACATGATAGATGCAAAATTGCGAACAAAGCGCCGGAAATAAGAACATAGGCCTACAAAACTGCAAAGTTCCTTCATGGTCGTCGGCTTGGGAAATTCTGCGACTGCTCGAAGTTTTGCTGGGTCAGGTAATACACCGTGCTTCGACACGATGTTGGACGACACCATTGGAACTTGCCAGTAGCCAGACCGCAAATCTAACGACGAGAAGAATTCCGCTCAGTGAAGGGTGTCAATGGTGTCATCAATGCGCGGCAAAGGATATACGTCCTTGCGGGTTATCTTATTCAAACGACGATAGTCTACGCAAAATTGGATAGATCCGTCTTTCTTATACACCAGGACGACAGGAGACGCCCAGGGACTGTGAGATGGTCGAATGACGTCTCTACGAAGCTTATCTTCAACTTGATCGTTGATGACGCGGAACTCTTCAGTAGAGATACGGTATGGTCTTTGACACAGTGGCTGGTGTAGGCCGGTGTCAACATGATGCTTGACTTGCGACGTGCGGCCTAGTTGAGGTTGCGACACATCGAAAGAATTCCGGAACTTATGCAGAAGATCAAGCAGGTCGGCACGTTCGGTGGGAGTGAGGGTGTCGGCGCTGGCGCTGGAAAACGTATCCTTGGACGACTCCTCGAGGGCCGACAGTGATTTTGGGTGGTCGCAGTAGTCATCCGGGACATCAACCAAAGACGAAGGGTCGAGATCCTGCACGCGGCCGAGACATTCCTCCGCAAGCAAAGTGACAGGTGTGGAAAGCGGGTTGAGTATGAACATATTGTAAAGAAGAGGAAGTACTCCGGCGCAGAGGCAGCAGCATCGAGTGTGCAGCAGTGGCTCGAGCTCGGAAATTGCGGCTGGTGCATTGCCTTCCAAGCCTTCCAAGCATCAACCTTCCTGCTTAATAAATCTCCTTTATAATTGGTGGAGCCGTGCTGGGTACCGTCCCTTACACCTTCCCGCTACCATCCTGGAACTCCGTTCTCGACAGCTACCTTCTGCTATGCCGGACGCCGATCAGCAGACGCTTCCATCTCTTCCGGCCACCTGTCCAGGCAGTGTTCCTCAGCGGGAGCCTCCAATCTTCAGTGGAACAGATGACAACGACGTTGAAGATTGGCTCTCGACTTTTGAACGGGCGAGCGCTTTAAATCGATGGACGGACGCGGACAAGTTGACACGCGTGTCGTTCTACTTCGGGGGTGTAGCCAGCCTTTGGCTTAGAAACCACGAGGCAGACGTCCGAACGTGGCCGCAATTTAAAATGTCGATTGTATCAGTCTTCAATCGACCTGCCGTCCGAAAACTTCGTGCCGAGCAACGTTTACGCACGCGCGCACAAGAAACAGGTGAAACCTTCACAAGTTACATAGAAGACGTCGTCGATTTGTGCAGACGCGTGAACGCCGAAATGACGGAAGCTTAAAAATGTAAGCACATCCTCAAAGGGATTGACGACGACGCTTTTCAAATCATCTTGGCGAAAAGCCCGACCACTGTTAACGACGTAATTAGCCTCTGCCAAAGCTACGATGAATTGCGGAAGCAGCGAGCTCTGACAAGACGTCCTCCAGCGCACGATTTGGCATCGCTGTCTGGTGTGATCAGTAGTCATGACCAAGCGTCGCTAATAGCCGAAATAAAAGCATTTTTCCGCGAAGAAGTCGCACGACAGCTTTCCTTGGTGCCTTTCACACCAGAAGCTACCACAACTTTACCATCGTCTCTATGTGACGTCATTCAAGCAGAGGTCGCCGAGGCCTTACCAGCTGCTCGCGAGCCTAATCTTGTGGCTGCTCCTCTCACCTACGCCGCGGCTGCAGCCATGCCAATTCACAAGGCGCCTGCGCCTCTGTTCCAGCCTCGCGCGAGCTATCCCCCAGCTCCAGTTCACTGGACCAGCACTAACACCGCCAACCCGTGGCACACCCTCGACAATCGCCCGATATGTTACGCTTGTCGATACCCCGGACACGTCGCAAGGTATTGCCGCCGCCGGATGCATATCACCAATGAAAACCCCCGTGAGCCTTTCTTCCCGCTTGACTCCAACGCGCGATACGGTTCCTCCACTCCAATGCCAGCCCGCTACCAGGACGACCACCGCCCTCGGTCAGGACGTCTTCGCTCGCCCTCTCCACGCCGCCGCTCGCCTTCTCCTATGCGTCGACGGCCCGCGCCTAACGAGGAGGAAAACTAGACGACGCAGTTCCTGAGGCTAGAACTGCGCAAGTTTCTGCTTGCCCAAGTCCTCATTTGTCACCTACCAATGTTATTGATGTGTTCGTCAAAAATATCCCTACTGTCGCTCTTGTAGATACCGGTGCAGCTGTTTCTGTTATAGATGCTGGATTTTGCCGCTCAATTCGTAAGGTTACGACCCCTTTCTTCGAATCATCGCTCGGCACAGCCAGTGCTCAACCTGTTCAACCGACCGCAGTATGTACAGCCCGCGTGACTATTCAGGACGTTCTGTATACGATAGAGTTCGTGGTTCTTTCATCGTGCTCCCATAATATTATTTTGGGATGGGACTTTTTGTCGCGTCATAACGCCGTAATCGACTGTGCTAGGGCTGAGGTTGAATTTTGCTCACTGGATGACCAAGCATCCGTCGACACCCAGTCTGCTGCTAAACTTGTCGTTAGCGATGACACCTACATCCCTCCATGCTCTTTTGCGTTCGTGCCAGTTTCGTGCAGCGCCATATCCGACGGCACGGTCTTCTTCACACCATCTTCAATATTTGTCTCCCGAAGAGCCCTCCCCCTGCCTTTTGCTGCTCTCGATCTTGTAGAAGGCTCAACCACAATGCCAATTTATAATCATGAGTCGTCGTCTTTATCCCTACTTTGTCACGAGTGCCTTGGCCACGTCGAGACAATCAGTTCTTCCAGAATTATATCCGTCCCCGATGAGGT